TCGTCACATGTTGCATGACCAACATGACATGAGTCTGTCTCTCGAGCATTGCTGAAAAAAGAAAGGTTGTCGCGGCTTCCAGCTATGCATATCAGCACAAAGGAAAGAGGTGAGCCACTGTTCAACACGACGACAATCGACAAGGTGAGAGGCGAAAAAGTGCCGGCTGTTTCACTTTACTTAGACGAATTACCAGATTAAAAGTGTAAAATCAGAGATCAAGTCGGAGGATCAAAGTTCCTACCTAGAAAGGTATTCCCCGAAGGGTTCACCCCACCTTGACGAATCCAGCATGAGTCACACACTTGCTCAGAACTGTCATTGCGAATTCTGTTGTGGAATGCATCTGCCGTGCAAAAACACTCCAGTTACACCTGACAGGAGCAGGAGGGTGTTTGGTGTGGAGTGAAAAGAAAATTCTTTCGTCGCCACCTTGAAGAATGGAATAAAATCAACAGAAGCCAGGAAGAACTCCGAAATATAAGCAGAAAAATGTAATGGACAAGAGATTCAGAGCAGTCTCTGATTGTGCCAACTGCGCAGAAAGATAAATGAGAAGTCACCTTCATCCATGCATGTGCTTAATTCAAAAAACAAAAAAAACTGATGTGATTCTCGTTGAAAAACTGCATGGTGGTTCTTGAGTTAGCCACATCCCATCACGATTCAAAAATTGCAGGTACGTTTGCGCAGCAACTTGGATGGGTCTTCGTTGGCCCATGCCGTCCAAGTGCCCATGGGCCCCCTGCGAAACTTACAAGTTTTACATCTCTTCAGATGGTTCACACACACAAACACTCTATATATATATATATATCTGTGTGTATTATGTAATTATATCATACTATATCTATATATATATATACATATTGGCCAAACAGTAATTGAAAAGGTTAGACCATATGATTTGTCTTAGTCAGACCAAAGCCATTGGTCTGACATGCAGCTTCGAGGAAAAAAACTGAGCTTGTGGTTCGATATGGTTCGATAAAGAACGGAAGGAAGCAAGCAGCTGTTCCGAAAAACCTCCAAATATTCTGCGAATGCTGATGACCATAGTTGTTTCATGTTGTTTCATGAGTTAGTTCCTGTGTATCTTTCCTTTTCTTTCCCGATCATGGCTTGCCTAGCCGCTTAGCCCTTGGGACCAGCTCAGCGCGCGCTGTGCTTTTTAGGCATCGCACCTTCATAGCCGAAGGTTACAATCGCACAGTCGCGCTCCTGGGCCAAATGTAGCAATTTTTGTAGCGGTATAATTGATACAAGTGGATATATATATATATATGATTACGGCAAGACCCTGAGGTTTGCCCGGACTCGCAACGAGTGTCCGGGCATGATGATGATGATGATGATGATGATGATGACCACCATTATGCTCCGCATAAACAATGTATTTAACCCTTATTAAAGATCTTCAATGAATGAAAGAGTTTAACGGGGGTGGGAGAATTAAATTAAACCCTTATTGAAGATCTTCGATGAATGTAGAAGTTTAACGGGGTGGGAAATTTAACCCTTATTGAAGATCTTCAATGTATGGAAGAGTTTAACGGGGGTGGGAGAATTAAACCCTTATGGAAGAATCTTCAATGAATGTAGAAGTCTAACCGGGGTGGGAGAATTAAACCCTTATTGAAGATCTTCAATGAATGTAAGAGTTTAACGGGGGTGGGAGAATTAAACCCTTATTGAAGAATCTTCAATGAATGTAGAAGTTTAACGAGGGTGGGAGAATTAAACCCTTATTGATCTTATTGAAGATCTTCAATGAATGTAAGAGTTTAACGGGGGTGGGAGGATTAAACCCTAAGCCTTATTGAAGATCTTCAATGAATGTAGAAGTTCCACGGGGTGGGAAAATTAAACTCTTATTGAAGATCTTCAATGAATGTAAGAGTTGAACTGGGGTGGGAGAACTAAACCCTTATTGAAGATCTTCAATGAATGTAAGAGTTTAAGGGGGGTGGGAGAATTAAACCCTTATTGAAGAATCTTCAATGAATGTAGAAGCTTAACGGGGGTGGGAGAATTTATATGATATGTATAGTGTGAACAAAAAATCCTTGTAATTTTCGCTATTCTGGGCTTGGGCAAACCTCGGGGTCTGTGTGTGTGATTATATGCATATATGACATAATCATCAAGAATTGGGACTTCGCTTGGGGCTTCACTACCAGGTTCCCGGTTAACGCCTTTCCCAAATATCAAATTACTCGTTGGTCGTGTTAAGTCACCCCTATCCGTTCAAAGGCATCCCCGCGCATAGGCACACGATTGATTCGGAAGAAGTCACCCCCATTTGTAGAAAGTCACCCCTGAAGTATGAAATCTGCATGGGCACACCATGTACGAAGACATTCTATGATAAACAGGTGTTGTAACAATTCATTGGGCACACGCAGGTGAAATGCACATTTCCTTTCTTTTGAACACGATGTTTGAACTAAGAAACACCATGGGCACACCATCAAAAGCTACTCGTATCATTTCTGTTTAACAGCATGTAACATGTACTCACATTAGTACAGATGCGGTATGGGTGAAGTATGCTCCTATTGCAAGTCGGAGCTACATCCATTTCCTAGCGATTTGTTTCCATGAGTGACCCAAAAGCATTTCAGAATGCAAACCCGCAAGTGGCACACCACCAAGGGACGACTTTTCCCGAGGGACGACTTAACCCAGATACCCAGTACCCTCACTAAGGGACCCAAAATGAATAGATCCAAAAGTAGAGGGGAGAGGAGATTAACAACTTTTAAGTTTCAATGGTAGCTGCAAAATGGACAGTGGCAAGACAGTACCAAAACTAGGTGCCACAAAATGTGGTTCCTCTCCTGCACTTCCTCGTGTAGAATTGTTCTACTCGGCCCAATCTGTGCATAGACGTCACCAACCTGTTAGATAACGCGGCTGCACAACAGCGGCCAGATTGCTCATGTGCATGAAGCAAATGTCATGGCAGCTCCAACCCAAAAACTACAGATCAGACACAAGAAAAACATCCCCAAAATCACCTTGATGCAGCAAACCCACACAAATACACCATCCCCAATTTCACCAGACATGGGCGGCATGAACCCTCCAAATTGAAGGCTTTTACTTGGGTTTTCTGTCGCAGCGGGCCTGGAAATCAAGGCAATATACTCCAATGAAACTCCGGCTGCTCTTTTCAACCCTTCTGCAAAAATAGCATTGGGGATCATCAGTCATAGTTGAACACATTTGACAACAAACAATACTTGAAACCAACCTTCAAAACTTTGTCATCAGCGCAGCCTGCACATCTGCTGCCAGCGTCGGTTCTGAGTCAATGATCAGGTGTTCAATGCTTATTCCCCTACGTCCACCTAGAAGCCTTGGTCGCCTTTGTTGCCTTGATTGACAGACACCTTTAGCTTCCTTTAGCTACAGAAACTCTCCCATAGGTTCACTCGGGATCACTTCTCTTTGCTAACCATAGCATCATCGAAATTCTGGTCTGTTGGAATGGATTTTTGGGGCCGAGGGCCGGGCTGCATGGGATGGGTGCACGGGCCAGTTGCAGAATGCTAAGCCTAGCAAGGTGGACTCAAATATGCTGGGTCTGAGTCTGGTATGGTCTGGTGCGCTTCTGCAAATTGGTGGGGTCGGCATGTTTTGGACACCAAAATTGGTGTCTAGCCATCTATACTTTCAATTCCGTTTTCGGTTACCCAACATCGAACCAGCTAGACTTGAGAAGCTGCTTGTCATTGCTTTGCAACCGACTTCATCCTCTGAAATCCCGATCGATAGCATGGAAGGAAGAGTAGGTCTGGGGCGCCAAACCCAATCACCAAGCACCATTTCATGGCACCCCTTGAGGGTCCGGTCTGGATCTATGATCTATGTACAAGGGGTCAGCAAGGCTGACTTGCTCTGTTCATGATTTGCCTTTCAGTGGTTGAAATGACAACAACAAGATACAAGAAGCAATCCACTGTCGTTAGGCTAGCTGCTTGGCAAGCTAGAATCATGTCTGCCACTTCGCCAATTTCCATTGATGCCAGGGATCCTTTTGGACCGTCGTTTTAGATGTGTTCGCACACTGCCGGCTTTGGCAGATCTACAGGAAATCAAGATGCTTGCCTTTTCATCTAAGGGGTGACCGGGTGACCTATCTGGATCCTTTCTTGGACTTCGTTGAGGCTTGCGATAGTTTGGTCCATGATCGGTTCACTCAGCTGTTTGTGTGACATATTTGGCTATATTTGCTTTACTTGAGCCTGCCAGGGGCTGCCAAGGGGAAAATTGCCACAGTGGAATCCATAGTACAGGATGACAAGGGCACCGTATTCACCTTGATCTGCAGCCAATGCTGACAAGCTCCGCAGGACTCCGCAGCCCTGCAGCCCCCAATCTTTTTGTCCTTTACCCTCGCCAGACCATGATTTGGAAGTGCATTCACGCAACCTACCGCTAGGCACACACCATTCTGAAAATGGTACAACGTGTTACAACAACTTCAAGCCATTTGCGTGAAAACGCCATTTGGAAAATGCCATTGAAAACGCCATTCGAACTAAATATTTTAAATGGGTTCTGCTGGCTGTAAGGGGCTTCACCTGTACGTGATATTCTGTCATGTTCCCCAGTGAAGGTGGTGCGCTAGCCCTAACTGCCACTTTTCGTGGTACAAGTTGTCTAAATTCTGCTCGCCGGAAATCTTGCGCTCAGGAGGCTCCAATCAAGAGGCCAGGTGCTGTCCAAATGTGTCTCAATATGCTCTGGACCGTTTATCTAGCTGAGTCTAGCAGCCCCACCAGCGCAAGAAACAGTGCACCGAATTCAGCAGGTTTCAGCAGGAGCAATAAATATGGAGGTGGGGGATGCGAAAACATGTTGGGATGCTGCTAGCTGAACTCACCGGCATTGGCTATACCACTTGTGACTTCCATCAATCCTCCTTGTTGTTGGTGTATGTTGGTGGCATATAATTCACCACGAAAATATGCGCTGCATCTTGAGATTCAAAAGGAGTCTTGGTATCACCTCTTTGCAGCTCCGAATCTTCGATTTTTTTCTTAGCTTTGCCAAGTTTCTTAAGGCCATGGGCCGCAAGTCTTGGAGGCTCGAAGTATTTTCGAGCCAGCCAGTTTTTTTTGGCAAAAACATCTTGCACCAAGCTTCGTGCAAATGTCCAAGGCCTTAGTAGTCTGATACCACAGCAAGGGGCCCAATGGCTGTTGCAACTTCATGTTTTTGGCCATACTTCTGGAAAACTCGAATGTTTTTCAGATAATGGTATCTGATGTTATCTGGTTGGTGGTTTCAACTTTCAACCCATACCCCCCCCCAAAAAAAAAAAAACGACGCTCAATTGGGATCATCATCCCAGCTACAAGTAGGATGGGAAACATATATATATATATAATATATATATAATATATATATAATATAATATAATATATAATTTATACACCCGTTTTTTTGAACCAACCAATCAATCATTGAGTCATTCAATATATTCAATGTCCTGCAGCTGGAATGGATATGAGGCCTACCAGAATGATGACGATGGGACGATGGGACGATGATGCCGATGATGTGCTGGGTGCCAGACGGCACAATGTCCAGTGAAACTCCGGCTTGGCATGGTCAAAGTTCTTAGCTCAGCGCACTGTCTGGATATCAAGTGATATCAAGCCAAATTATCCAAATTCAAGATATCGTCATTCCATTAGGTCCATTAGGGGCCCCCAAACTAATTATCAATCAGCTGGCTATGCTAGGAAGCTGAGGATGAAACCCGTCGCGATTATGGAGCTGGGACAACCACAACTCCCGTGTCCTGATCAGAGCTTGGCCAAAGCCTGGTTGATGAAACCAGAAATTCACAGAAATCATCTCTGGTGAAATGTCCAAGTTGAAACCTAAAAAACTACAGAATTCAAAAACCTTCAAGAAATCCATCCCAACTTGCCACTAGCCTTCTAAAGCCGCATGACTCTTCTTGCCAACTGACAAGCATCCCCAGCATCCCTAGCATCCCCAGCCTGCCGCACCAAAGCTCCCGAGGGCTGGCAGGGCGAACAGTTCCATGTTATGATTGTTCAAAGCCATCTCCAAACATCGACATGAAAACGAAGAAGTGCAGAAACTCCATCCCCTGAAACCTATGCCCTATGCCTGGCGAATGAGCACGCCTGAGCCCTGACCGGAGATCGGCGGGTTCTGATCCCAGGAGGCAAAATAGAACAAATATGTGAGAACAAATGAATCCGCCAACCAGATATATCATGACATGATAGATCCCAATATAGGGATGTATACTATATCCATATAATAATGTGTGTGTGTGCAAGGAAGTGTGTAATATATATATATATATGTATATATATATTAATTATGTGTGCGTGTGCGTGGGTATGTAGTAAGTACATATAGTTATATATATATATATGATTATGTGTATGTGTCTATAGATTCATATAACCACCATGCCTCATGAATTCTCATGACTGGTGCAGCCTGCCTGCCGCGAAAGGCTTCCCTGTCATGAGGATATGGATGTGATCAATGGCAGTTAAACATCAAGCAATTCAAAGGGATGGCAGTCATGGTGTCTGTCGTCTGAGGTCTCACCTGCAAGACACGTATCATGATGGGCTTTCATCAACTACATATGAGGCATCATTCTTCATACATCTTCATACTAAACATACTAAACACCCCGAACATCCTACAACTGGTAGCAACTCGGAGTTGGATGGGAGTTGATGATGCAAGAAAAACAACTCTTACTTCCATATGTTACTCTTATTCTCGGATTCGATCCATATGTTGATCCCCCATTTTTCAAGGCACGCGCCTGGTGGCCCAAGGATGGCATGCGGCCCAGTGATGGCTGGTTGGTCAACGCCGGGCTCATGGAGGGTTGACTGCTCACCGCCGGAGGCGGCAAGGGATTGGAGACATCATACATGGACCTCGGATGTCGCTGACAAAGATGGTGGATTCATGTGCTTTACTATAAACCATGTCCCCCCAAGAAAAAAACAATAGACTGTTTCTGTTAGAAGTCGTATACTTCAGCGAAAAACATTAGACCTGAATGGTAAGTGTGAAAAACTGACAAATCTATACACTGCCAAATGGACTGTTTATGACATATTTAGAGTATCCCAAATTTGGAGTTTCTGTTGGGAATATGCCCTGTTTGTTTCTTTGCTCACGAACCCCTTAAATAGGTCCATGAATTTCGATGGTTAGTTAGTGGGTCTGGTTTACCATTGGTGCTTTGCCACATTTTGATGAGTCAGTACTGTAGAGCCCCAAATGCCATCAACCACCATGGGCTGTTTGATCCTTGTAACCAAGCAGCGAGTTCGCAATGTTCATGCCTCCTGGGCTACCCGGAGCCACATCGCCATATCCTAGGCACGCAATGCAACACGCTGTGCCAGAAATTCGCAGACCCTCCACTCAGAACACCTAGCCACCACGGGCCACCACAACAGCATGCTTCAAGGTGCCATTACAGAAAACCCTTCACGGTGCCATCATCTATCCGAATGGTCTTTTGATGCGTCAAAACGTTTTGCAGCTGATTTAGGGTCCGATACAAACACAATTTTTGTACGTAGAAAATCGTGAAAAAGCTCTTCTCCAAGTGGAATTCCATGGCATCCAAGTTCTCTTGATATTCCGATGCCCAAAATGATTGGAGAATCCGAATCTATCCAGGAACCAGGCCAACAGGTCGCGAAGTAGCCTGAAAGCCGTTTCTTCGGGTGGTGCGCCCCCTTCAAAAAAAAAGTACCGTTGGTAAAACCATAATTATGTAATGCACATTGCAATCACTACACATATTCCGATTCCATTATTGCATGTACAACTTCATATAGTCATATAGTGGTTTATCAGGTCTATCTATCGTGCGTCTATCTGTCTATCTGACTCGAATTTCCGAAATTGAAGCAACGAATCATACCATTACACAGCTTGTCTTAGATGGGAATATACCATGGAGGATTTCAAGCCACTGGCATCCCCGAGTCACTAGGAGTCAAACGCCCGTCTGAGACGGGGCATCAGAGGTACAGCACATCCTCAGGTTGCTAATCTGGAAGGCAGGACGTTCATAGAAAAACAGGGTGCAAAAAAAAAAAACTTAAAGTCTCATCTTGACCATTGATGATCACTTTCCCTCACTTTCCCCGTTCAAACTGCCATAAAATTTGGCTATCCCTACTTTTGTTTGACAAACCCGCATCGCTTGGGAAGTCCACACATCTCACCACAAGTACTTGGGGCGCTGACATCAACCACACTCGGTGCCAAGTCCAACCTGCCGAGTTTTCGTGAAGCAAACATCCCAAGTCTATGGAGCACAAAACCAACCATTTCCATCCATTTCCAACAGGAAAAGCCTCCTCTTCCCCGGCCCTTGCCTTGTGGAACAGGTTCAACATCACTGGCTCGGCTGGGAGAAACTGGTTCCGTGCGATCTTTCAGGAACAGTTCCTAGGTCAGGTTGGGTACCGGGTGGGTACCCGGTCATCATGGCTACGGCAATGGCAAATCCCCTTTTATGGGAAAATATTGCTAGGTCTAGTTGCCAGAGGGTCATCTAAAAGAATGGATACCATCCGGCATGATTGGCAACAAAAGAGCAGAAAAAATCTAAAACAATTTTCAATAGCTATGTTAAATTACCAGAGGGTAAATGAAAACAACTAGATGGCCCACCAACAAAAAATGGCAGCTGACCATCGGCTCCGAGGTCTACATCTCCCATCCCGTCTCTGAGGACGCTTCTCTTCCTCGCCTTCCTGGACCTGATGGCTGCAACTGGAAGGTTTCAGAAAAATCTCATCGTAGCCCCTGGTAAACTAAGATGGCTATGGAAAAACCATGAAAAACCAACCTTTTTAATAGGCAAATCATTCTACCAACTATAAATGACCATGTTCAATAGGTATGTTAAATTACCGGAGGGTACCCATCATCATCGTGTTGTATATTCACCTTTGTCATCTTTTGGATCATGGGGAGTTGCATCTTTAGCATCTCACCCAAAGATAGGTTTACATCTTTCCCGGCTGAATAGGTGTTCCCAGCTGAATCCACCCCCATAGGTGCCCCCAGTTACAAGTTGGTTTACTAACCTCTTTTACTATAGATATATGAATATATATGATCTATCTACCATAAATCAAAAGTTAAGCTAGTTGTAAACCAACTTAGCTATCTATGGGGCACCACCAAACGTAGTTTATCTCATTCCTTTCAAGTTGCTGAGCCCCAAAGGTGGCGAGTCCACATTCACCTGGCAGATATGGCGTGTCTGAAAATGGCTACCGCCTCCCGCCCGTTTATAGCAAGTTTCTACCGGCAAATTCCATGATGAACGATTGGATTCATGGGCAGCCTATGTTACTTTTTTTAAATGTTTAGTAACTCGCACACATAGATTATGTATTGTAAATATATAATATATATATATTATAATAATATATTGGTTTATTATAAATGGTCACTGCCTCACTTCTCACCAGTGGATTCTAAGTGCTGGGGCATAGTTTCTTGGTAGCGAAAACCACGGGCATCTCTTTGCAGCACTAGCCACTAGCCGCACTAAGCACACTTTCACATCATGTCTGTGTACTCATATGAACCCAAGTCCATGCAGTTGAAAATGGTGTATGCCGCAAGATCCTTCAAGTTTGCTTTAGTTTATTTCTGAGCCAATGATCCTAAGTCCCAAAATAGATGAGTTCCTCACTAAGGAAGATGATTCCCATTTATTTTCTGCCATTTCTGCCATTCATTCTTCGCTTTTTCTGTGCACCTGGTTGCCCTTATAACTGGTCTTGGCGGCATTCTGCATGGCTTCCAATCGCCGTTGGCTACACTGGAAATAAAAGAGGCCAATGGCCAGCACCGACACCAGCAGCAGAAAGACGACACCCAACCTGGTCATAATGGGAAAATGAGAACCAATGGGGCTGTGATAAGTTGTCATATTGTAAATAGAAAATGGAAACATACACATCTATAACTGTTTTGCCAGGGCTTCTCAAAAGGTTTTGCCCCACCACATGTACATCTATATCATATATAATTCGAATACTTCATATATATTGGAATTCACAATATGAATAGTATGATTAGTATGATATCATAATAATAGGATAGTACCGGGATAGGTAAAACCGGTAAAACCAACCACTACCCGAAGTGACCGAGGAATGTTTGGGTCATCTCGGGAGGGTTGAATCTCATGGCCAAAGTCATGGGGAAATTTTGGGTGTTTTCTATTACCCATATCAATTATATAGTCCTGTTTTCAAAATACTACCGCTATGTCTATCTATACTAGTATATATACGTATTCATGTTCTGAATAAGTCGTTTATATAGAATCAATACATATATCTCTTGTGTGGTGTGTCATTTACTGGTTGACTCCAATGTGAATTTATGCATGTATATATATATATATCATGCGCATGTGTGCATATGTGCATTTTTTGTCTGAACATATCAATGCATTTGTGTATATACATGTTATATCATGCTATATAATCAAATGTGTCTGTGTGTGTGATACAGCGAGGGTCCAAAGTCTAACAGGATTTCCGGGCTCTCAACGTTTCATCACAATAGCGCCGAAAGCCTGCTACGAGTATTCTCTATGCTGTAGGATCTTTATGGCATGTTCTATTTCTTTTCAAGTGAAGTTCACTGGTCCTGCCAACTTCGTGGAGGATCCTTCCACATCCTGGAGAATCATGGGTCATTAAATGTCCCCATTGAACATCACCCAACCATTAGGTATATGGTCTATAATGGCTACTATAAGGTGATGTCCAATATATCCAAAATGGGACAGTTAAAAAACTGCTGAGAATTGTCGTAGCATCTCATCCCGAAAAGCCAAGTAACCCAGGTAAGGATGAAGACCCGAGAGCCATCTGCTTCGATTCCGCTGCCATCACCTCAGGACGAGCACCACCACCGACTGCACTGACGCATTTCAATTACACTTCATATCATTTCTGGAGGTCCCCTAAAATGGGGCTACCTCCAAGTCATCCAAGTTGCTAGACCATGACTTAGTTTTTTTTCCCAAACCTATGGTGACTTGGGGATCCCCGTCCGTCAACTTCAGGAAACCCTTCATTTAAAATTTACTAAGGCTGCGGCTGCATCATTTTCATATACATCCTTAGTTCATCAAACGCTTCCAGGAAGTCGCTCGATGACTCGCTTTGCTTTTGCTCGCGCCGAGGGACCAAACGTTGGATACTCCAATAAGCATTGCCTCAGATTTCAGCACGTAAAGGGAATCTGTCAATTTAAGATCAAATAATCAAGTATCGATGGGATATGAAAAAAAAACGATTAGTAATACATAGTAGCATATTATGTTTGTGTGTATGTTTATGCGTATATATAAATAGTGTATGCATGTACTAGTATGTATGTATTGTATTATATTATATTGTATTGTAATGCAATGTAATGTAATGTAATGTAATGTAATGTACGTACGTACGGAGGGATGGATGGATGGATGGATGTATGGATGTATGTAATGTAATTTTACGCGCAAACCCCCCCCTTTGGCCTACACACAACTTTTGGAGGGTTTCCAGTACATTGAAGAGCGATATTGGCGGCATGTTGAAGGGAATCTTAAACATGTTTCAACAGAGTTTCTAGCGAATCATGATATGCCCACCCTTGTTAAACTTTATATTCAAGGGAATCTTCAACATGTTTCAGGAGAGTTCCTAGCGAATCATTAAAGCCCCCCCCCGGTTAAACTCTATATTCAAGGAATCTTCAAGAGGTTTCAACAGAGTTTCTAGGGAATCATTAAATTCCCACCCCCTTTAGACTTTATATTTAAGGGAATCTTCCCGATGTGTCAAAAGAGTTTCTAGGGAATCATTAAATCCCCACCCCCGTTAAACTTTATATTCATGATCAAGGGAATCTTCAAGAGGTTTCAATAGAGTTTCTAGGGAACCATTACCTCCCTGTTAATGATGTTGTTGATGATGATGTTGATGATGATGTTGATGACGATGACGACGATGACGACGACGACGACGACGATGATCATGATGACGATGACGGTGGTGATGATGATGATGATGATGATGAAAATGATGATGATGATGATGACGATGATGAAGATGATGATGATGATGATGATGATGATGAAGGTGATGAAGGTGATGAAGGTGATGAAGGTGATGAAGGTGGTGGTGGTGATGATGATGATGATGATGATCATCATCATCATGATGATCATGATGATCATGATGTTCATGATGTTCATGATGTTCATGATGTTCATGATGTGCATGATGTTCATGATGTTCATGATGTTCATGATGTTCATGATGCTCATGATGTTCATGATGTTCATGATGTTCATGATGTTCATGATGTTCATGATGTTCATGATGATGATGATGATGATGATCATGATGATGATGATGGTGATGGTGATGATGATGATGATGATGATCATGATGATGATGATGATGGTGATGGTGGTGGTGGTGGTGGTGATGATGTAACATTCAACGTACAGGTTGCTAAGCTGCGCGTTGCAAGATCAAAGCTATGATCCTGGACATGTGCATTTTGTCCCACAAAACACAGTGTTTTTTGATGTTCGGACACGTGGTGGACGTCGGCGCGGGCAAGAGGAGGGGTTTGCTCATAATTTTACCCACAGACGCCGTGTGTTGCCCAAACACTAACATTGAGGATGTCGTGTTGTCGAATATGATCGGAGAGATTGCAGAAAATACGCGTACACGCAGTGTTTTCTGGTTTAGGATTCAAAGTGTTCAGGGTTTAGGTTTTAGGGTTCGTTAGGGTTTCAAGGTTTAGGGTTTAAGATGGTGGGTTTGGGGTTCATCGTCTGAGTGATCTCAAGACACTGGCCCTGCGCAGGTGTTTGAGCATGTTGAAGGATAATGCTTAAACGCCATTTGAACATTCCGGGCAACACAGAGCGCCTGGCCGTGATTTTACGATATTTTACGTACGTATGATAAAGCCACAGCACGGCCATCACTTCGAATAAGTAGTCGATGGTGGGCCTTCAACTGCCATTGTTGCAAAACGACTGACTCACACTTCCGACAAGGTGAAAAGTTTCGCCCTTGAACTAACTCATCACAAAATATCATGTGAAATAATATGAAGGCATTCAAAATCCAACACACCATCCACCAATCATATGATATACTAGTACCAAAGAAAACTTGGGAAAGCGGTCATGAGCTTCAACCTTCAGCACCTCATCCCTCCCAAAGATGGACCTCCCCACCCATCAGCCCCCCGCCACCCCACGCCCCATCCTTTGCTGTCCCAGCAGCTGAAGTCGTTGGGCTTCGAACGTACGTAAGCCTCGCACTTCATGTTGGTCCATCCGCAGTAACCGTTGAAGGATGCACCTGCATAGTCTCCTTAGTGGCATACCATGACGCACCAATCGAAGTCTGAAGAATTGGAGTGGGAACTCGATGGAACTCGTTCAATGCGGTTACCCTCTGGTAAACTAACATAACTATGGAAAATCACAATTTTTAATGGGAAAACTCACTATAAATGGCCATTTTCAATAGCTATGTTAAATTACCAGAGGGTAAGGGTTAAAACATGTTACTGTAAAACATGCCGGAACCCAAATTTCTACCTCGTCTTTACCTCTTGCTGATTCGTGCCTCATCCTCATGGAAGGCATGGATGACTTTCTTCCCCAATCATCACCATCCGCAGCCAAGATGCCGCAGAAGGTGGTGTCAAAGACCATCCGCATGTTCTTGAAGTGTGCAGCCGTGCACCTCGCCATCAAACTGACTTGACTAAGTGACTAATGGATATATATATATATATATGTTTTTTCTACATAATATATATATATGTGTGTGTGTGCGTGTAACGCTATGTGTGTGTGTATATATATGTGTGTGTGTGTGGGTGAGAGGTATGTCTTCTATAGAAAATGATATCATAGCAACCTCCCTGTCACTGTAGTTTTCATAGTAGTGCATTCCATGGCACCACTTTTCGTTCAAGGTGAAGAAGGAGTTTGGCACCCCCCACAGGTCAGGCTCTGGGCGGTCTCCAATTTCTGGTTCCTGCCCAGCTGGGAAGAACCAGGTGCGTAGCCTCTTGTTCACCTCAAAACCGCTTGGGGACGGGACACAGTCTGTCAGCTGGTAACAATCCAGCTGTGTTTGGTGAAGCTCCGAAGGTGGCAAGTTTCCAACAATGATGCTGAAGTTGTATGAAGTTATGAAGTTAGATGAAGTATGACGAAGTTGTATATATGAAGTTATATCCAGTTATCTTGTGTTATCTTACATAATTTGACCAGTGCACAAGCCATGTGCAAAAAGTCACCTGTGACCCACCACCACCGCCCATCCGCCAAGAAGCAATTGGATCCCATTCAGCCACAAATGTGCCACCTCGTAACCGGCGTTCAATGGATTGGTTGAAGGGAACATCTACCGGAAACGCTAGATTTCCCACTAAATATTGAGCTTCTGATATTTAAATATATTATATTTATATATATATATGACCTATGAATGTTTATGATGCTCATCGCGAAAGATCACGGCATATGCACCGCCCGTTGCGTATCTGCCTCCGGCACGGTTGAAGGCAGGACCAAAGGAGCCCTTGGGAAGCTTCTGTCCACATCCCTGGTTGTCGTACTGCTGAGGTGCCTTCACCTTGGATGATTTGGAGGTGCATATGATTGTGTATATATATATATATACACAATATATTGTACATAAATATATGTATATATACATGTGCATATATATATTACATATAACTATATAACATCATATATAATTATATGGTAATAATAATAGTAATAACGTTCAAATATGTTTTGTAATCATATGTGCCATGTCCACCTACTGAATCTACTGGTAGTCTGGTGCACCAGCCGTTGCACACTCGATCCAGCGCCAATCACATCAGGCTGTCGCCAAGAGACCCAGCAGTTCTTGGCCTTGTTGGAAGCAGTGCCAGCTGCCCAACCTTGTCCAATAAAATCGATGCCTTCATTCACAGCTTTCCTTGGGACATCTTGGAACCGCTTTGACGGATATGGACATACAAACGTTCACAGAGGCCTGCAGCCAAAGCAACCATATCACTCACCATCCTCACATCTTTGGTATCCTTTGCCATAGCAGCAACTACGTTGCATTGCCATCACCATTGCTGGGGACATTATGACAACTATATTGCCATTACCCACCGTTACCCACCATTTCTCTTCTCATCCTCCCCGAAATTGGCCAGCCACTGGTCGCAGCTGTCTCGCGTGTGAAGAGTTGTCGTGGCCTTGCTGCACTAGTATGGCGACCAGCAAAAGGTTGATTTGGCTAACGATATCTAACGATCAAAACATGTCAAAACCTTTGAATACTTGCTGCGACCCTGGTGAACATAAACATAGCTCATGAATTGGTGGATCAATTTGGGTGTTCAGCCCCAGAATATGGCATTTGAATGCATTTGAGGTTTTTTTTTTAAATATATATATATATAATTATATATATATATGCCTACAACCCATTCCATTTTACATCAATTTACCACAACCCGTTGCGATTCCGTTGCGATTTTCAAAGGCCACGCAGGATGGCTCCGCATGGCTCCGCAGGTTCTCATCACCCGCCCTTGGCCCAAGATACATAGTCCAACATGTGAATCGACTCCTGAGTTGCACCGAATGCCTGGAGGATAGCTCCAGGCAATGCCTACTGCAAATGGCTGGGGCTAGGAAAAAACAACATATAAAAACAAGTGTGGAAGATGCCTCTGAAATTTCCAAGCTGCAAACTTTGCAAGATCAACCCCCCAGATTTACCAAGATCATCCAAGATCGATCTTCATCTGCCAGGTGTCCAGGATGTCATATTCGCCCCAGCGGGGCCAGGAATGCTGGGCATCATCCCCAAACATCCAAAAGGCCGGCCAGGCTCCACAGGCAGTCGGAACATGGTCTAACTTCAAGACGAAGAGTCCACCGTTATAACCTGGGCAACTGGCACTTTGGACCCCTGGCCAAAGTAAGGGCCTCCTGGTTTTTGGTGAGGATGCTACTGCAAAAACGTCTAAAAAACGTGGGATAATGATACCAATTACGTCCAATTACCACCCATTTATGGCAGTTGTCATATCTTTGTGGTAAGAAAATGAGGATATATATATATATACGCTAATAGATTTTGGGATGCCAAAGTGGACAAACCATAAACCCAAGTCAGCAAACTGGTTTTTGCGGCAAGAATTAGCTGGTAGTTTTGGATCTTCGTCCCCCGAAGGAGATGGTTCCCATCTGCTCCAACAAACATACACGAAACCTAAAGATCCTAAAGAATCTGCTGATCTGAAACAAACCTTGAAAAATCTCGGGACTGTTCTGCTTGTCAAATGTCACTGCTCTGCAAGGAGCTCTTTTTGGATTCGATTCGCACTGCTGGTCGCCCCTCATTCCCCTGAAGCACCGTGGTGTTGTCGACACTGATGACCACCTTCTCCTTGGTTGCATCCACTGCTCAGTACAATTTACTGTAGAACATAAGGCCTTACTAATCGCCCAACGAAGGCACTCTGACACTTCAATGGAGTCCTGAAAAACACCCCTGTCCCCCCATTATACTGGTTGTTTGGTAAATATGTCGATGATACTGTAATAATTCCCAATTGCCTAGTTAGATCTAGTGAATCTAGTTATATAGTGTAACCCCCTCTAATGACCAATCAATGATATTCTTAATGGATAAATGGCTTTACAAACCATCAAAATTCCTCAAAATGCCAAGGGGCGGAAGAGCTGGAGACCAACCTCCTCGTCCATGACTCCCCTCGGGTTGTGAACTTGACCTCAGCGCTGCGCTTCCGCGCCATTTCCGGCCCGATGGCTCCGATGGCTGCTGACTGGGGCCTCCACGGTGCCATGTGTGGGATCAGGCCCACTGTAGAATTTCCAATAATCAAAAAAGTCAGGCCCCACCAGGCTTTCCACCTTGTGGTACCTGGCACCGATGGCTGAACATTGTACAATGTGGGGTAGATGAGAATCTACCTTTTCCGTGCAGTCCGAATGTGGCATTCCAGGAATGGCGCACCTTATAACTACAGGCATAATAATGAACATAACTGATGCAAGTGTCAATATGAAAAAACTGTATCATAAATTTGGATGCCATAAATATATCTACATAATCACAATTACACTTAAATACATTGGGGGTCATTGGGGGGTCATCATGAATGGCAAGCAATGTGGGAAATCTTCATTTCAACCCAAAATCACCATGACTTCGCTGCACTGTCGCCTCAGAGTTGCCGAGCTTAAGGGAAGCAGGACCAAGCCAACTGGCGCAAGCTGGGACACCAAGACCAGTAGATCTTTGGCCGCCAAACTCTGCACTATATGATGCACATATATATATATATATATACATATTATATGCGTGTGTGTGTGTGTGTATGTGTGTGATTGTATCTCTCTCCATCGCCTTCTCAAGGAGTTCAGCAAAGCTAAAGGGGAGTGTGTGAGTGTATACATACCTGGTTTTGAAATATATATTGTATTATATTGTATTACAGTATGCCTGCATCTTTAGATAGTTGATATTTCAGATGCACATATGTAATTATATATATAGATGCATATTTCCTGCAAGACGTCGGAAGACCACCCTTTGGGTCAGCTGGAGGAGATCCCCGACAGGCGCCTGTCAATCGAAACATGGCTCTCCGATGAACTTTGGGAAGCCACTCAGTGCATTTGGTCTTTGCCAAATGGAAATGGCGGCTTGGGCCATCAAGGCATCGTAGAGACATCAAACAGGCCTCCAACTCCCTTGTGGGATGGAAACTCATCATACTCATCAATATTTGAAAAGCCGTAAAGATGGGGGTTGAGTCTTTTTTTGTGTCCAGACATTTGACAACACCAATTGGCCTCGATTCTTTGTATATGGAGGTTTCCTAAGTCATGGGGGTACCTTCTCTTCACCCAGTCATGGATGACCGTGACTTAGCATTGAAAGCCCTGGTACTGGGGATCCCCCATGCTGGTCCCTGCCCATCAAAAGGCGCTACCTTTTCTCACCAGGCCAGTAGACCAAAGACAAAGCTGATGGCCGGTCAACACTGCTCTAAGAGTTGAGCCCCAAGTCAACGAAAACATGATATCATCTGATCAAGAACTCGGTAATTACCCTATTACTTTAAAGAAACAAACATAAGAAGAAATGATACAAATGGGTTATGGAGAAATCGTGAGAAATGACTATTCTACGAGGAGAGATTGAGCAATATGGACCTACACAACTGCCAGAAGCTTCACCAAAGGCTCGGCATTTAGAACAGGACCAAGGCTAGGCAATGTCCACAGGGGGTGCTTTTGACCAGCAAACCAGAGGCAATGAAAAGTGTGTTGTGAGACTGTAAGATTGGTCAAAACCCTAGGAAAAATCATGAAAAAACAATCCATAGTAGGATACAGCATCCGATGAAGTACAAACGCTGGCTTCAAATACAATGAATGATTTCGGAAAATCATGTTCGCACAGCACAATCGTCTTGCAGGGTTCGATCTGGAAGCGTCCAAAGCATCCTGTGGTGACTGCATTGAAAGGCGCGATGATCTCCTTTGCAGCTTTTCAGCTGTAGATCAAAGGGCAAACTTAGGTGGGGTTGTTTCAAAAATTGGAACCCCAAAATCACATGGCTTGAAATTTCAAGCTCATTTCTTATATTTCTTGTTACTCCATTGGCCATAAATTTGGGGTAGATTTCCCATTTTGAGACAAACCCAGGTATCAAGTGGTGCAAGCCGTAAAATCTCTGTTTACAGCAATGCATGGCGGTGCACTTGCATAGCCTGGAATGGTTGGCAGAGCTCACAGGGACCTGCATTGGTGCCTTATGTTTTATGGACCCTTGGCTTGGCTACGCTCACTCGGCACGAATGAACCCCACACATTTTTGCATTTTTTGGCGGGCATTCAACTAATTATCCATCCTTGCCTGATCTTTTTAGATGGTTCAAAATAGGTAAAAGGATCACTTTACACTTTGGAACACAGCCATTTTGGCATAGCTTTGGAACACAAAATGCTACATCACATCAGACCACAGCCAACAAACCAAACATCAGATTTACTGACAGGCGCAGCACTTTGAAAGGCTCGCGCGTTCCAAAACGATGCCTCTACATGCCTCTACCAAAAAACGACGCCAATGAGAGATTTAGTCCTTACATCATCACTTCCACTGTCATGGCTCTTACTACTCTCTGACCTTGGAATTCACTATGGTCAACTAAGTAGCCATTTAGGGTTTATTTGGGGGAGGGGGAGGGTTTCACAACCAGCCATTTGGGGTTCATTTAGGGGGGAACATTCTACGTACATCATCATTTCAGCTACTTTCAAAGGTTGGAACGACTCATTCCACTCTTAAGGGTTCTTCCTCGTCTTTTGCTTTGGGCATCCTTATGCTAACACCAGCCATTTAGGGCTTATTTGGGGGGGAGGGGGGAGTTTTACAACCAGCCATTTGTTTTTTTTGGGGGGGCACATTCTACTTACATCATCATTTCAGTTACCATAATTACTTTCAAAGGTTGGAACGAATCATTCCACTCTTAAGGGCTCTTCCTCGTCTTTGGAAGGAAACCCGGGCAAGCAGCACGGCAGGACAAGATAACGGACAAAGGAGAGAAGCAGGTCAACCCCAAGAAACCCACAAGGAGGCAGGACAGCAAAAGCCTGAACTCCCCCCCACCTTTCCAGTACAGTAGTTTATCATCATGATGATGATGATGATGATGATGATGATGATGACAACGACGACAACAATGATGATGATGCTGGTGGCGGTGGTGATGATGATGTTGATATATAATGACGACGATGATGATGATGATGATGATGACGACGATGATGATGATGATGATGATGATCAGGCTCCAAAGCGATGTGTTTAGGCGCGTTCCAAAGCGATGCGTTTCGGCGCGTTCCAAAGCGAGGACCTTACCTTCAAAATAAATATACCGTTCCCAAACTGCAGGGCCGCCTGTTGGGTTTCAATTTCATGATCTGGCAATGTTCAATATATATATATTATATTATTAGCTTATATTAGTCATTAGTCCGTTTCCATCAAGTCAAGTGCAAACACAAACCACGGACCACCAAGCTCTCATAAGCATTCCAGCGGCTGCTGGCTCTTTCAACCAGCTCTTGTGGGAGCTTGCAGGAAGCTGGGCATCCCCACCATGCAAGATGTGAATTTTCTCCATTCGCATTTGGCTAAGATCGGGCCCGGGGACATGGCGCGCTTTAGAGGCAAAAATGGCAGAAATCGGAAAAGTCGACTCGGAAGTCTTCCAAGCGATGCGCCAGCTCTTAACTCCTGACGCACCAAACTTCATGAAAAGTCCTACTTGGGATTCAAGAGTTATCTTCGACTACAGATACTACATGATACTATGGCTTGCTGTGTTCTCATCAGTGCAAAGCTCTGATGTGATGCTACCTGGGGCAACTTTCAGGGAAATTACAGTATCGAATTGACATAGGATTGAATCGTATCGACAACCCTTGACTGGCTACGAGAGGGGTGTATCTGAAAATGGTGCCTGCCAAATTGCAATTTTATGCCACTGAAAACATTTCACTAGGGAAACCGATGATAAACCAGTGGATTTCCGGGCACTTTATTATTCACCCAAATGCTTCCCCCTGTCTCCGATGGCGGCATTGAAACATGCGACCTGCCCATTCCGCGTCCTTGCCACTCGCTCATGTCCTGGCTCGACTGCAGCAACATGAAGCTGAAGGGAACATCCAAAGAAAACTGGGGAACTCCCATGGGAAATCTTGGAATGGAAAGTTAGTGCCCAGTTTATCCCCGTGGTTTTTCATGATTTCTTGCGCTTTGCACATGGGTCCTGCTATCATTGCCTCGGGCCACTGTAGGTCACGGTCACAGGAGGTAGATGTATGGGCGCGATCTGCGCTGGCACCACCGCCATAGCCTACAGAGCTGCCGCATCATACAGTATAGAGCTTCCAGCCGAAAATGGCCATTGAAGGAGGCACTCCAAACCCACAGCACCAGTGCCTGCATTCTCTGGGAACCAGAGGATGCCTGGCGAAAGGGCGAAAGGGAGCTTCTCTTCCAAACTCTTCAACAGCACCCCCGGTCTTCAAATCATTCCTAAAATTCGTGCCTCCAATCCTGAAACCTTGCAAAACTTGTCGAAAAAATTGCACATGAAACCGGGGCCCTGATGGCCCCCAGCCCGGAGCCCACACCTGGTGGGCCATCGGAAGGGAATTCTGGCGCATCCCCGTGGGTTGCGGAGAGACCGGTTGTGGCAAAGGACCCGACAGGTTTCCACTGGTTCCGCGCATCCTGCAGTGGACCACAGATGAAGGTGACCCAGGTGCTGGAACTTGGGAACCTGTAGGGCCACCAGCATATTTGCGTATTCATGATTGTTAGATATTGTTAGGGGGCATTAAGGCTTATCCTACACGCCGATTATTATAAATTCTGTAGACTTCCGGGGTGGGGCAATTTTCGTCCATGTTCATCAATCTTAATGAAGACTCCCAATAAGGTACCCTTTGGCAATCAAACATGGCAATGGAAAATCGCCATTTAAAATGTAGATGCCGATATTATAGGTGAGTTCCTGGGATTGCCAAACGGTATGCCAGCAAGTAAGTCTTCAACCCCTGCATATCAGCTGAGGGCCAAACATGCTGAAGATGTAGGGCTGCGGAACTCAAGCGGCGCCGGAACTCTGCCCAGACATGTTTCACGATAGATGGATTTACGTTTTTTTAAACTATAAACCATGCCTTGCGCCCCTGAAATAGAAGGGACAAATCATGATAAGACATGGCAAAACCTATCAAAGCGTGCCCGTGCTGTATAATCTGTATAGTATAGTTTTTGTTTTTTGAACCGGGGACATTCACTACGAATTGTTTCCACAACCACCAACTTCGCCAAGAGACCCTGGTGCGCATCCGGTTGAGCTCCACGGGCCCTGGTGGCTGCATCTGATTTTTTGGACCCAAATGTGCAGGGTAAACAAACCAAATAGCCTCCGGCAATCAAACGTGGCAAATGGAAATCCCCTTTTCAAAAATGGAGGTTTTACTATGTTTTCATGAGAAAATAATTTATACATGATGGATTTTCCATTGCCACGTTTGATTACCGGATGCTAATGGCATCATAGAAGCATGGCCTGGATGACTTTCAACCAGCCAGATCCAGGAATGGCTCGAAATTTGGGGTTTGTCCAACAATGTTCAACGGGAAAATGACAAGAAACCACAAGATTTCAGGGGTACCTTATGGCCTTAGGGTACCTTATTTTCAAACAAACCCAATAGCCAATGGCTATCATTAGCTATCCATCTGACATCATCTACCCATCTATCGATATCTATCGTCCCCTCGTCACATCCTGTCACTATCCAAGTCATGACCCCTTAAAGTCCGAGTTTCATTGATGCCGATTGCGCAGATGATGGAAGTGAGCCTCCAGCCATGTTCTCCGGCTGTCATGAAAATGAAGCTGTTGAGCTACGCAGCCGGTTTGCGTGTGTTGAAGCCATCCCCCAAACACAATTCTGGTGAAGTCAAGTGGATTTGATCATTCAAAATGAAGGTCCAAGATCAATGTGTTCATTAGGTTCGAAACCACCAACAACCCTGGAGCCGGAAAGCGCCTGACTGCACCCTGGAGGCAGTAGGCGATCGGCCCTGACATGCACCGGTTCAACTCATCATTTTCCCAATTCATATTATGATCGCCAATATGCGTACATCCACCACTGAACCATGGTTTCTGGGTGGTGCTTAATACTAGGGGGGATACTAGGGAAAGGGATTAAGATTGACACTCTTATCTTACTTTTTTATGGAACCCGCGTTATTGACGCGGCTCGGAGGGTGTCTTTTGAAGATCTGGGAAGTGCACGGCATGGTTTTTTCAACTCCGGGTTTGCAAATCATTGGGCCAACCACAGGTTATGATCGACAGATAGTTTCCTGCGTGCATCTATCTATCTTTATTTCTTTCTTTTCTTTTTTTTCTTTTCTTTTCTTTTCTTTCTTTTCTTTTCTTTTCTTTTCTTTTCTTTTCTTTTCTTTTCTTTTCTTTTCTTTTCTTTTCTTTTCTGTCTTTCTTTCTTTCTTTCTTTCTTTCTGTCTTTCTCTCTCTCTCTCTCTCTCTCTCTAGACCCTAGCTGGTAAATAACTTTACTTCGAGTGACCCCCACCGTGATAAGTTATTCTGTCATAGTTTCTGCATCATCTGGAGGTATCCTTGTCATAACAACCAGCAAAGAGGTCGCTCAATGAAGAAGCAACTGAATAAAGAAAAGTAACTCGCCCATCCATTCATTCATCCATCCATCCCTTCGTTGGTTCATTGGTCCATTGATGCATTGACTCATGGACTCACTGAATCAGTGATTCGCTGGTTCTTCGAGTCGCCGACTCACTCATTCACTGAGTCCTTGATTCATTGAATCATCGTTTCATTGATTCATCGTCTAATTGCTCCATTGATTCACTGAACCATTGATTCATTGTTTCATCTACTCACTAAATCATTCAATCATTGATTCACTCACTCATTGGTTCATTGATTCTTTGGTTCACTGGTTGCTTGATTTGTTGAGTCATTGCTTCGTTGCTTCACTGATTCATTGACCCACTGATTCATTGATTCATTGGTTCCTCGATGCGTTGGTTCATTTGCTCATTAACTCCATCCCCAGGTGCCTGGATGGACGCCAACTGTGGGGTTGACCTCAGGGACGGCTGGTGTCCCATACTGAGCGTAGCGGTCCTTGGGTGCCGATCTGTGGGACAGCCAGTGGCAACATATGTCCTGGTGGATCAACAGGGCCTGGTAAATGTCCTCATGAAACATCACCCAATTATTGGGGACCTAGGGATATAATCTCCCGACAAACACTTGAAGGTGATGTTCAATTGTTTCCAGAAAGGGACAGTTACCAACCCCTGATCAATGCCGTTAGAGACTCTCTTAGGGTCATTTGCTGCATTTGCAACACTGGTGGTTTCAATATGTTTCAATCATCCAAAAACTGGTTTGAAAGCAAAAGACACAAAACTAAGCTTCCCACATCGGCGCCGCAGCTGTTCCTGCAAGGGGCATTGGTCAACAGATGAGATGCTGGCACCGTACCATGGCTGGAACCTGCGCCACTGCCTGATCTGTCCACAATGTTGCAAGCATTCAGACATATCTAAACTAAATGATATTGACACTGACATTGACATTGATATTGGTTCTCCATTCAACAAATCCTCAAGTACGAAACCACAACTCTTAACACCTCGCAATCCGACACTTCACCGCCTGCTCGGCTGCCTGCTGGAGACGCCGGCCCTTTGAATTCCCTGGAGCCACCTCTGCCTTGGCGACTGGACGCCTGCTGGGTATGGATCAAGCCATTCAAGATCTGGGGCCGGGGACCACAGAATTATATGGTCTATTAGTTTATGTCAGTGCGACACTGGCAGCAATGGCAAAAAGAGAAAGTGCAGGCAGCACCGATGAAGAACTTGTTACACTTCTCGATTTGTTGCAGCACCCTTTTCTCGAAGCCGCTCCTCACGATCGGCTAAGCCGCCAGTCTATGGCGTCGCACCAGGGTGTTTCGTGAAACACCCAAAACAGGCAGTAGCCAGCGCTCTGACGTTTGTCAGAGAGGCTGAAGGGGTCCCTTTTGAGATGAAAAAGGAACGTCAAAAATACATGAATGACATGTTCTGCCAACGGAAGTGAAATGTTCAAATGGCTGAACCATGAAAACTGACATGCCCCAAAGGTTTTCGCTGTAGTTGGTAGAATCATGTCGTTGGATGAGCTGTTGCCACGTCATGTCGGACGGTGGCTCAGCAAAATCATCTAAAATCTTCTCAGAAAGCCCTTTGGCCTTCTTACGCTTTGCTGCAATGAACTCCGGGTCATACTTCACCACCCACAATTGGCCTCGTTGAAGGAAATGAAGTAGGGCTTCCGCAGCGGCTGCTTTGGTAAGGCCATCAGCCAACTGAGCATCCGATGCCACCCAGAGAAGTGGTGTGTTCTGTTTTCTGAGGTTCTCGGTGATGGCCATCAAATCCAGCGCGGCATATTTTTCTTTCATAGAAAAAGCTGATGAAGCTCCCTCGCCCTTGTAAAAGGCGTCATAGACGGACTTCGCATCGATGATCACAGCGCCTGGGATTTTTGAAGTTGCCAGTTCAGGCTGTCGAAGGTTGAGCTCATAGCCAGTCAGCTCAGCCCATTCAGCTCTGATGTACATGAGCTCCTGCTCGCCATCACCTAGGGCCTGTATTTCGGCCGACAACGAAGACTTCGCCACCCGGCCAAGTTTTCCACTCTTCCATGAGATAGGGTTTGCCACACCTTTCTGCCCATTGAGGAAGGCAGAATGCACCATTGCAACCATATAGCCTCCAGTCGAAGACATATCAGGCCTATTGCCAACGGCTGCGTCCGTCCAACATGCAAATGCTATGTCTTCGGCTCTCTGGATTCCAAGGTTCTTGATGGCAATGGACTGGAAACGTTGAGCGTGGCATTCTCGGCAGAGCTTGTTGATCTGGTGCAGAATGTCCTTAGAGCCTCGGGGCAATGCGGACTGCAACCAAGAAAGTTTTGCCGAGTGCTGAGGCCCAGTTTGAATGGCTCTCCATTGTATGGCGCCCAATACGGCGCGAGCTTGGGTCATCTCCTCTGGAGAAATGTGGTCCACCTTGTCATTGATGGTGATCTGGTTGATCTGCTCCACGTAGTTGCTGTGGTTAAACGTGAAGCTGAAATCTGCATTTTGCTCCAGAGCAACACCACAATGAGCAAAAGATTGCTCTTCCCAGGGGCTCCACACAAAGGCCTGTTTGAAGAGCTCTACAGTCTTGATCCATTCTGGATTCTCCCACTCGCCGGCCACCAAGAAGTCATCAACGTGGCTGGCAAAGTAGCCAATGGTCCTTCCAGACCGGGCATCCTGTTTGATCCAGATGCAAGGGTCTGTCTTGAGTCTCTTCATGGCACATTTGTTGGCGGCCACTTCATCCACCTCGCCAAACCATTCACGAGGGGCAGAGACCAAACCATATGCGGCCTTCAACATGCGAGCTCCTTCACCGGGAGGAATGCCCATTGATTGGGCCAATTCGGCCACTGGAGTGATGAAGATGTCCCTGTGCTTTTGGGTCTGACGACCTTGTAGAAACGCAGATTTGGCATCAGCTTTGTAGGTCTTCCAGCGTCTCACAGTCGACAGGGAAAGGCAAAGTTGGCGGGATCGCCGGCTCAAAGTTGGGGCGGCGGTCTCCAGGTTGCCAAGGTCAGGGTCAGTGAAACCCAACAGCACAATTCGTGCCTTGCACTTCACCTTTGTCTCATCATCATCAACCGACTTGAAAACCAAAACCCACCGAGTTCTCATCAAACGACTCGGAGGAATCACACCTTTGAAACGCTCGCAAACTTTCTGCTGCACCCATTGGGAAACTTCCAACTGCTTTGCCTCAGCCATCGCAGCACGTTGCGTAGCATTGAGTTTGTGCCAGGCAACTTCAGCACCTTTCGATACTGACTTTGCTGCAAATTTGGCAGGGTTCTTCAGGACCTTTTTCCACTCCGTCTCATCCTTGGGCATGTCGATGATGACGCCAAAGATGTCATTCTCGGAGTCGTCCATTACCCAAAAATTGGAAGCAGGTGGTCCAGCAGCGGGATCTCCAAGTTGTTTCATCACATGAAAAGGGCGGTCAGCCATCTCATGAGATCTCCGAAGGTTTGCAAACTCTGTCCTCCTTCTCTTCAGCTCTTCATCTGCAATTGTTCTCATAGGCATGTAGCGAGGATCTTCCAAAAGACGATCCACATCAAGGTCTTCTGGCCTTTCTTCACCTGGAACTTCTGCAGAAGGTTGATCTTGTTCTGAATCTCGTTGATCTTCAAGAGGTAGTCCATCATCAGCGGGGATCAACTCTTCATCAGAGTCCACCATGTCAGGCTGAGTGGGTTCAGGTGAATCTGCAGGTCGGGAAGCTGAAGCAGAAGAGGTTGCATCTCGCTTGGGCTTGAAGATTGTGACCTTTGGTTTGTTGAGTGAGCCAGGAGGTCGTCCTCGTCGAGGCGGCTCTTTGGTCAAATCCTCATATTCCCCTTTCTGCAAGGTTCGTCCCAGGGAGGTAAATGTCCAGGGCAATGTTGGTGCCTCAGTGGCTTCAGCGATGAGCTTTTCACGCTCACTGGCATGGCGCAATTGGCTTGAGTGGGTCTTCTTGAGACGCCCTTGTGAAATAATCCAAACCACATTTGATGGAGCACGTGTCGCTCCTTCATCCAAAACTCTGGTCTCGGACGCCAAAACACGTCCAGGTCCAAACCACCTTGACACTTTCATAGAAGGCGTGTCAAGCAAGGCATGAGCAGGTGTATCTGCGGGGGTCTTGAACCTTTTGTAGTAGACCAGGTCACCAGGGATGAACTGTGTGGATTTCTGGACTTTTGCATTGAGGGCTCGAGAAATCTTGGCCTGTGCTTGAAGTTCACGATAGCGACCTTCAGCTCGTAGTCGTCGTTGAAGACTGCGATGCATCTCAGATGAGGGATCGCTCTGAGCACTTGCAAGAGCCAAGTTATCTCTTTCATCCACATCGCGGCCAAAAGCCCATTGGTTGGGAGCATAGCCTCCAATCCGTGCAATGCGATTGTGAGCACCACACATTTCAGCAGCGGCTTCAGAGGGAGACGAATCGGCCTCATTCCGCAAGTAGGCGGTCATCTTCTTCTTCAGCTCACCCACACTACGTTCAACTTCTCCAATTGATTCATGATGTTCTGCAGGACATAGTGTGAGTTCTATTCCGCGTTCCTTGCAAAAGATCTCTAAAAGATCACCTCTGAAAGCGCCTTCAAGATCGCATCTGATCCTGTGAGGCATGCCAAAGTACTGAAACCAGCACTGTTGAAGGATCTCCAGGGTCTCGGCAGTGGTGATGTTCTGGTGGTCCTCGTCACTGTGAACTGAGAACTGCTTCACCACCGAAAAACCTGAGGCTTCATCCAGCATGAGGAGGAAGTGATGGACTTGGTCACCGTACTTGAAGTAAAAGGTGTCCATTTGCAAAGTCCTCCAAATCACTTCTTCTTTCTCCAATGCCACTTTGGTGGAAGGTTTGGTCAATTGACCTTCCAAGCATTCCATGCAGTTGAGCTTTTCAGCAACGGCCAAAGTTCGGCCATCAGCACCTCGAGCAGCCAAGGTTTTCATCAAAGCCCGATTGCCAGGATGGCCACAGAGTCGGTGTAATTTGAGAACACTCTGACTCAAATGTTGCAGCTCTTGATCTGTCATTTGTTTGAGACCTTCACGGTCCACTTCCATCTCCAAAACTCCAAATGCTGCGCCAGCTCTTTGATCTTGAAGATAAGCATGGCATACTGTTTGGCATAGCCGTGGAGTGTAGAGGGCAGAGTGCTTGGTGCGGTTGCCACCCATTGTAGGAACATGTTGATGTCCTCCAGGGCATTGTCTTGCCATCGAGGTGAAGACACCCACCTTTGAGCAACGTAGGCACCAAGGCTTTTTGAGAAAACCTTCAGGCACTTGAAGGCCATAGCAGCAACCATCCAACAAAACGTCTTCCCAAGGTTCACGAACTCCAAGAGCTTGCCAAAACTCTAAGATCTCGGGAAACTTCCAAGCTTTGTTGAACCTAGGCCATTCTTGGACAATTTGTCCTCCTTCAAGAACCTGAGCTTCCAAAACTCTGATCCCATTTCTCACAAGCTTCCGTGAGCGGCGAACTCGTTCACGGCTTTTGCGTTTCCCCTCCTCCGTCAGCTCATTCAAAGCCTGTATCGGAGAGGTCGGCCCACATGGAAAACTGGCCCAAAGAAGCTTCGGCTTCAAGCGTCTCACAGCTGAAATGGCCAGCTGCGTTCCATGCTCCGTCATGAGGTCGAAGCCATTGAAAAGACCAGCTCTGAAAGCTGTGCCTCCACCTTTCTCCATGTAGGTGGACAGCAGGCTGTCCTTTTCACAGCAAAGCTCCATAAGGTCAAGCTGACGATGTTGATCGCTATGAGCTATCAAGTTGCCAAAGCACTCCTCCAAATCTTCGTAGTGGCAGTGCAGGGCATCGTTCAACATCTTTTTCTCACAGGGCTCCATCTGGTCAAAGGTTGCGTTGGTCATCCACGCTTCTTCAACATCCATGTTGAAGTCATAGTCATCCATGTCGTCCTTCTTGAAGAACGCCTTGTTGTCAAAGTCCTGAACGTGGAACTTCGGGTCAACCTTTGCCTCATAGTTGAGCTCATTCATGGAGTCGATGTCGGCGGCGTTCCAGCCACCTCGCTCCAAGACTGTGTGGAGCGGCCGTCGTACTCCAACTGTTCGGCTGTCGCCTCTGGTCTCCGAGCTTTTCTTCCAGGTGTTGTTCCCATCTCCTCGGAGTACTGGGCAGTTGGCGTCACTGGAGGAACTTCCGACGCCGTTGCCCCTGTCGAATTGGTCATTGGGCTTCCTTCCTTCTGCTGTTTCATCCAAGCGGCTTTCTGGGCACGCACCATCTCCAGCTTCTTCTCTGCTGACACTTCCGCTGCATCCAAGGCAATGCTGCGGTCCTTCATCTTGTCGTTGTAGCCAGCATTGTTGGGACCTACCTTGGACACCATGTTGGCCGTGTCCGAAGGTAATGGTCCTGCTTTGCGGTGGAGCGCATGGGCTCCGACGGCCGGAGTGTATGACAGCCTCAGTAGGCACTTCTCGCATGCCTCCCACGAGCCGTGGGCATTGCTGCCCGATGGTGACCCGCGGCCTGGTTTGGCCGTCACATGGCTGCCGTAGCATGGAGCTCCCTGGCAACGGGGGTCCCTCACATCTGGTCCCGTGGTGCGAGAGGCATCGTACTTGGTGTCCCAGCTCACCTTGGCTTTCGGCTTTGTAGCCGGTTTCGCAGCCACTTTCGGGGTCGCAGCGATCTTGGCCGTCGGCTGCGCCATGAACAGCAAGAAGTGAGGTGGAAGCCAGGAGGGCTAGAATCCTCAAGCTCATTGCTTGGTCTTGGTCCGCTGAATGATGAGGCGGTAAGAGCATTGAGGTTCTGGCTCCACTGGAACTTGAAGAACGTGACATGTGAGATGTGGTACTGGAAGTGGTCATGTTCATGTTCTGAAATTGCACAGTTTCTTCATGAACTTGCATCAAACTTGAATCATCAAAAACCACAAAAACATCCTCAAACTCAGCTCGGTTGTTGTAGGTGAAGGTGTGCGCAACGATGTCAATGTCCGCGCATGAGTGAGGTGCTGTAGGTGATGAACTTGACTGCTGAAAACTTTCCACCTCATTACTTTTCACCTTCTCAAAATCATTCCAAACTCCATCAAAGCTCACGACATTGAACGCTTTTTCCTCAACCGACATGGGAGAAATCTCGGTCTGGAACAGGATTTTGGCACCACCATCGAGCCAATTGGAACACAAATCCAAAAGAAGGTGTCCGGTCGGAGACCTTTTCAAAGGGACTACCAGGGTCGGGTCGACCGTCTTCATCACCAAGAAACCTTGCTTGGTGTCTAAGATCGCACCTAACCTCTCAAGGGTTCTTATCCCCAGCAGCAGGGGCACTCCTGACGCATCTATCGTATACGCGCCCAACTTGACCTCATGGTTTCCTACCTGCTGCTTCAAATAAACGAAACTTTCTGATTGTTGTGTTTGACCATTACCAAACCTAAAAACTTTCCCCGGACCCGGAACAACTTCAACATGATCTGTGTGACCCAACAATTCTGTCCTTCGCCTGTGAATGGCTTCCAATGCAGCCAGCGAAGTCACTGTCTCCGTTGCGCCTGTGTCCAAAACGGCGTGTCCACGGAGATCTGGATTCGCCACATGAGCAGCCCAGGCATCTTCGATCGATGAAGGCCTGGTCGAAGAAGACGGCAAAGCCACAGCTGCGGTCTCCTCCACATCGGTCACCATGTAGATTCCACCCTTGGCGGTCGAAGGTTTTCCTTTTCCACCGCGCTGAGGGCAGGAGCGGAAGTCGTGAGACTTGCTTCCGCACACAAAGCATCCAGTGTAGCCTGGCTGGCCAACAGATGCAAGCACATCACTCGGCTGGTTCTGGAAGAACGTCTGTCCAGCCGATGAAGATGGCTTGGACTTCCCTTTTCCCAAGCCTTTGCCTTTGCCTTTTCCAAAAGGCTTGCCACCTTTGTAGTATCCTCTGCTGGCGCCCTTGTTGCGCAGCAGCTCACGGGATTCCATGAAAGAGCGGATCTTCTGGTCATAGGCAGCGAAGGCATCATTGATCTCCTTCTGTTGCTCCGGCGAGGCACTCCACCATGCAGCTTCCTCCATGAACTCAGGCCATGTCCAGTAGACGCCGTCGTCGTCCATGGTGTAGTACTCGCCATCTTGATGCTGTGACCAGAAGGTGAATTGGCCCCACTCATCTTGGAACCAGTACCCATTTGAAACTGAAGTCCATTTGGGCTCAGCAGGCATAGGATGGCTTGAGGTCGTCGAAGGCGGTGAAGTCGAGGTAGCCCCATAGATGGCGGCAATGTCTTTGCCGACCCAGTGGACATCATCCAGACTTCCTTCCAGGAATTCAGCTTCATCTGCAGCTAGCAATCCCCATTCTCCACCTTCTTCGATCCAAAAGTTTGGGCGGTTGATGGATCTGCCACCCTTGCCCTTTCCTTTGGCATCTTCTTGAACTCGTAGTTCATCTTCGGCACCTCTCAGCGCATTCTCGATGTCCTCCGCCTTCAGTGAGTTGCCGGTGGTGCTCAAGATGTTGAGCCTCTGTTGAGCTGTGAGGTTGCAGCGCCTCAACATCAACCAACCCAGCAGTTCCGTAGGAAGAACTTCTGGAAGGCCGGAGTCCATCTCAGACCTCTGCTTCATGTGCCAAGCAGTGCCACCATCAGAAGACGAACTGGAGTCTTCTGCAGCTTTGCGCTTTCCAGAGCGCGACTTGGAGGGCGATTCAAACTTTTTCCCATGCCCTTCGCAACGCCACGTTGGAAGGACGTTTCCCCTGTGATGGGGTCTTCTCCAAACTCTTCAACTTCTTCTTCATCTTCTGCTCCATCTCCATGAGGTTCTGCTGAAGCAGCTTGTGCCTGACGTTCTGGAGTCGGCATCTGCTCTGGTTCTGGCACTGTGCCAGCTGAAGCTCTGCGGGATCGCCTCGAAGGTGAAGTCGCTGAAGAGCCAGGTGTCGGGGTCCCAAGAGTTTGCACATCCCCTCGCAAAGTGGAGGGCGAAGGAACCATTGAGCTCTCACGGCCTGGGCTAGTCGGCGCCTGTGATGCCGGCCTTGCCCTCTTGAGAGCCCTTTGCAACTTCCTGTAGGACTCCCTGACAGTTGCGCACCAGGTAGCCATCGTCATCCCAGGTGGTCGGCGAAGACGAACTAAAAGTTCTTCTGCACGAACACCTGCGTCAGGGACTGGTACTCGGGCGAGCTTCTCCTCCAAGAAGTCCACGAGGTACCGAGCACCATCAGGCTGAGTCAGCTTGGTGTGGTCGATCTCCTGGGTAATGACCCATGCACGGCCTGTCAATTGGGCCACGAGATCGGGGCCAAGATGCTTGCGGCGCCTCCGTCTCGTCTTCTCGAAGATCAACCTCACCCGGCGCACATAGTCTGGGAAGGTACTGATGTCGCCATCCCAGCCACATCGAAAATCCTTGTCTTTGTCACCCATCGTGATCAGGAGGACAATCGGGTCAAACTCCGTCACACGAGCAGTGATTGCACCACTATGTGGATATTCTGCACCCCTCGAGCTCTGATTGCGTCGCCAACCAAAGTAGGCAAAGTTCCAGGCTCAAGCAGTGATTGCAGCAAAGCCAGGTCCAAGAGGTTCTGCTTGTCACACGCAGTGAGGCTCACCCCAAGGCCCTTGCAGACCTTCCACTCCGCGTTACCACTCTCGCGGAAGATCTCAGGCAGCGCTCCGCTACCAGTGTCATTGCGACACTGGCAGCAATGGCAAAAAGAGAAAGTGCAGGCAGCACCGATGAAGAACTTGTTACACTTCTCGATTTGTTGCAGCACCCTTTTCTCGAAGCCGCTCCTCACGATCGGCTAAGCCGCCAGTCTATGGCGTCGCACCAGGGTGTTTCGTGAAACACCCAAAACAGGCAGTAGCCAGCGCTCTGACGTTTGTCAGAGAGGCTGAAGGGGTCCCTTTTGAGATGAAAAAGGAACGTCAAAAATACATGAATGACATGTTCTGCCAACGGAAGTGAAATGTTCAAATGGCTGAACCATGAAAACTGACAGTTTATTATTTTTAATATTTTTAATATGATGACCTATCCAATTCATCCAATTCTTGGGGTACCCAATGTTGACCCATACCATCCCATACCCATTTGAAGAGACCAAAAGTCAGCGGGCAACTTGCTCACTTATCAAATGACAAGGGGAAATGGTGCTGTAGGAAAATCATCCGAAAAAACCACCTGCCATGCTTAATGAGCTGAGGGCAAGCCTCCTGTGCCCCAATGCCCTCTACCACACAGTCTCTACTGCGATCCACGGCTGGTTCCGCCCGTTCCACCAAGCCACGCAAGCCCATGCGCGATGTGGGTGAACTCATAGGCGACTGGCAAGTGCGGCGGAAAACCTTTGAAACAACCAGTCAGCAAACATACCCAAACATACCCAATATGATCCAAGGCAAGAATAAGATCTGGATGTCATTGAAAATCTCATGCACCCCGTATTGCCAATTGAAATTATATAGTCTAAACCTATGTGTAGAGCCGAATCTCTCACCCGGGCCTCGTTCTCACTCTCCATGCATCCCTGCCGTTGCAACGTCGCCTTCACGGAATTCTTGGCACGCTCGATGGAGTTCTAAGGTGTGGCCGTCAACGGGCCATCACTGGCTGTGGCCGTATCTGGTTGTGTTTTACAAACATGTTGCAGATGAACACCACCACAACTTTGGAAAAACAGCAGAACACTGTGAAGCCAAATGTTTTACTCACAGGTTGACATGCAAGATAATCGAAATGTTTGAGCACGCACTCATTCAAAGGCCCCCTGGCCCTTTTCAAAGGGATGCTTTTCATCTTTGCACAGGTGAGAGGCAGTTCGGCCACGAAGAAGCAACAAAATGCACCGAGCTAGCCAAAACAGGAAAATGATGGTGAAATTTAAACCTAAAATACATTTAAATAAAATAAAATAGTAATAATAATAATAATAACAATAAATAATAATAATGATAATAATATTTTGTCAATTTTTGTCATAAGTTTTTTTGGGCCCATTTTTGTTTTATAATACTACGCGCAAACACCCCGATTCGCCCACACCCCTTCTATGCTGTACACTTGGGGATATCAAACGTTAGACTTTACATTCAATTGGGAAGATCAACAAGGGTATTTAGGGAATATAAATTTCCCACCACCGTTAAACTTCTACATTCATTGAAGATCTTCAATAAGGGTTTAATTCTCCCACCCCCGTTAAACTTCTACATTCATTGAAGATCTTCAATAAGGGTTTAATTCTCCCACCACCGTTAAACTTCTACATTCATTGAAGATCTTCAATAAGGGTTTAATTCTCCCACCCCGTTAAACTTCTACATTCATTGAAGATCTTCAATAAGGGTTTAATTCTCCCACTCCGTTAAACTTCTACGTTCATTGAAGATCTTCAAAAAGGGTTTAGTTCTCCCACTCCGTTAAACTTCTACATTCATTGAAGATCTTCAATAAGGGTTTGATGATGATGATGATGATGATGATGATGATGATGATGTGTAAGAGACTCGCACAGGTCCCTATGCTGTGCGTGCCGATATACAACATGAAGTTAGCCATTATGCAAAAAACTCCCATTTTTATCACGTTTTCAGCACATACGAAGATGGCCGCCGACAAGCGCGGGCAAATCGAGGTGTTTGCCCGTAATACTACTTTTAGACGAAGGCAGGGTACCCTTCTACTCAACAACCTCGTCCCACACACAAAAAATATGTTTTCATTGGAAAAAATGTGTTTTCATTAGAAAAAATATGTTTTCATATTATGTTTGCCTCCATTGGTCCATTCCAATATTTTTCCGACACCGTGAAATTCCGAAAAAAACAAAAACACAGCAACTCTGAAAAGCCACCCTTTGAAAAGATCCCCAGAGATGAAGAAAGACACACCTGGCTTCAGATTCCCACAAATCAATACAGTGAATGAACGTCCATCGGCATTTCTGGCTTGATTGATAGTTGGTAGCCCGCAATCCAGGTTCTTAGCAGGTTTAATCATTAATCCCTCTGGTTGCTGCTTGTACCACTTACTTATATCATATATCCTCCTTAATTTTGGTCGAGTAAATGCCCATCATTATAGGGTCATGTACAAGACAAGCGTTTACACCCACGTTTTACACCCACGTTTACACCCATCCCCATTGGAACCCGGTTGCCATGGTGAAGTTGTAGGCTTCAGGGAGCTTCGCTGCAACAGCCAATTCCTGGGATTGCTCAGCATGGCGACCGGTGAACATCGCCAGGAAACATGTTGGAAGCGTATGACTGACTCATTGGCTTTGACTTCGAATATCTTGGAATCTTGGAACATTGTATGCCAGGACCACCCCAAGGAGAAACAAAATAGATCTTGGCATATCTATCTATCCATCCATCCATCCATCCATCCATCCATCCACCCATCCATCCATCCGCCTATCCGTCTATGAATTTATGAATATATGAATCTATCTATCTATCTAATCCTATCTAATCCTATCTAATCCTATCTAATCCTATCTAATCCTATCTAATCCTATCTAATCCTATCTAATCCTATCTAATCCTATCTAATCCTATCTAATCCTATCTGTCTATCTATCTATCTATCTATCTATCTATCTATCTATCTATCTAATCCTATCTATCTATCTATCTAATCCTATCTATCTATCTATCTATCTATCTAATCCTATCTATCTATCTATCTATCTATCTATCTAATCTAATCTATCTAATCTATCTAATCTATCTAATCTATCTAATCTATCTATCTAATCTAATCTCAACTAATCTCATCTCATCTCATCTCATCTCATCTAATCTAATCTATATAATCTAATCTAATCTAATCTAATCCAATCTATCTATCTATCTATCATCCATTCATCCATCCACCCATCCATCCATCCATCCACGGTATGTACAATGAGTATGTGTATATATATGTATAAATACATTGATATCATGATGTGGTTGGTTGTAACGGTTCTGGGGCTCGTTTGGCACTGGCATGGTCTGCGTCCTCCAAGAAAAACACATTGCGAAGGCATGAATCAATCACCCGTGGCTATCATAGCCCAGCTTGCATCGCGCAGCACAGCGGAAGAAGGAAACGGTCAACTGCAAGGCTTCTTGCAGCAAAGGAACATCAACCTTTGCTTTCACCGTTTGGTTCCTATGGTAGTAATAGTACAGCACTCCAGAAGATGTACTCAGCAAAGCCAAGAAGAAGAAGGCCAACCTGGGTCCAGGTTGGGGACAAGGGAGGCAAATCAATCGGTTCAACAATCATCAGCCCAGGCAGTAGGGAGTTTCAAGTGTAAGACTACTTGAACCGATTGCCGATTGAAGAGCCCAAGAGACAAGCATTAACCCCAAGTTGTCTTCCCCCATTAAATCTTCTTCATTTGTATTCACCAGGTCCTAAATATTGTTGGTTATGAATGAATATGTGTGTACTTATATATGCATATATGTATACATGCCTTCTACATACATATAAACAAGTTGTTTTGTATGTTTACATATTCATTTATATCCCAATTATTTGTCTGTGCCCTCCATGCGGACAAATCTGCGACGCCACACTCGCGGCGTAGCCTATATCCCATTTATTACATCATAGCATGTGCATGAAAATTACTCCACTATGGATATTATTCTCGGATTATTTTCAGTTTACTTCTCATGTTGTTGACGGCATCCATGTTGTTGGTCCATTGTGTATATATATATATACATATGTGTGTGTGTGCGTGTGTGTGTGTGTGCGTGTTATATTCTGTTATTAAAACGCCAGCTTAACCCCCTTTTTTGGATGGCAAAAAAATGCATGTTTGATAGGGAAAAACACAACTTTGATAGTTGAACCAAAGTTTTACACAGGAAAAACACCTGTTTTGATGCTTGAGCATGCATGTTCGCTTGGTTTCTCCCCGTTATCTTCACCAAAACCTAGACATTTCACCGCGTCACACGGGTCCGTTGTTCGTTGCGCGTTCGTCAGCCTTGGCCATCGCAGCGTCCGTGTCCGCCACGAACTGCGGCGCTTGCGCCTGAGCTATGATCAAACCAGATGAGTTTTACAATGATCATAATGCCGGCTAATAGCTAGTTATAATAATGAACAAATAGCATCAAATAGCTACTTAATTGCTACTTAATGATCATAGATGTATACTGATTAATAATTGATAAGCCCATTGATACAGATTAACGACCATGGCTAGTCGGTGTTTAGTCATGGTTAACCATGTTTAAGTTGATAGTTTGATCGTCCGAGGGGAGAAATTGTCAAAAACACTCCATCCTCACACGGTACGCGCAATAAATTGCAACATGTTTTGTGTGATTTCTCCCCAAACATGTCTAGATTCTAGATTTCCATGATTTTGACCCTCTGGAGATAGAATTCGGCCACTAGAAGGTAACAATTGCCAAAAAAATCGCCATCAGGGATTTTCAAAACCGCATTCTATCTTTCAATCCGCTCCTATAGTCTTATACATATTATTGCCATCAAGCCTGATCCATGCCAATAGGCCATTAGAATGGTAGTACCATGGTACTGTAGTATGATAGTAATCATGGCCATTAGTCATTATAATCAGAAAAAAACAAGCATGATAGCAGCGACCATGAAAATAAACAATACTGATCAGAGTAATATAGAACGATGAGAATGATGTTGGGACACAGTTGTACAGTCATCGTGTTTGCCACCATAATCTACACGATATATTGTATACATATATAAACATAATATGGGTGTGCTGCATTTACAAACACAATATTTCATAGTAGTGCTGAGCATGATAAGCGTGAAGATCATGATGACAACTGCAATTGTGATGATAACAATAACAACATTTTAATTAATAACCATAACATATACTAACAATAGTAACAATTAAAGGTCATAATATGTCATAATCACAAGCATCATCTCAGTATCCATGAAGGTCAAACGAATTGGTGCATTCTTGGCCTTCCACCCATCTTGGTGATGCAATAAACCACTAGGATCCACTAGGAATCCGCCAAGAGACGGCCAGTACGGCAGCATCTATCTTTTGATAAACATCCTTGGCAAATCCAGGTTCGCAACCCATGGCAAGCGAGGGGTTGAAATTAGTTGAATCATGTGATGAAACACTTGCAACCAAGGTGCCAAGCGCTTAATGTTCCAGAAGGCATTGCCTCACAAATCGGGGAGTTTGGGACAAGTTCTGCGTTGCGGTTCATGTCATGGCATGCACATGCTGTGCTTTTGGCAACCTCCCATTCCATCAGCTTTCTACACTTCCGTTTTGATGGAATGAGCCACCGTAGTCCCCAGCTACTTTAGACATGGTGCTGAACATTCCGATTCTCCATATTTACCAGGATCCCAGCCCTTCAGATTGTTTTGGCCTGAAAAATCCGGAGAAAAACCCAAGGTTTTGCTCTCATCCCAGATCCCAGCGGCTGAAGGCTCCAGGGCTGTTGCGCACGTAGTCCTCGCAGCTTTGCTTCAGCCAGGGGCAACTGGCTTGAAACGTCGACCCGGCATAGTCACCTCAGGCGAAACAGGCGAAGACGTGCTGGTGGCCTGGATGATGGTGCGATGGTGGAGAAAAAATTCAGCTACAGTGGGATCCAATGGGTTGTCCAAATTGCCGCCAACATGGAACATGCCCCGCTTTTTAACTTCTCAATCATCATGTCCCCCATGAAATGCTGCGAAGCCAAATATATATATATATTATATTATATTATATTATATTATATTATATTATATTATTTTATATTATATTATATTATATAAAGGGCCTATGCTGTATAGTATGCCCGCTTTTCAGACACATCAGATCCATATCATTCATGATCATTCCATATCCAATGTGGTGACATGTGGTGACCAAGCTGCCACAGAAGGTTGTATCAAATACCATCCTCATGTTCTTGAAGTGGTCAGCGCTGCACCTCGGTCCGCGCGTTGCTGATGGCAGCTACGAGGGCCGCTAAAGTGCGGAGAAGGCACCACCGCTCATTGAGAGTGAAGAAGGAGTTGGGGGTACCCCACCTCGGTGGCCGAGAGAAGCTGAGGATGTCAGTTCTGTCAGAAGCTCAACCGTATCGGAAATAAATATAGATCGATTATATGTGATTATATCATCAATGTCAAAGGATAAGAGGCACAGAATGGCATAGATCATGTTGTCTCTATCTACATCACTCTACATCCCAGATTGCTTCTGCCCCAACAAATTCTTCTCACCAAGACTCAAATCAGGTTGCGGAGATCGCACCACCAGATCAATGGGCTCCTTCCCCTTCGGGAAGAACCAGGTGCGCATGATCTTCCCGTTGCGACCCTTAAAACGTGCGGGTCTGCCATGTGTAGCGTAGTGGTGTTCAGGCTATTGGGACCGCAGAAACGTGGATAAAACATGAGCTCATTGTCATACACGTGTATAGTTATAAATTAGCGAAATCAAACTTGGAGAAACGAGCTAAAACCGTTATTTCAGGATGGTTCCAAAATGGTTCAGGAACCTAAACCGCTGCACATAAGGAACCGAACCGGTCCGGAATCGGAAAAAATAGAATCGTTTGGAATCGAATCGGATTGAATCGACCAGGATTTTAAGGAACCTGAACACGGCAATAATTAAGAATCGAATCAAACATGAATCGGTCGGTTGTTTGAACCGAATCGCCACGAATCGATTTTCAACGGGAACCGAATCGACGGGAATCGGGGCCATGCATACCCGGGATCATATATATAGTTCTTGTATGTTTGTATTGTCTTGAACCACGCAAGTGCTTGAGATAATTATTGCATACTATCTTACTATGCAAGCTTTAATAAAATACGAACTCAGTTTTATACAAGCGCCGTGACCAAGTAGTGGATAAACGGTCAAATATGATTCAATAAATTAAATCTTATTTTCTTATCAAATTTTTATATAAATTTCTTGGATCTATGTGTGAATTTGGGTGCATGAATACAATAAGGGAAACCAAAATTGGAGGGACTTCATATTCTTCTAGTTTATCCTGAGTGATTGAATTCAGAGTTTGATCGACGATATTTCTCAAAAACGCACCAGCCAGCCGCCAGTATCCATCACGGCCCTTTTCCGTCTCTACATCAGCGGACCACGTTATAGCCTGGATCTTGCTCCTGGCGCTGCCAAGACATGGTAACGGTTAAATTACATGGCCAGGGATGTGAAGACAAATCTAAAATACGAACGATGAGGAATTCAATCTATTGGGAAATCACGCAAATTCGACCCATAACCATGAAAACTATCCTGCTACAACAAGAAGGTGGAATTTGAACAACAAAGTCCACCAGGCTAATTGAACTATATAACTATGAGGGTACGGACGATTGGCTATGAACCCTGGAACTCCAAGGGCAAACATGATTTCCATCTCTGTATGTATCTTGCCCCCACCAAGTCACATTTGAAGATTTTAACAGGTTTCAGACTAGTTTCAAAGTAGTTTCAGACCCCTAGAAGGGACAGGTTTGGTGTGTAGATATGTAGCTGGGTAGCTAGGTAGGTACGTAGGTTGGTATGTATGCATGTGTGTATATAACCAATCCTACTATCGAATTTCGTCCGGGAATGCAACTGAAGCATAACTGGAAGAAACTTAATATACATTATCATACATTATGCCCGTGACATATCCCCGTGATGTTGAAAGAGGCATACATTATATACCATCAGTGGACATGACATATCCCCGTGATGCCTCCGATGCCTGCAGGTTATGATTCACGTCCGTCAGTCCCAAGCGGGCGATTGCATCACCATTATGGCCAACACCTGCCCTGGAACGCCAAGGGCCAAAAGATACCATCAGTAAAATTGCAACCCATATGATCTATATATCTGGTAGGCAATGGCACATACCAACGGACATAGTTGTTATTGTCCGCTTCGGATCTTTGGTATGCATCCTCAACCAAACGCAAGCTAAGCTAGCGAGCGCACCCGCACTGTGCACCAAGTGTTGGTGGAGAGTCAGAAGGAAGGAGGCGATCCAGATACCTGCCAGGCTGCTTTGCTGGTTGCTGCCTTGACCCCAAAGTTACCATTTGGCCACAAACGCGGCTCCAGGTACGCATGTAATTGGTTTCAGGTAGTTTTCAACTACATCATGAATGTAGAATCGAATTTGGTATACGGTATACTGCTCATCTTGGTCAAGCTCTGGAACTCCTTTGAACTCAGCATTTCTGCTGTATACGGCTATTATACGGCTCATTTTGGTCAAGCCCTGTAGATGAGCCGTATACTGGCCGTATACAGCAGACATGCTGAGTTCAAGTCAAAACTAGGGCTTGACCAAGATGAGCCGTATACTAGCCGTATACAGCAGACATGCTGAGTTCAGGTAGATTTCAACTACCTTCTCTGCTCTATAAGCTTGTCGCGGGTGCAACGGAAACATATGTGCAACCTACGGGGCAAAACTCGCTTGATACACGCACACGCACATGGATATATACCTACAGAGATACCTTCATACCTACTACATAGCTACAGACCTGCATTCCAAAGATGTCCCTTCTGAGGGTCTGAAACAGGTTTGAAACTTGTCTGAAACCCCATCGAAAGGGAAAGGGAAAGGCAGAGCCAAACATGTCCCTTCTGGGGTCTGAAACTGGTATGAAACTGGTCTGAAACCACATCCGAGGCTTCAATTGTGTCCAATGGGAAGAGGAGAGCCAACCATACAGAAGACTGTTTGTTTGACATAAACTCACTTTTCCATCGCCGTCCATTGTATTCGGGGGCACACGGGATGTGAATTCGATATATTGGCATCATAATTAAATTTGTAGAATTACGGCTCCATGTCTGTCGCATTCCACATGCCTACGTACCAAGCCTTGAACCCTATGCATCCATATACACAAACACATAGATCCATACATGCATACATACATAGCTACGTACCTAAGTACCTACATGCCTACATAGCATAATCTGACCCTTCTGGAGGTCTGAAACTGTGAATTTTGCCCTGGATATCCGAGGGTCATACAAAAAATATTGTGTGCATCATAGGAAAGAATTCCACACAAGTTTGACAGCGCGCAAATGTTCCCACGCCTGTCAAACATCCAACGTTCCTAGGGATCGCCGCGGCCCGCCGCCCGAAAAGGCTGCGAGAAGCTGCTTTTGTTTCAGAAATGTAAACACGTATATTTATATATGAATAAAATGTAAAAAATTATATTTATATATGAATATATATATATATATATTATTTATGTATATTTAAATATATAAATATATATTCATATATAAATTAATATCTACACATATTTATTAATATATGTATGTATGTCTCCTTATGTATATATTTGTATGTATATATAGATAAATAAATAAATAAATAAATAAAATAAATAAATAAATATATATATATATTGAAAAAGAACCGCAAGCTATCGAATCGAACCACAAATGGAAACGCAAGCTATCGAATCGAAATTCAACGACGAATCCAAATCAAAGATTGGATCGCAAGCTAACGAATTGATATTAATCAAGAATCCCTTACTAACGACCATACTCCCCGCAGACCTCGAATCGTTCCGAATCGAATCGGAATCGAATCGCGCTAGGCGGAATCGAAAACCAATTCTCTCGAAGTCAATTCCTTCTATAAAAAATCGAATCGAAATCGCCAAAAACGAACCGGGACCACCCTGTTATTTACCAAACGAAAATGGTTTGAACTGAGGTTTGAATTCATTGAGACACCTCAAAAAATCTCATGCAAAAACCGCTACTTGTTTAAAGAAGCTTGAGACGTCTGAAATCAATTGGTGCCAAGCGGTGAGCTAGGGTCCCAACCCCATGTGTCCACTCAGCTACAAAAGTTCCACCTGATGCAGAATGACAGAGTGGCGGATTCAGGTAAATTCCATCAAGACAAGCAATGAGAACCAGACAGTGATGGCCCCGTGCTGTGCTAGATTGTTCATCTGCGGCAATGGCCAAGAGCAAATACCGACCAAATAATCTAAATAATTATACGTATGTAAAAACGGAACCTCGAAACTATTGAATTCATATGAATTCATGTTTAACTTGTTGGCGTGACTCATATGGTCCCATATCTTCCATCTTTCCCTGCCAGCAATAGCCATCTTCCCATCTGCCATCATCTGCCTCCATTCTTGTTGAATTCTGGGCCAAAGGATCCGTCCGGCAATTTCTGACCGCAGCCCTGGTTGGAGAACTCTTGCGGAGCCTTTACCTGAAAGTCGTCAGCCCAGCGGACCAGCGCTGGTTACCAACAAAAACCATACACTCATGGGATAATATGTGTTGGGGCCCCAACAAAAGCTACAAAACCCACCACTAAACCAGGGGATGATTATATGTGTCGAAATGGTGGTGTCATCTGTTTAGATGGAGTAGTTTACTGAAAAAATCCCACCGAAAAGCTGGTAAGTTAGCATTTCAGACCAAAAAATTGTTCAGAATTCCGGTTTCAAATGTTTCGCGAAGTTTGCCCATCCATTCTGGGACGGGAGGCGGCCCCATTTTCCCATTGTTCCATCGCTCTAAGGGCGGCCAAGGGGCCCAGCAATTCTTGGCCTTGTTGGTCCCAAGGGACCCAGTGGCCCAGCCCTGCCCCACAAAGTCAATGCCCAGATTCACATCCCTCCTGACATGGCGAAGCTTCGCTGGGAGCTGGTTTGCCAGAAATGATGTTCTAACTTCTAAGCTGCTGGATGTTGAGATTTCGGGGGCACCATGGGGCACCACATGTTCAGACAAACCCATTGCAGGCAGTTGAACGCCAACCTTCAAACCGTGGACCGGGATAGTTTCCGCGTTCAGGCGAGGCACTGGTCACAGCTTCTGCGTGTATGGAGGGTCGTTGTAGCCTACAGTCATCTGACTTGAAGCAACGAAGTCACCACCCCTAATTTGGCGATAGCATTTAATTAAACAAAATGTATGAAGTTGCAACCCATTGCAGCGAAACATCAATGAATGTGGAGGCTGAATAGGCTCAAATCGACAAATCTGAAACTCTGTGCTGTCTGGCTGTCTCTGATTCTTTCTCTCTTCCACTGCCAGGGCACATAGTTTGTCATATGGATGGATTCCTCAGTTGAGTATGCTATCAGCTTCCATAAGCATCAGAGTTGGAAAAACACTATGTTTGTTGCTGATGTTGTGGGATTTGGGGACTGCATCATGCTTGGATCACAGCAAGTCGAGCATAGTGGGAGTATGTGGGAGTCATAACTCTTCGATGTCCCACCGAAAAAGAAGAATGTCTCGCATACCTTGTTAATTGATTACTCAACTCGTGCCTTAATTCACTGAAACATACTGAAACGCACCTGCTGGAGTGCTCCAAGTGTCTAAAATGTCGTACTCCCCCCAGCGCGGCCAGGCATGTTGTGCATCATCTCCAAACATCCAAAAGGCTGGCCAAGCGCCACAAGCCGTCGGGACGTTTTCGAGAGTCACCACGAAAAGGCCGCCATTGTAACCTGAGATTATTAATGGCTGGATTTCAGGGGGAAACCCACAGGACATCATTGTTTTTTCATATTTTTTCCGATGTGTAGAAATGCGTAGAATCTATAGAGGGTTCTTGATGTAAATCGCCCCATCCAATTCAGAGAGATTTGGGTGGAAGGGCAGAAAAACTACGTATCCCATGATCCTGCCAAGCAGATTGGCTATGGAATTGACAGCGGGAAACATGTGCGAAAAACACGGCGAAAATCAGGTCAGTTATGGATCCTCACATCAGATATTCAATGCAATGCCTTCATCCTGGCACCAAGTAAAGTCAAGTGGCTGTTCTTACTCTCGATCCTCACCGCCTTCCGGCCACCTGCCAAGACCAATTCGGCAATGGAAACCTATGGAATATCATGAAATATCTCTTTTGCGATAAAGGAATTTCATGAATTGGCCATGTTCATCCAACTCACACTTCCAATTTACTTGTCGAATGTTGCATTTTTCACCTTGATCTGAAGCGGGCAGCCGCCACCCCTGTTCCATTCCCAGGATCTGTCAAGATATGTCAGGGGTTCCCGAGTGCCTTGACCACCGACAACTGTGGTGTTGTCCACACGCATGAGCACACCAGCCTGGCCCATGGACTACGTCTGTCTGTCATTGGGGATCCTCCCAAATATGGTTGGAAGAAACAAAGCGTTTGATTTGAAAGCACCAACCAGCTTTTGATGTGTCTCTCTCCCCCTTTCTCTTGATCGCCGGCCTAGTTTTTGATGTTTATCTTGAGTTTTGTTTTTCAGAAAATTGGCTCTGCAAAGGTTGCCACCAGGATTGGCGCACCTCTGATGCATCAAGCAGTTTGTTCTTCCAGCCCTCCCACTCAGACACAAAGTCCACCTGGGTTCGGTTCATTCGCCCAAACATGGGGCATGGGGATACCTCTGCTTGATGTTATTATTGGAACATATGGGGGAATAGTCACATCTACTAGTATGATGCACATAAAAATGGGAATAATGGAACATATGCGGGTACCTCTGCTTCAATGAAGAAATTTTGATCAACATGTTTTTCCTTTTTTCATTTCAGCTCCAAGCGTCGGTTCCGTGGGTGGGATCTGGACCAGTGTAGAAATTCCAATATTGAAAGAAGTCCGGACCCACGTACTGCTCAGGCTTGCCATACCTCATGACTTGCCCCGAGCTCACAGCGATCAAAACGAGGAATCCTGCAGTCGCTGGGCCGGGTCTGCTTCGCCTGCCTAACATCATGCTGCCAGGCCTAATGCTACATTTACCAAAGGAAGTTTAGTTAGAAAACTTCCGACTTACGAACAATGGTCATGGTTAGCGTCCAGACCATCATGTATACCACGCATCATCATGTTCATCCTATCATCATGCCAGCCACATCATCATGTTAACCCCATCATCATGTCAACCACATCATCATGTCAACCACCCATTATCAAGTAGTTTGGGAAGTGCAACAATCCGGAAGCGCGTGAATTCACGGGTGAAAAAACTCTCGGACGCGAAACCCTGGGTTTTTTTCAGGTATTGTCATTGTGGCTCCTGGGTTCGCCGGAGTAGGGTCGCTGTTTCCGCGGGTTCGCGATTTGATCTGGGAAAGTTGTCAGCACAAAGCGCACAGGACTGTAGCGAGAGCTCCATTTGCAGTTCAAAATTCTGAAAGCTGAGGTGCTCGGAGCACCAGACTGTAGCGAGAGCTCGATTTCAGTAAAAAAATGGTAAGAAACTGGCGGTCCCTGAGCCGCGCGAACGTTGGTCGGCGACGCTCCTGCTATGCGGGTTTGAAACTGGCTCTGGCATGGCTGCGCGCAGCAAAGCATGAGTGGTGCTGCAGCGACGCCCCAGGCAAGCGCTAAACGAATTGTAACAGCTGCGCGAAAGGTAGTTCTTGACCATAGTGCTACTCTTGTGACTCTTGTGCTGTGCGGGATTGCAGCTGGAGGCTGCTAAACGCATTGTTCTAGCCCAACCATTCGCATTCAATAAAGTTACCCTGCTTTCTGAAGTGCAAGCTGTCCCCAACTTTGCCAACAAGCGCTGACATCTGCGGACCCTTTTTCTCGTGCTTCATCCCAATCCCAACGCGCCTCCGTTTTTTGGATGGCTCTTCAATTTGCTTGTCAGTTTTGCTGATGGCTGAGTGCTTGCTGGTAGTCAAAAAGCTCCACCATTGCCAGCACCGTGTTTGGTCTGAAAAAAGTGAACAGTAAAGTTGCCAGACTGACTGTGAATGTAGCTGTGCTGAAAAGTAAACCCCCAGGAAAACAGCAAAAATGGTATCGTTCTGTTTGGAACCTAGTTCCCCACATCTTTGTGTGGGGTTCTTGTTTTTGGTTGTGCACTGCCGCCGACCTCTCCGCCGGCCGCCGCCACCCGCCTGCTCACACACTGCCCACACACAACTTACTCACACACAACTTGTTCACACACAAAACTTACACACAACTTGTCCACGCACAACTTGTCACCACACAACTTGTCCACACACAACTTACTCACACACAACTTACTCACATACAACTTACTCACGCACAACTTACTCACACACAACTTACTCACAAACAACTTGTCTAAACACAACTTGTCCACACACAACTTGTCACCACACAACTTGTCCACACACAACTTACTCACACACAACTTACTCACATACAATGTGACATACAACTTACTCACGCACAACTTACTCACACACAACTGACTCACACACAACTTGTCCACACACAACTTACTCACAAACAACTTGTCTAAATACAACTTGTCCACACACAACTTGTCACACACAACTTGTCCACACACAACTTACTCACAAACAACTTGTCTAAACACAACTTGTCCACACACAACTTGTCACCACACAACTTGTCCACACACAACTTACTCACACACAACTTACTCACATACAATGTGACATACAACTTACTCACGCACAACTTACTCACACACAACTGACTCACACACAACTTGTCCACACACAACTTACTCACAAACAACTTGTCTAAATACAACTTGTCCACACACAACTTGTCACACACAACTTGTCCACACACAACTTACTCACAAACAACTTGTCTAAACACAACTTGTCCACACACACAACTTGTCACCACACAACTTGTCCACACAGAACTTACTCACACACAACTTGTCCACACACAACTTACTCACATACAACTTGTCACCACACAACTTGTCCACACACAACTTACTCACGCAGAACTTACTCACACACAACTTGTCCACACACACGCACACAACTTTGCGTGGCACTTGGTGACCTCGACCGTCACTTTGCGTGGCAGGCATGGCACCTATGGCATTGGACTGGCTCTGGTGGCGCGCCTGGGTCTCCGTTGGACGCCGTTGTCCTGGAGCTTAAAAAGAACGCATTGATTCATTGATTCAACGCTTCATTGACTCTACTCACTACGAGTACGTTCATTCATTGGTTCATTGGTTCATCGACAAATCATTCATGCATTGATTCATTGATTCATCGCTTCACTGAGTCATCGGTTCATTGTTTCACTGAGTCATCGAGTCATTGGTTCACTGAATCACCGATGCATGGATTCATTGATTCACTGATTCATTGGTTCATTGATTCACTGATTCACTGATTCATCGATTCTTTGCTGCACTGATTGGTTGATTCATTGATATTCATTGAGTCATTGCTTCGTTGCTTCATTGATTCACTGATTCATTGGTTCATTGATTCATTGATTCATTGATTCACTGATTCATCTATTCTTTGCTGCACTAATTGGTTGATTCATTGATATTCATTGAGTCATTGCTTCGTTGTTTCATTGATTCACTGATTCATTGGTTCATTGATTCATTGATTCATTAATTCATTCATTCAGTTGTGAATGAATCTTTCATGTCATTTCATTGGCATCTCAACCACCATACTCCCTCGTTGATGCACCACAGCTTCAACCGCTCATGGTTTCTGCATCTCAAAAACGTTCCTATAGGCCATTGATTTCTTACCGGCATCTCCTATTTTCGAAACTTCCGCCCCGGTGCAGGCCAGGCATATAATGTGGCAAGCCCAGTAGTAAACCTACCATGTGGCGATGGGTTGTAGGTGGTGATTTTAAGATTGTTTTGGGGTTAAACACATTTCATCTAATTCATCTTCTATCAAATTGACCTAAATTCGAGGCGAATGCCTATCAACAGCAAAGCCACTACGGCCTGGAAAAGTCGACATTGCCATAGAAAGAGCCGCTCAGCTCAGGACGCGCAAGGCGCAAGGCGGTGCCCATGATCCTTTGACCCATTCATGGCCAGCGGTGAAAGATAGATAACATGTCTATCTATTTCCATGTCTGTGTGTGTGTGTGCGTGTGTGTGTGTGCGAAATGTCAATAGACAGACACACACTATAATATATATATATGTATATAATTATGTTACAAATAAAGTGTCTTCGCATGTGTCTTATCATTGTTATTACTATTAGTGTTATATGTGCGTTATATTAGTTATATTGTGTTGTCCCTATTAGTATCATCATTGTTGCAATGATCGAGGACACAGTTGAAAGCAGGTGTCAAGAATGAGCATGGCAAGAATCCAGAAAAGCAGGCCACTCCGAGACCTCACAAGAACACAATTCCATTGTCAAGTCTGGAATAGTCTGGATCAAAGTCCAACAGCACGTCACGTGGCTGATCCAAGCTCGCGCCTCCAAATACCCTGTACCGCTGTACCCCTTAGGGGTAAAAACCAGGAGCAACATGCCAAACATCCAAACCAACTTTTTCTTGCGCTGGGAGATGGGTCTACGGCCCCCTTTTGGTGGGGACCAATCTTATGTAGGTCGCTTAAAACACTGTTGCTCTCAGGTGGCTTTCTTCCCACTCTTTGGCTCCCACCACCTGGAAACCACTGGCAGTATGATGCAGCATGTCACAAGCTGTTTTCATGTCTGCTCATGTTCATGAAACAACTCATTGAACTACACAACATTACACAACTTCCCAGATCTTCCCAGTCACTCCAACCCCAAGGGCAGGCTAAGATGACTAAGCTCCCAACTCCTCCCGTGGCGTGGGTGGAGCATTTGGGACACCCGTCAGCTCAAAGGTACCTGGCATCGCATCGCGACGACCACGGCCCCAGGGCCACACTGAATCGCATGCTTTGCACCTCGCGACGCCTTGGGGTTGAAAATGGCATCCACAATGGCCAGTCCCACGTCGTCGCCTTGGCTTCTGGCATCCACTTGTCACCACAAAAATCAGGGTTGAACTCGGGATTGGACGATCTGCCTTCTTGTAGGTGAATAATCTACAAATCTGAGATGTTTGAAGACTCTTTACGGATTTTCCTTGATCGTCATTGTCACTCTACAGTGCTCAGGGGCCCAACGACTCACTTTCTTCCCAACATCTCCATCTTGCAGAAGCAGCCTCATTGGCCAGGCGCAAGCTATGACTTCAACTCATTTTCATCCCACCCGCGGAACGGTGTGTCATGAACACATCATAACACATCAATACATGGGAGACATGGGTAGTACCAGGCGTGAAATGCCATGTTCCACTCCCCTATCTCCCCTGCTCTGGGCCGCATGCGAATCGGGCTTTGCGAAATACAAGCCGCCTACCTGTTCAACTCCAGACGTGAGAATGGAATCGGGAGATAGCCTTGAAAAAATAAAAAATCAACGCCAAGAAACAACAGAGAAAGCAGGAAAGACGGAAGAACTAGTGTCAAAAAATAGGATAGGAAGTAAGGCAAAAAGCAGCCGAAGTGTAGCACGTTTCTAGTACTGTAGGCTAGGTAGCTCAGTAGGATCCGACTGCGGAAGTGTTCAATGATGCGTGTGGGACCTGCTGATAATGTATGGCACAGTCCAAGCATGTCCAAGCCAATCCAGTTGTGCCTGAAGAAGGCCTCGGTCATTGCTCCTTTTATGCCGCGCAGGACTCAGTCAGAGGTTGCTGGCATCGTACTCGGTTGCAACCACAGCTTCTACTGCGTGCTGCTTCCAAGCATGCCGAAGGTGCCAGCAAAAAACCTCAAAGCTGTCAAAGCCAACTCTGGTGAGTTTAACTCACAGAAGAGGGCACTGCGAAAGCACGGCCTTAAGTTCCCAAAAAGGGGTGAAAGCCAGGCAACATCTCTGGAGGACACCTGGTTGAGTAGGTGATCCTCCCTGACTACAGGATTCCAAGTCAGGCCAGAACTCTTTGAGTACTTAGACCGCTCTCACCGCAGCAGTCAGTGTGTCGATGTTGGGGGTCAAGCGTTCTCCCGCAGGATGCTGCTTCGCCTTGTTTGATGCACCTCACTCAGCTCAGCTCCAATCACCTCGGTTGCTCTGAAACCACCAAGACACTACCAGGCTGGGGAGCTGTCTCAAGCCAAGTTGTCAGCGTCTGCACAAAGCCAGCACGTTCATTGGGTGTGCTACACACCACTGCATTTGACCACATCTTTCTCAAGCGGTCATGGCCAGAATTTGCCACAAAGTGCTGCCGCAACCTCTCAGCCAAGCCAGCTTCCGTTTTACAACCATCAAGGGGAAAGCTCAGCCGGTGGATGTGATCGACTTCTAGATTGACTCTGCGGGCAGAAGCAAGTAGCATCAAGTTCTCTGGCACCAAACTGTTCCGACAACACTCCTCCAGAAACAAAGCTCGCCTGTACATCGCTGAAAGGGTTGCGCCACCAAGCACCACATAATTCCACAAACCCGTTTCAGGCAGTCTCTTGGCTGCGAAACCAAACTGCGAACAAAGCTGCATGAAAGTCTCTGGGAGACGTCTCCCCTCGGGAAGATATGCCCGGATTCCCGGATCCCAGCACGCTCTTTCCAAAGATGGATCACTGTCTCTTCCAGTTCGGCGCATGACATCTGCTTGGCCTCTTGAACAGAAACCAGTGCAGCTGCTACTTGCTCATGCCGCACATAGACGGAGAGGCAGCGTCGCGGCAAGGCTTCCTGCGTCTTCGACATAGCCCCAATGGACGCGACGTCATACAAATCATCACAATCCTCATCCTTGGTCCTTAGCACCAACACCATCCGATCTGCTGTCTCTCGAAGCATCCGGGCTACCTGACGGGACTGAAGAGCTTGCTGATGTTGGCATTGCAGCTCTACAAGCAACCCCTCACCGTAGGCTTTCAATTCTTGCAGATCATCCCTGAAAGTGGCCAAATGTGGAGGCATGGAGGAATCACCTGTCGCTGGCGCAAAAGATAGAAAGGTTGAAGATGGGGAACAGTTCAGGGAACATAGGGAACAAGTTCCGTCCATTCATGTGAAAAGGCTTGATATTCCTAGAAACCCTGAAGACTGTGTGCTCAGTCACTGGACAGGTCGCTTGATGGTCGGCTGCCCAAATAGTCATCAGCAACCTGGGCAACATACTCCTCTCCACTGACATATGAAGGGTATCCGCAGCGCGTAGTGCAGCCCACGCTGAAAATGTCCGCTCGATCATGCTCCATCTCTGCTGGGAGTCAAACATAGTCAAACTGGTCTATGGCATTTGGATTGAGCCAATCAAGGGGGACATATCCATGGAAAGGCCATCTCAAGATGGTCATGGGATGTGAGGTATGCTGGGAGCAAATGCATCGCTCATCACTTGTGCTGTCAAGGTGCATCCTTTGGAAAGTCATTGGTCATGGGCACCTTTAGCCAAAGCTGCACGTCAGATCAAGGGGAGTCAACCAACCTACCAAAAGTTGACCCCGCGTGAATGATAAGGGCCTATTTGATCTTATTCAAGGCTTATTGACAACAACCACGATAAGGGCGAATCTATTGGTCAACATTTTGATCAATCTTGGAGGGGTCACCATGGGGTTACCTTGCTTGAATCCTCATGATCACAAAAAGCATCAGCTGTTCAGTTTCACACTGGCCGAATGATGGTATAGTCCAAGCCGGACCTCAACTTCGAGCGGGGGGGCACTAGGACCGCTATGGGCCGCTAAGGCCGCCGGGCAGGTGACAATTATTTAAGGATATGGATGGATATGATCAGTCAATACGAAATCGCGAAATGATTGTGCTAGAGTCTGTACGGTAGCCCAATATGGCCAATATGTAGATAAATTATTGCTGTTGCCAGGCAGGTACCCCAACAATTGGATGGTGAATACTAAGAATAGAACACATAGACTAAAAATGACTAAAATCTCTGATGCCCGGGTTCCTTACGCTTTGACCTCCATTTACCAATTCCATCCTCAACCGGACCTGGACAGAAGTAGTGAGATCTTCAGGAGGTCGTTCTGAGATGCCGCACTGTTTGATGTATTCCTCTGCTTCCAACTTCTTGTCCAAGACGTCACCGAAACTGACACGAAAACGCCAAAGGCAATGAGTACACACACCAGGTCGTCCACACGTGATGATTTGCGTAATATTACTATAGAGGATGATAATGAGAAGAATAAGCATATCAAATAGCAATAAGAATTATAATATAAGAAATAATAAAACATAGTAAGAATACCAAGAATGATAATGATAATGCGTGCCAACAATCTGCGGAGTTCTGTTTTCCAATGCTGTGATTGCGGCCTTGTTTGAAACAGCTGCTGTATTTGGGAAATATCACTATCTAACTATCACCACGTGCTTCCATCTAAACAATCTGTTTCAGGGGCTCCTTTGAACGACACCCACAAAATGCCATCACTTCAATCGTAACCCTGTCTTTCTGGTGTTAAATGCTGCAACAAACAGCAACACGCCGGATGGGCTTGTTCCAGTTCTTGTAGACGTCGCTCTGGCTCACCTCCTCCTCAGATTGCTCAGTTTGCCAGGAACTGTTGAATCATGAGCTCCTTCGCTTTGCCAGGGCCGCCAACTCCCAGATTCTTGGCGTTCACCAGCACCGCAGACCTCATCTATCATCTTCAGGAATCCAGAAGCTGTTAGGATAGCCATGGATAGCCACCCTCTTCCTTGTTGGAGCTATCTAATGACGCAAAATTTCAACGGGTGCAAAAGGCACTTCCCACGTCCCAGTCCAAGAGTCTATGGCTTCTTATTCAAGCTAATCCGAGAATTCCAGGTGCCAAACACATAGATAAATTTCTTCACGCCTAGCGCCAAAAGCGGCATGAAGAACCAATGCAGTGCCCGGTAAGGTATCAAAATGTGAAGGAAGTGCATTGCATCCTACTGGGGCTGCAGGCTCGAAGCCATCTTTTTTTCTCAGAGCAGTCAGTCTGTGCAACCAGCTATATACTGTATCAGAAAGTCCAGGAGTCCTTCAGTCCTTCAATTCAGTCCAACTCTTTCATTGGGATCGTGCTGGTTCTTTTTTGACCATTTTCTTCAATCTCCCTGAACTCTGCTTGAACGACTGAAGTAGGAGAGGGCAAACGGCAAACGATTGCCCTGAAGCAAAATCTCAAAACTGGTTCCAAAGGCGCTGGCTTCGCCACGCGCTCGTGTATTTACTACTCTAAATCCTAGTAGCACCGCACAAGTTGGAACGTTTCCTGCGCCCACGGCATCCAAAGGGCAAATGGATGCAAATGGCCTTCAAAGGGCACATCAATTTTTGATTAGTGCCTTGCGCGCCGCTTTCTTTGGACCTAGGGTGACTCCAAGCAGCTCCGAAATCAGGTCGGTTTCACAAAGATTGGGCGCCAGTGGGACCATGAGTTGTTCTTGTTGAAGTTCCAGTAATTTTGACCCATCCCGGAGTCTGGAACTGGATAGCCCTGCGGTTGTCCAATATTCAGTTGGAACATGTTGAAACACTTTAGTGCACTCTGGAAATTCACGACTTCTCTGAGGAAGCAACTGTCCCAAAACCTCCTGGAATCCCCGTTGCTTCCAAGTGACCGTCTGAAAGTTTGGCATTGGCAGCATTGGTGGCGGCGGCACCAACAGCTCAACACGGCCTGAGCGAGCACATTGAAAAGGGAGCACAAGCTTTCCGGCGTTGCATACTGTTTGTAAAAGCAATAAGCTTGAACAGCAAAACATCATAAAACATCTATGTACGCAAACTGCTGGTTTCTTCGGGTAATTCCAAAACACACAATGAACAAAGAGGGCACACAAAAAGAAAAATGTGGGATTACTGCGGATTTTTTCGCTGGCGCATGTTTCTTCAGGTCCAGCCAGTATGAACTATCTACGTGGGATATGGTAATAGTCATGTTATGTATAGTTATAAACTGTCAGCCCCCCCCCAGCATGAGAAAAATACTTTCATATATTCTTTCCAAGAAGTGTGTGATCATACGAGCAACGAGCAACGGATGTTTTTTAATGTTGCGGGAAAAGACGAATCGGACACTGCCTCGTTTTCCATTCCCTGAGCTCGTTTTGATCACTGACCCACCTTGTTTTCCACCAAATTCTGGGGTCAGAAAGAGTTGTCACATCTGCGCCAATAGAATAGGTCGTTGCTCAACTACTACAGGCCAAACTCATCATACCTGACCACTTTGGTCTAAAGTAGCTGCTCATTGATGTGTAGGAATCTTCGGTACTGCCATCCGTGGGGCAATCATTTGAAGATGTCTGCACTTCAGCTGCGAGTGGATGTCCCATCATGCACCAATTAAAACACCAAAGCAAAGCCAGCATAATGTCAATGGATGAACAACACCCTCAGTCAAATAGTTTTGTAGGTCAGTCACATGGGGTTAACATCTATAGATAGATAGATAGATAGGTAGGTAGGTAGGTAGGTAGATAGATGGATAGATATCTATAAATATCTATAAATATCTATAAATATCTATAAATATCTATAAATATTTATAAATATCTATAAATATCTATAAATATCGAATTAGAGTCGAATATCATCTGATTGGTGGCCTCACCCATTTTTCATTTTTTTTCATCAACCAACTTGGAATGACATATGGTAGAACTATTCACCACGGCACCTCCCAAGTAACTCTCCAAGTTGCGTCCGGCAGCCACCACCAGGCCCACTCGCTGCAATGCTGTTAGATCCTCTGTGGGATCACCTGCCTTGGCGTGCGAACTGGATTCGTTTCCGGTGTCACACTGTGGCAGATGCCGTGATCTTTGGATGAATCGGATGAATCATCGATCATCCAGTCAACATAGCTATGAAACTGCTATGAAAAATAATAAGCAAATCAGAATATCTGGGTTTGTCTGAAAATGTTGTGTACCCCTACACCCAATGGTTTTGCTGATCATTATCCCTACTTTTTATATCTTTTTATGGCTATTTCATTGGGGGTATACCCCATTTTCAGGTCCATACCCATCTATGAATATCTCAGAATCATTTACGAATGGGCCAGATTGGACAGGACAGCGCAAACGCTGGCAAATCCGATCAGAAATCCCTAATCCTCGGGGCGGTGTTCATCATTAACAAAGCCAATCATAAACCACCCCCCAACTTGAACTGTTTGAAAATGGTGGTATAAATTGGTATATACATATATATATATAAATTATATATTATATATAAACAATCCACAATTTAATCATTTAATCATTCGCGGAGGTTACCACACAATCCCAACTCACCTCCAGTCCAAGTCGCCACAAGCAGCAAATCTGCTGAGAGACCGGCTGCCAAACGCCCACACCTCAGCGTTTGAGAGGAATAGCCGGTGACAAAGGTCAGAAGCCATCTGAGAAGAGACTGAATCCGATTCGGCAAGTGGAAGGGCACCCCCTACTTGCAGTCGCTGTATCAAAATGTAGAAAATCGCAACGCCAGTTGCCAAACCACCGAAGCAAATGTCACGCTGGCATCTTGAAGCCCAGTGACTCATTGCCGACGCCCAAGCATTCCGCGCTGGCACTCGTTGCAGCACGCAAAGCCTCCACTGGTGTCATCCTCCAGTGGAAGTGGCAAAATTGGTTCCCAACCATGGTGACATATGGTGACCCAACGGTGACATGCTGAGCCATTTGGACAATTGAAATAGTCCAATCATTCCAATCCAATCTCACCCGGAGTCCAAGTAGGATTTCACTGGAGAACCACTAAGCTTTGGATCTTGAAATGTGAAGTCCCTTGGTTCCCCGGTCATGTGATCAGATTATCCATAGCTCCGCTCCATTTTGCTCCCTCCTTACCATCACCCCATCCTGTCCTTGCCATCGATGCAAGAATCTGAACACCTCCAGCCAAGGCGTCGTGCGAAAGGCCTCTGGTTTCAACGTCATGCGAGCTAGCTTGATGGGGATGCAACCCTTTGGTACACAAACCTGGTGAAAATCTGCATTTTGGGGACTTGTGTATATACTGTTTTTTTCGATGAATTACAGTAGTTAAAGGAAACCGTGGTTTCAACGGGTTACCACTATAGATGTTCTCTTTACCTCTTCACCAATTCGGGTATCTTCGGTAAGACAGACCTGGCAGTGGAAACCCCAGTGATTGATGGGCAAATAATCTACATACAATTGAGGGATTTTCTACCGGGTAGATCCAGCTAGAACCCCAGTCATGGATGTAGGGGTGAGAAGTGGATTTGTAAGGGATCGAGCTCTAGTTGCTGTGGTACCTTAACAAGGGCATGTCCAGAGTAGAAACCATGCTTTATGAATTAGGGGCTGCTCCCCAAATAGTGAGCCTTTCACTATGATTCACTATGATTCACTATGATACTTCAATGGTACTCCCCCCAGAGGAGTCAGCCTGGTATTGCCCCGGAATCCGATGAGGCCAACAGCTGCACGCCAGCTCTTCGCAGTTTCTGAAGGGCTAGGGACATACCTGCAGAAACTCTGGGTCCATGGTCTCGAGAAATCAACACCCAGGATGGTGCCAAGATTGGATACCTTCAACTCCGAATCAATAAACCCGCTACATATATATATATATATACATATGTATATGAAATGTATATGTAGTATGTATACTATATAATACTATATATATATAGATAGATATAACTTAACCCTAGAAATTTCAAGTGTGAAGTACCAATTAATTAGTACCAAATCAACACTTTTCAGGTGCATTGTGTTCTCTTGATTCATCACTCAGGGTTTCTCAGTTCAGGGTTGACATTGCTGATCATGACACAACCCCAATGCCTTCCAACTGTATGCTCTATGTTGCTCTTATTTACCAACAGTGACGTCTTCTTTGATATCTTTGTGTGTTGATAAATATTCTACACATGGAGCGTATGAGTTGGTCTGAACATCGTGCATGTATGTGCATGTCAAATCCCCGATACATCATGATACATCACTATTTCCGCTGCTAAAATGCCAGCGTTGCGGTATGCCCCATTTTTTTGGGGAAAAAAATGGGTTCCAAATTCTGCAGGTTGCGCTCGAAATTGCGCTCGCCCATGGGTTTGGTCCGCCAGTTTGCGTGAGCTGTGGGTGCCACTGCGACCCCCCGGCGCGCCATGTCCTGTGCTGGGCCCCTTAGCCTCCAGTAGGATTGGATCGATTCATCTTGGGGGCCGTTTGGTATCGGGAAATGGGTGTGGGTCAAAGTTGGCAACGAAAAAATGGAGGCGAGGAATGACCAATAAAACACAAATAGCGATCGCCCTATCTGTGGAATCTTAGACATTAACATACATTAACCCTCAAACCCATGCACCATTCTGCACCATTCACCCATATGGCTCGCAATTGCGCATCTCCTCTATGGTCTTCTCATTCACACAGCCCCAGTCACCAGCTTTGGCAATCCAGGTGCAATGCTCCACCGTGCGGCATCCAGCGGCCACAGCCGCGATGACTCCTTTGGCACCGTGGGCATGTGCTGCAACAGGCCGGCCGTGTTCTGCAGCTTTCTGAACCACCTAGCGGGGACATGCGGGGACGGAAGGTGGCGCAAGCATGCGCAAGCCACGAAATCCACGAAGAACTCGGGGAGTGGGTTATCTCAGAGTTTTCCCACCCTCTTTTGACGAACCACACAAATCCGCAAAAAAAACTATCCAATGACCCACCAGAATCGCAGGTAACCCATTCATCGAACCTCCACCAGGAAGTCCGTGCTGAACGCGGCTTCCTGCGAAGGATGCGCCCCTCGATATTATGGTTTTCCTTAAATTGGTTCCCAAAAAATTACGAACCCAACGCTATACCACGATTTTTGGGACGTTGTTTATTGCTAGGGCCTGCTAGGGGTGGTTACCAACTTGAGTTCCTAGTCGTAAGAGCTGTGTCGGACCATTGAATTGAAGCAGTTCTCCCCCTTCAGTCAACACACACGGCAAGAGATACTCTCCATTTACACGTCACACATACATATCAGCCACTGTTTCCGGAAACCTGATTTTTTTATCGGGAAATCATCCATAGGTCCATCAAGTCATCCTTTCGCAGACACTACGTATTGGCATTAACACCTGCCATAAAATATACTTATCAGAAAATCCTAAAAAAACACAATTTCACAATGATGATAGAATGGATCATATTATGATATATTATGATAATAAATCATATTATGTTCCTGTAACCGTCACTATGTTAAACCGACAACATGGACATGACATGATGTCCTTTCCAAATGCCACAGCGACCCCACCGCGATCCTCCACATTGGTGCCAGGAGTGCGCATGCCACCTGTGGCCATGACTTTGATCCAGTCAGCACCGTTCAACACCTGGTCATCGCCGGAAAGCTCTGGAAGTTGTGGGGGAAACGAATCATCTTGGGCTGAAATCTATGGGCATACGGATTATAGGATTATATACCTATACATATTGGATTTAGGATCATCATCATGGATTTAGATGGATTTAGAATATACCAACATACATATCCAACGTCTTGAAAAGTTGTCCCTATCTGTTTGGGCTGTTTGGGGACCCCTATAATTCCTATAATCCCATCCGCTGAATCCTATCGAATACACCTCATGTTCGGGCCCGGAATCCATGGATTGGGGGGTCACTCAAGATATTGGAAGTTGAAGGGGATGGGATTCGCACATGTACGTGGGTATCTTGGGTCTTCTTGATCACTGGGTATGACTGAAGGATGGGGCACCAATTTGCTCAACATCAAGAAATTCGAGCCATTTTTATTTTACTGGGATTCTCCCCTCTACGATCCTGACAATGGAAAATCCTTCTTACAAACATCCATTTCTAGACGATTTTCCAGTGAAACCATAGGGATGATCCAGTGCCATAATGGCCGAAGATTTTGATTACCAATACGGCCCAGTATGACGGATCGGATCTATAGGATCCCAATGGATCCCAATGGATCCCAAGAGTCTGTCAAAACATCCAAAATGGCCGCATCTATTTCGTCCTATAAATGTTGTTTTACAAAAAAACAAGAATCCGACAGAGAGATATCTCTAGAAAGCAGTCTTCGTTGTGTTTGGGTGTCACTCGTTTTATTTGGGTCCTACCATGTCCTACCCATGTTGAAAGTTGGTGATTGTAGTACTGTGCGGTACTACTTTAAGAACAATGGTACCACTGCTAAGATTCTAGTACGTTCTAGTATATACTATACATTCCCATGATATATTCCCATATGTCACGATATATTCCCATGATATGTCCATTACCCTCTGGTACACTGACATAACAATGACATAACACTTGTGGGGGGCTTGGCACCATTCCATCAGCCTGACGCTCCACCACCGTCAAGGCTTCTTCCATCGAGCCAGCCTGTGGTGAAATCGAAGTAGTAATCCCTTCCGCCTGATCTTAAACACTCCCTAGAAACCATGGTTTAGTAAGTTTAGTAATTTTAGTAGGAGATTTCCACTTACCATTTTGGAGGTGTTGAAAATTTTGGGGGGATGGGATTAGTGAAATGTCCGATGTAGACATCACCCAAGTTGGGGGGGACCAGGGGTAATATCAGCTCCATCAATGTGTTTAATCCACACTATGTCCAAGCATGTTTGCTGCGTAAATTGCGAAAATGGTACCATCCGGCAATTTAAGACACAGCTATGGAAAACTCCATTTTGGATCATTTTGGTCATTTCGTAAATCATCCTGTAGGGCACTGTAGGGCAAGGTTCGCCGTGTTCAAATGATCCCAGGGATTCCCAGTCCTCTCCGCCCCATTGATGGCAATGCCCCTTCGGTGCAGTCAGCGGCTGCCCAGCACACAGCAAGCGTGGCCCCAACAAGTGGCCCTGGCGGATCTCCTCGCGCAGTCCTGGCGGTCCCGGCCTATTTATAGCGACTATAAACGATGATGCCATAGGGAATGATAGCACCAGCAATGATTAAATAGCCATCACACTGGCAATACCAATAACAATAAATATTGTTGTTTGACAATAATACCTATGGATTGGTAGCAACAATAATACTAGTAGCAACCGTAATAACAATAACAAACAGAAGAATCATCACAAATTAGTAGGTATTATATCTTATTTTTATGTTAACAACAAAAATCATTGGCGCCCACATGTTTCCAAAAAAATGTAACTATTTAATACATTAACATTTTTTACAATTATATAGATACTGGAATAATAACAAATAGGTAACATCAGGTAACTGAGGATTCTACTAAACTTACAAAACCCCCAGTTTAAGTTTGTTAATTGGGGGATCCCAAGGTTCATGGTAATTTATGATACTTTACCACTAGAAGTTGAGGGTAACCTGCATCCGGGGTGGCAATGGGAGGCTGGAAATACTGTTTCCCACGACACAGTTGCAGTGAGGCCCCAAGGTTCAAGCATAGTAACCCAAAAAAACATGCAGAAGTAAGTTAGAGCTACTTTAGTAGGATTTTACGTGTCTATCTTTTTGGGGGAAGGTTGATGAAGGTTGGAATACCCCAAGCGCAACAAGGAAGAAGTCGTCTCCAGTTGCAGCTGAAGCCACTCAAAGCTGCAAAGTTCCTACCGCCGAGATCCCGAGCTGTGGTTATCCTCAGGTCGCTGTGGGCAACCCAGGGCTCCCACCAGTGACGGGGGAAGCTGGCGGGAAGCTGAAACTTGGGAACTCATTGCTGCCTCCGAAACTTGGGCGGAAAGCCCCCAAATGCCAATGTTTTCTATTGTTTTCTCATCATGTGTCCCACTAAATGACGAAATTGCCAGATTTTGGGTCAGCCCTTCCATTTTTGGGCGAAGCCATCTGTTGTATCCGAGGCCAAGACACCCCGCGCGTAACATCCTCTGCCCCCGTTCGGCCATTGACTCCATCAGTTCTTCTGCACTGAGGACCGGTTGCTGGTGCAAGGGGAAGTGCTCACTGAACTCCATGTGAACCTCGGGCTCAATGGATTGGAAAACGACAAGTACGATGATAAATCATGATTAATCAGTGGATCTTAATGGTACTGGTACCCGATTTTTTTTTGGACACCTCCATGTTCAATGGATTGAAGGGAAACATTATTTGGAATTTGGAATCCATGATTCTTTGTCATCAAATTCAAGTATAGGCTAGGGGGTTCCTGTAGAGAGAATCCCTTCAACGAAGTCTCCGTACATGTGCATTCCAAGGTCATAGAGTCGATCCCCAGGGTCGCCGTTCTCCCCAAATGGCTCCATCCCCAAGAGAAAACAACTGGTGATCCAATTTGATTCTAAACATCATCTCTTATGTCAAAGGCATTCCTAGCTGGAGATAGATGATCTACATTGATCTACATGTACCATCTTCATTTGATATATACTTCTGATACAATTTCTGGTGAAATTCTGGAAATATCGAAATTTATGATACAACCAACATCAACCATTACTACACCCATCGAAGCATCCGAGGCGCATGAGCATCAATGAGGCCTGGCATGAGGCAGCCGCTGTGATGTTCCACTGCAAGGCCTCCCTCGGTGGCAGTCTCTATGGGGCACACCGCCAGGATCCGGCCATCGCGGATGACCACGCAGTGCCTGGGACTTGGAATGGCGTCGGGGAATGGAGATGGACTTAGGATGGCACTGGATGAATCAAGATGAATCAAAATGAATTGAGATGAATCAAGGTAAAAATCGCAGCATAAGAAACACTCAATGGATATCAATGGATCACAATCCGTCTATCAGCCTCACTGGCCCCCAAGAAAATCGAGAGAAATCCCCACAGGCAGGCACAGCCATGGCACGAAGTGAAAGGCTGCTGGGACACCCCATCCCACAAGAGATCGCCGGCCAGTGCCCAGTCACCATCTTGCAGCTGCAGCGCATGCCTCTTCGGCTCCGCTAAAAAATTTGACTCGGAATCCCCTGAGTGGCAGCACGGCCAATGGGCAGCCAACAAGTCTAAGTGTCAACCCAAAGGGGTTCTCTGCAGCTTCCAACCGATGTTGTTTTTTGCATCCAATGTTTGGATCTGTGAAGGTACATGTGTCAAAGGCTACTGCATTAGTATCCTTGGAAAACAATGCCGCGGTTGCTGGACGTCCAGTCTCGGCGTCAAAACTGGAAGCCCTGCTTCTTGCAGACAAAGCGCCCGCTTCCTTGAGGCCTGCAGACTACGAGGCAAGATGGTATGGATATTCGTATTTGTTTCAATCCTGAATCATCGTGAATCATCCTGAATCTTCGTCAAGGTTGGTAAGGCCTACCCACGGTCACTAGTCCAGTACTGTCACTAGTCCCGCAGCTCTGGTCACCTGTGCCAAGTACTTCGCCTTCCAAATCGTCCAAGGAATGCACACCCATGGCACAAACGATTGCACCAAGCTGGGTCTTTGATCGGTTTGATGTTGAAGATATGATCATTGGCAATCAAAAAAAGTGAATTACCACTAAAATAGATGGGAAAAGCATGAAAAGCACTTGTAACATCTTGTAACCATGTTTTTCTGAGTTGCGGCTCAGCCGTACTTCACACGCAGGAGCTGTGTGGATTCATGCTTACTTACTGGTTTAATCTTTCATATTCTCACGGCCTGACTCTAATGGCTGCATGCGAGGAAGCTATCACCATCACAGGGGAGGACAAAGAGGACCCAGCGCGGACTATATGTACGAGTATTGTGTATACTTATAGGTATATATTATACATATATAAGTCTATATAAGATTATATATTATATAAGTAAGGATTCCTGCTCCATAGTTTCTCACTGTCTCCCTGCTTGTACAATCACATATATTACAATTACTGGTACATATATTCTTCAACATCTTCTTCCCAAATAGATTTCCCCATAGATTTCACCATAGCTATCCCCTTGAAACACTGCGGATTTCCCGCCTTTCGCCTTGGCAGCGTCGACCAAGGCTTTGGTGCCCTGCAAGTCACAGCGTTCCGGCCTCAACGGTGAAGACATCCTGTTTGTTTTGGCTGCAAAATCTCTACAAATCTTTTTGGAAAATCGAATCTAAACATTAGTTTGCTTGCATATCTCGAGATGATCGAGAAAAAGCGATCAAAACATATCAAAACATAAATGACTTTACTATTGGAAATGAGAATTGTCCGTTGCCAATGGTTGATTGTCCCCCAAGGCTTCAAGGGCTGGCAAAGACATGCAAAGACACAGCTGAGGTGAAGACTCGGTGTTGTCTAAGCCTCGGTGTTCATGTGCTCAGTAGCTGGCCATCAACCGTCCCCAAGATCGCCAGTCTGGGAGCTACCCAGCCACCAGTCCCAGGTACCACTTCCAAGGCGGAGGATGTCCAGACCAAAACGGGCACCAGCCACATCCACCACCTCCAAGGGGCGATATTCAGCGTCATATATGCGAGATATTGCGAGATATTGTAATATGGCAGTGTGTCAAAACCTTGTACCCCTGGTGAACATCAAAATAGCTGGTAAATGGATGTTCATCCCCCTAAAAATGGTATTAATAGGTATTGATCCATACCCATATGGTACAACTGTGTATACTGTTTGACTATGGCCAGCAGTACACGGGATTGGAAGAAAGCTGGCCATTCTAAGGTTCACACGACAGAGGCGTCACAGAGCTGCTCTTCTAAAGCCTGGCTTCAACGGTCGCTTTGGCATACCATACACGCCATCATCTGCCATTGCCAGCCCAATGAGTTACTAGTTGCTATTTCCGCCATCATAAACCTTTGCCATTTTTCTCCCTCTCTATCTCTCTCTCTCTCTCCCATCTCGGGGAGATCAGCAGAACCTTTGCCTTCTTTTGGTTTGGCATTTTTTCCATTTTGGAATTATTTAGCATGATGAGTCAATGTGGGGACCCCAGTAGTGGCCCCGTGTTGATCAACCAGCCAGTGGACAAAAGACGCAATCTATGTTTGCAACCAGCTCCATCTCAGCCTGTTCCTTCCCCCTTCCCCCTTCCCCCTCAAAGGGCCCCTGCCTGCTCTCGCCCACCCTCGATTAATGCATCTTGGATGACCGTCATTTCGTACCTTCGTCGTCAAGAAATGGGGCACCATGGGGGACCAATCTGCCCACAAAATTGGTCAACATTTGCCATGGTGTTTTGATGTTTTTTAGGGTCTAACTGTCTAACTCTAACCACCATCAGCCACTCTCTCCATCCAAATTTGGGGCTCAACATGGGTCGAGCATTTCGAGCCATACCTACATGAGCTCCAGCCACACGGTGACCAGTTCTGGCCCACTTCGAAGAGCTGCGATTCTTGTACTGCACCTCATACATTCGGCCTGAGCTGGAGGCCAAAGGCCCAGAAACTCTTCGGATTTGTGATTCCTGGGGCTTAATTCATCCTGCATTTGGAAGGGTGTTCAATCATTCCAATCTCTCCCAGTGGGGGTTCGGGGTGCAGAATTTTCTTCCATCACTCAAATTTGGGCTGAAAAAAGGCGGGTTACAGTGAGATCGATCAGGCATGTCTCAGCGCTGAACCCTCATCCCGAACGCCGCAGTAAATCGACCTGAGGGCCAATGGAATGACAAAATTTTTGCTGTTCTCTCCTGCATGTCAATTAAGTTCCACGCATGCCGGTGCGAAGCATGTCCAAGACAGCCTCGTCAAATCAAAACATCATTAAAATCATTGTGCAGTGTCAAACATGCCACATAACATCACGGAACATCACATATTGCAACCGCAACCGTAAACACACGCATACACTATCTATCTATCTATCGATCGATCTATCTGTCTGTCTGTCTACCTAGCTACCTAGCTACCTGCCTATCTACCTATCTACCTACCTATCTATCTATATGTCTGTCTGTCTATCCAATCTAATCTAATCTAATCTAGTCTAGTCTAATCTATCTAATCTAATCGTCTATATAATTAAATAATCCCTTCCCCCTATTACTAAACGTCCCCCAAATACTAAAAACAGAGGTCCATCTCCAATTTCGGAAAATTTCAGATTGGCCAATTTGACTTTTAATTGATCCCCTTTAGAAAACAATTTAAAAATAAAGCTACCATTTGTGTGTTTCGCCCCCCAATAATAAAAACTAGTCAACCCCGTGGTGTTTATTATTAGGGTCCATCCGATTTGTTTTCTAATTTTTATATTAGGGCTTTTAATTTATTATTAGGGTCCGCTTCGAGATCCAATTTTTGGCAATATTTTAATGGCATTATAAAAGGAAATTTAACTGATTTTGAAATCGAACAAACTAGTTTTTATTATAAAGTTTTAATTTTAGTAATAGGGTCCGCTTCGAAATCCAATTTTTGGCAATATTTTAATTGCGTTATATAAGGAAATTTTATTGATTTTGAAATCGGCAAAGAAAGTTTTTATTATTAAGGTTTCAATTTTATTAATAGGGTCCGCTTCGAGATCCAATTTTTGGCAATATTTTAATTGCATTATAAAAGGAAATTTAACTGATTTTGAAATCGAACAAACTAGTTTTTATTATAAAGTTTTAATTTTAGTAATAGGGCCGCTTCGAAATCCAATTTTTGGCAATATTTTAATTGCGTTATATAAGGAAATTTTATTGATTTTGAAATCGGCAAAGAAAGTTTTTATTATTAAGGTTTCAATTTTATTAATAGGGTCCGCTTCGAAATCCAATTTTTGGCAATATTTTAATTGCGTTATATAAGGAAATTTTATTGATTTTGAAATCGGCAAAGAAAGTTTTTATTATTAAGGTTTCAATTTTATTAATAGGGTCCGCTTCGAAATCCAATTTTTGGCAATATTTTAATTGCGTTATATAAGGAAATTTTATTGATTTTGAAATCGGCAAAGAAAGTTTTTATTATTAAGGTTTCAATTTTATTAATAGGGTCCGCTTCGAGATCCAATTTTTGGCAATACTCTGATTGCGTTATATAAGGAAATTTAACTGATGTTGAAATCGAACAAACTAGTTTTTATTATTAAAGTTTTAATTTTATATTAATAGGGTTCCCTAATAATAAACCCCCCTAATACTAAAAACTACCTGAGGTGTTTATTATTTGGGGGGGTAGTACTAGGAGGAAGGGATTATTTATATATATATATATTGTAATATCAGTAAATCTCTCCTGAAACATTGGTAAACTATGGGAACTTACTTTTCTATCTTTTTGGGCGTTCCTCTAACATCCTCTAACTACAAACCACGAACAATCATGTCTCTCGTTCATACACATCGAATGCAGACTGGGCATCCGGACTCTCCGGCCAAGCTCTCCGGTAGAGCCTGCAACAAAGACCTCACTGGAATGGCGTCGATGTGTCCATTCATTCTTGCGAAGTATATGTGTATCAACATATATATATATATATATGGGTTGAGAGGCTGGGAAGAAGGGTGTTGGACATGCACACAGTACACAATCTCTTGTACTCAAAAATGCAAAGGCCCTGCAACTGACCACTAGCAGTAGCATGTGAAATTTTGGACACCATTGACACCATCGAAGAAATATATCCCCATGTTCAGTTCATTGTCCCCATCTTTATAGTTGGTCGATCCTTTATGTTGCTTGAGTCCGCATGATGACAGTAATCGACTTCAATCCCAGCTGTTGGTCATCCTGCCCCTCTCAAAATCCCCATTTTAAGCGCCTTTGGCTTGTCCAGAAAACAGGACACCTGATCGCAAATCTGCAGGCCTCAGACACCGAGAGTGGCTTTTAGCTCGAATGGTAGACGGAAATCGCTGGAAGTCACAGAGTATGAAAATCAGAAACTCATCAAAATCAGTCACTATCCCCTTCCAAACAAAGCTTCCCCAGTTTTTTTTTCACAGTTCCCACAGTTCCCACTCAGTCGTTGGCTCTCCGTCTTTGACAGCCGTCCATCTGGCCTGCATCGTCAGTGGGGACAACCCAGATGTGTCCCGCTCCATCTCTGCATGGCTCTCATTGTCATTTATCTGGATAATATCTGGTTATAGATTTTTTATTATAGATCAATACCTGATTACAGATTATAGATTAATACCTGATTATTTAATATGATTTATAGAGTGTATATATATATATAGCCTTCCCATGAGTCCTTGTTCCATATCATCCATCGTCTCAATTGACCAAACCCTTGTGCACGACGTCCGTATCTATTGAACGGGATTCCTAGCTCACGGATAATGATAACATATGACAACCCCCAACAGATTGGATCACGTAATTATAACTCCCCACAATCATCAACAAACAGTGATTTTTGTAATGGCTTTGTAATGGTTTTGTTCTATCCCACTGAGATTCCCCCGCAGAACTGCACGGCCATACCTGGGAGATGGCAAAGGATTTGCGTTTTGCCCTCCGCCGTGCCATGGGAAAGTTGTACTCAACAGGTCAACGATTGGATTTATGGTGGATGAATATTTATAGCTACAGTAGATTCGATGGATTGATTTCAGGGGGAAGTTACAGGAAAGTGCGGTGTTTACCAAAGTCTGGGTGTTCCTGTGTTTTAAAACCAATTCTGGGATATATATATATATATGTATACATACATACATACATACATACATACATACATACATACATACATACATATATGACATTACATGACATTACATGACATTACATGACATTACATGACATTACATGACATTACATGACATTACATGACATTACATGACATTACATGACATTACATGACAGTACATGACATTACATGACATTACATGACATTACATGACATTACATGACATTACATGACATTACATGACATTACATGACATTACATGACATTACATGACATTACATGACATGCCATTACATGACATTACATTACATTACATGACATTACATGACATTACATGACATTACATGACATTACATGACATTACATGACATTACATGACATTACATGACATTACATGACATGACATGACATGACATTACATGACAGTACATGACAGTACATGACATTACATGACATTACATGACATTACATGACATTACATGACATTACATGACATTACATGACATTACATGACATTACATGACATTACATGACATTACATGACATTACATGACATTACATGACATTACATGACATTACATGACATGCCATTACATGCCATTACATTACATTACATTACATGCCATTACATTACATTACATTACACTACACTACATTATATTACATTACATTACATTACATACATACATATATATACTTCAAAATACACACACACATATGTATATATATATACATACACACACACATATATATATATATATGCACATAAATACACAATATACTATATACATACATATATATATATATATATATGGATAGATGGGGTTATAAAGCGTTATAAACCAACAAACCTATCTGGAGACCCTTCCCCTAACTTACTGCATCGCTATGAGGTTTCTCGGTCTCCGAACTCATCAAGCCGCTCAGCAAAGGCCTTGATGAAAATGGGGCATGCCACCAGTTCAAAAAGCCATTTATATCACCGGGAATTATGATGAAATATCCTGAAATATAATGAAGAATATTGGAAAATATTGGAAATATCATGATTATAATAAGATCTAATAATGATGAAGCAGTGGATTCCATTTTGGACAAACCCATCATGACATATGGCGATGCGTTCGCTCTCATGATGGTCTCTACTCAGCCTCCCGAAGTGCTACTTGCCCGCGCCATGGGAACCATGGGGCAAGAACCTTTTCACCAGCTAACAGCCCCGGGAGCGAGGTACAACTGTCCGTACACACGACCCTGAAACCAGCCCCCTTACCTCGTATCAAAAGATCAAAATCCTTGCTGAATGTAGACTGCACTGTGAGGATTACTTGCGGCATCGGTATGTGCAGAGTACTTTCTGCTTACTCTGAAGTCAATACAGAAAATTAGATTTCAGTAGTACTTGAGGCGTTGTTCTGCAGGCGTTCCCCCATGTTCTGGCAAGGGGGGGGGTCACCGGCCGCTGTCTGACATCCGAAAAGAGTCACACCCCTTGGTGTGACTCACAAGCGATGAAAGCGTCACCTCTTGCTATGAGGCTCCGTGAAACGCTTTGACACTACGATTCCACTGATTCCCTTAACGATGATCATGGCTCCGTATGGCTCTTATCTTAAAATTCTATGCTGTTACAGCGGTTGTCCTGTCCGGTCCAAAAAAAAGGACGAATCGTGATTCAGAGGTCCACTTGACGGAGTGCGCGCTGCACTCAGTACGTGAGTTTGATGTGCTCTTTGTCTCCTTCAAAGGCATCCTCAGAATACGAGCAAACCCCCGAGGATCAATGCTGCAAAAACCGATCCTGATGTTCAAGCTGGAGCCTACATGGCCTACATGTGCATGCAATTGTCTTTGTTAGTTCTGTGTGTGTGCGCGCGTATGTGTGCATGGCATGTATTAGCATGTAGTGTACTAAGTACCAACCGTCTAATTAATTGGAACAAATGCGGCTTGGGCAAATGAAGGGGGTTTTTGAGCAAACCTGGTTACTGCACATAGTTTCTTTGGATTATATATTATAATTATGATTATTTCCTTGCTGTCATTGCATGCGAGGTGTTGTGTGCATCATGCTGCATTTGCCACACATCTACTTGCTGGGGAATGTGTCTACCGGTAGCACCCGCCATCATGGTGGCCAATCTTAGATGCCCCCTCCACAAAACTTTGAGCTGGTCTATATCATTCTATAGCCCATTTACTAGCCAACAAAACAAGTCACAGGATACTATATATCCCATTCACTAGCCAAAAAAAAAGGTCACAGGATACTAAAGGAATCTGAAGGAATCTAAATAGATTCTACAATACCCATCCAATTGGTTTTCCCAGTGAACGTCGGTACAGGAAACCTCCCAACGGTTAGTCGTTGCCGGCTAAAAGAGCCTTCCAAATGAGCTCTTTCAACTTCTTTGCGACAGGTCCCACCTCAAAAAACTTCGGAGATCCGCCGTAAAGCCAGAAGCTGAGAGAAGGAATGGCGAGTTGCCCCTGGATAAACCGCCAATTGACTAACAGGCTGCGCCATTCTTGTGAGCAATTGATCACAAAATTAGGGAGTTACGTAAATGGCTGTGGTGACCTGAAAATGTTTGGAACACATCTTAAATATCCTTTCGGTTAAAAGCGTCATATGTTCCTCCCTATCTATTAATAAGAAAAAAAACATGCATTTGGATGCATTTGGTTGGTGTGATCTATCTTCAGGTAGTCGCCTGTCCATCACCAATGCTTGTGCCGTCGATGCTGGTCACTGGAGCCACTCCCAAGTCACCGCTGGTCATGATCACCTCGGGGGATCGGAAAATCTCTGGCTGGTCATGATACCCTGTGGGTAGACACTGTAGATGTGGAAAAAATGTGGAAAAAATGTGGAAAACTCCAGGGCGAATCTGACAAGACTCTACATTCATGGTATGGAAAACTCCACGTCGAACTATACAGGAGGGTAGTGATTCACTAACCTGATTTTGGGGCAATTCCTCTAACTTGTCATCTGTTTCTGACAGGGTGACGCGAGATTTTTGATTCACCAGGATCTATGGAATTGGGCAGTACGGTTGGGAAATGTGTAATGGGAATGGGAATTGTTAGTGCTTAACCATCAAAAATGGTCTATGTATGTCTACGCACGATATCAACAAACAACAATCCACTTGAATGGATTCATTTTGATGAGAAAATCTGGAGCAAGCCATGGCTTTCTAACTGCATAGGGGATAGATAAACTTCGCAAATGTTTGCTTAGCCAATGGTGAACTAATGAACTGCAGTTTCTTCTTCAGAATTTTGGGGGTAAGCTATGTCAGCGGAATACATCACTACTGACACTGGGCTGCATTTTGAAGCAAGTAGAAAAGAACTACCCTTGGGGGGCCCAAGACCCACCACATCCATGAGAATTGCCCAGTCATATTCGCCAACTGCTTCTTGCTGTGCTTCTGGGTACGGGTCAAACCCCGGTATCCCTAGCTTTTTCACTCCAACATCGCTGCTGATGGATATTCACCCCACCCCAAAGAAAAAAAGTCCCTGTTTTCCAGGTCAAACCATGCTTATTGACCCATCACCAAATCCCATAGGACTGGTGGCACCTCCAAGGCCTCGAAGAGCTGGTCCTTCTTCATTTTCTCCTGTCGCACTTCCTTAATCTCCTGCCGTCCGATTATGCCAAGGCCTGGAAATTCCATGGAAATCTGGAATCGAACTTGGGAAAATCACCATGTTGAATTGGGAAATCATATTGAGTCCCAAATATATGATTTCATCCCCTACTAAACTACCATTAATATTTTTTTAAGTGGGATGGGAGTATTTATCAATCATCTGGGAAATGTATGGAAATCATCAGTTTTGGAATCAGCTTCAGTTTTTTTGCGAAATCCGCGCGTTTTACCTCCCTCCAGCCATTTTCAGAAATCTGGAATAATAAATTCCTGGAATTATGAAAATCTACAGACCTCTGAATTTCATACATCCAGAACATCATCTGTAAATGATTGCAATCTATTTAAGGTACAGTAAATGGAGAATCCACACTTTTTGGGGGACATTGCTATAGGTCAAAAATTGGGAATGCCCATGGCTACCCCGCCTTGTCCTCTCCCTGCATATGTTCTTTGATGAGCTGCATCGCCTCAAAAAAACAGAATTGGGACGATCCAACCTTAGTCGGTGGATGTATATTTTATACGTTAGACATATATACGTGCATATATATATATGAGTCATATATCAAATAATGAATATATATATATATTATAGGGATATATGATGTGTATATATATATATACATACATATATATATACATACATATATGTGTGTGTGTAAATATGTGTGCATATACAATGATTATATATTGTGGCCCTGACTGGAGTGGATCCCAAGGTTCCCCCGTTCGGTTCCCAACCTTCCGCACGGTGGTTCCGGCCAGGATGCCATCGAACCTGGGAGAAAACTTTCACCCTGAAAAGTGGGAGTCTAAACCAATGGATTGTGGGAGTTTTAATGGGATATGATATAATATCCATCCATCCATCCATCCATCCATCCGTCCGTCCGTCCGTCCGTCCGTCCGTCCGTCCGTCCGTCCGTCCGTCTATCTATATGTCTATGTGTATATATATATACATACATACGTGTGTGTGTGTGTGTGCGTGTCCATATCTAGTCATATACAGTGTATATATATACATACATACATATCTATTCATGTATATATATATATATATGTGTGTGTGTGTGTGTCTGTGCGTGTGTATATATATATATTATACATACGTATATATATATATACATATCTATCTATGGATAATGGCATGATAATTGAGTTATGGAATGTGACTAATCAACAATTTGGAAAATGGGGCGTGTCTGGAAACAGGTGTTTGACCTTAAAAATGGCTATGAAATGATACGCAAAATCTGGCTTTAAACCATGCCATAGGGGTTTAGGGTAATTACCTTATTTTAAATCACATCCATTTGGCAAACTGCCACACCTCATTTATACCAAACTTTTTCATTTGGGGGGGCATCATGTATTTTTGAGGATATCATACATACCATACCCCAAAAATTATATAGTTATCAGTTCTTTGTTCTGCATCTCAGGTTTCCTGTCCCGCACGCTTGCACCTACAAGCAGTAGGGCAGGTATCCAAATTTGTGTCCCAAATTTCACAGGATACCAGAAAATCCACGAGAAAATCCACCATGGTATAGCTGCTGACACCAGTGGGCAGCATGAAACTCTCCAAGTAGCGGAGGGGTAATGAAGACCTTCTCCTTAGAGACAAACACATTTGGGCAACCGATTTCGGCCAAATTCCGAACGCATTCCCGGGTCCGAAGATCAATTGTTCCTCTTGAGTGGCAGCTTTTTCCACACAAACCTCTTTGAAAGTCAGTTTGTTTATGTACTGTCACTGCAAAAACATGACTGAGAGAACCGTTCAATCGACAAAAACATGCAAAATGAATCAACATGATATTTCTAGTTTAAACTAAGCACATCATTGCTTTCACCACTCTTCACCGAAGCCCTACACCAATCACCGATCTCACAACCCAGTTTCTTTGGTGACAATACAGCAATTTGCCACACAGCCTTCCGATATCGATCCGTCATCACCTCAAAGGGCGCTGCCGCGAACTGCGGTTTCTGCCTCAACTCTTGGAGCTGTTAACTGTTCTTTGGTATGGTTTTTCAGTTGATGTAAATCTGTAGATTGGTTTAAGGGAAAATTTACAGGAAAGCCCCATATTTAATGGGAAAATCTATGGTTTCCTGTAAATTTTCCCTTAAACCAATCCAGCGATGTAAATCTGTAAACCTGGAAAAAATATGAAAATTGTTTAGATCCTTCGTAGTCCATCAGCACCAAGTCGCGGTAGTTGATGCCAAAGTTACCCCCTCGGTCCTGAAGCCAGTGAAATCGCTCCAACAACTGGACTGGGTACCCCGAAATCCAGGGGTTCCCTCCATTGCCATCGAAGGCTTCGAGCCTACAGAACAGGGTGCTTCTGGAGGTATATACTCCGTTGATTGCTGGGTGTGTTTGCAAATGGAACCCCAATTTATGGCAAGTTCAATGGGGAACATAATGGTAAATCATCAAATCATCAAATCATCCATTAAGGGGAGAGAATCCCCTCATTTTTCAGGTAAAAAATCACCCATACCAAGCATTACCAAACCCATCGCAACAATGACGGGTCCTGTGCAGCCATGGCTAACATGCAGTTCAGCAGGTAGTTGTTGCTCTTCAAAGTAGCCAATAGGGTGGGCTTCATGGGCACCTATTGGCAAGCGAGGAGAGATGGATGGAGGGAAGGATGGACAAGTGGATAATCTTATGGATAAGTGGATAAATAGACAAATGGATATGTTACATGGATAAATAAACATAAATAGGTATAAATGTATATACATGGATGTGAACGGATATAAATGGATGTATAATATATACACACATACTATGTAACCCCCGAAAAAAGGAGAAAACAAAAACGCATTCCCATACTGATAAAACCGCACAATTCACAAACATGCATGGGCTCTCTACAAGGTTTCTTTGACACCTACACATTGTGTTCACATGTTTTGTTTTCTGCAAACTGAGTATGTTTCATAGGTCAGAAGGCCAACGCATTCACATAAGGTCCGGGTTAATTGGATTCAAGTCATGTGAAATCCCCATGTTGGTATTCTGACGTTTTGCTTAGCCAATCCTCCAAACGTTCCCGCTTAATCCTCCAAATTTTGGGAGGCAAATCCCATTTGGGTATACTCTCTGGCAATCAAACATGGCAATGGAAAATCACCCATCTATTTCATGGATTTCCCTAGACATGGTTGATGACACCGGAGGGTAGATTTGACATTGGGGGTTGGAGTACTATATAGATGCCCATATTTCAAGGTCTCCACTTGGTCTATCTTGGGGTTGCTATATTTTCTAAATCTTCCAAATCTTGTTTAATCAGTTTAATCTTCTAAATGTTTGCTCATCTCCCTACATCTTGTCTAATCGTTCCACACATTTTGAGCTAATCTCCAGCCATTTGGGGATACCCATTCCGGTTGCCTCTGTGGCTGGCACCAATGATTCCGAAGTGGCCTGGAGCAAAAAAAGAACCATCGTGAGATTCTGGGGATTGCTATCTACATCTGGGGTTGACCCTGAAAATCTTAGGAAAACCCATGGAAACCCCTAAATCCACGCGTGAATCCTAGATTTGATTAATCATAATATTTATATATATATATGTAATTTACAATGTTATATCATTAATCCTTCTTTTACCTATCAGTCAATTGCCACTAAGTTGGAGAGGGGTAAATCACAAATTTCCCCCTTCTTCGATATGAAACCACCAATAGGACGGAAATCAAAGGCTTCGCTGAGCTCCAGGCTTTTACTTCAGCGCTTTTCTCGCCTGACAGCCTTGGTGCTTTCACCAATGATCATATCGGGATCATCATCCTGTGAGAGTGAGCAAATTGCAGCATTTTCTGTGCAACAGTGAGTTTTTTGGATTGGTATTGTATGCATTTGTATGCCTAGAGAGTTGATGGCAATATATATATATATATATGACTAGAGTCTATGTCTGCATGTGTGTTATAAAGGTAAGTTACATATATATATATATATACATAACATTACATAACTATATAAACTCCGAAGAAAAAAAATATGACAAGCCACACTGTCACGTAGAAGGCTGGTTCGCATCCTGAAACAACGCAGGGGGTGTTGTATGGTGTTGTCTTGGCCATGGATCTTGACAGCCAAGGGGTGGCCCGCCTGCCGAAGTGTATCCGAAGTTGCCCGGCCCGGCAGTGAGAAAGTAGCGGACGCCTGCAGGACGCCGCGGTGCCGCGAAACTCTGGGGGTTCAAACAGGAAGGAGCCGCTGGTCACGGATGTTGCAGCCTCCATTTCGCAAGCCACTAGCGACGCACGTCTCACAAACAATTTCCTTGGGAAATAGGTGGCAGGGTTTGAGCGAAACATGGCCGTGGCCGCTCCCACTGTGATCATCACTGGCACCCTTTTGCGGCCAAGTTTCGGTAATTCTTCGTCGGTTCTCCTCCTTCAATGGGCTGCGAAGAAACCGGGCTGTCCCAGCCTGAAGTCCTCGAAATTCCACTGCACCTTCATGTTCTACCCACCTACGTCCATAGGTTGATCTGACCGACTTATAAATCTGACTATGTACAAGTACAACTCATTTCGTCCTAAACTAACACAAGCCGTTTTTGGGGATCCCCCAATCATCCCCAACCCATCTCCCCATATCTCGAAGCATCCCATAGCATCCCACCTCGCTGTCCCCGAAGGGCAACTTGAGCCGAGCCAGGCTGGCTGACTTGAAGAGTCGATCCAAATGGATGCCCAGCCTGGCGCGCCACGGTCAGCACTTCGACTTCACCAAGTGTGTAGCAACCCACCCCCCCTCAAAAAATGGAAAAGTCAAATCTACTTCCAAAAGAGTTGGTGAATTCATGAGACTTCTCCATTTTTTTGGGGTCTGAATCCAGTTTGGTGGCTCCAATTGGAAAAAATCCTGAAAGATATATGATATATGATATTACATACAATATAATATAATTCATGAAAGCCCTTGGAGATCCCAAACTTTGCTGAATACTTCGCCAACCTGACAGATGGTCCGGAGATGGTCCCACCAGGGAGTCCCACCTATAGACACAGCCACTCGCAAGGGTGCAGGTATCGAACACAGCATGGCCCCTGACAATGGCATGGTCGTCCAGTGGCAGCACCTCAGCTGCTTTCCATCCCAAGGGGATTCCTCGGAAATTGGCTTCCCAATGAGTGATGTCATTTCTCTAACAAATATTCTTCGTTTTGAGCAGGCTTGCATGGTCCACATTCAAGTGCTTATTTTCCTATACTGTACATGTACCCTCCATCAGATTCAGCCATAAACATCCATAAACTGTTTCAAACAAAAAGCATTTGGGTCAAGGAAAATGCTGCTTTTAACCAATGGTATGTGGGAGGTAATTACCCCAACACGTTCAGGTGCCGAAACCGTTTTTCAAACTTGTGCCGTAGTCATCTCCCATATTATCCCCATATCATGGTTTCCCCATTATCTCAATGTGTATTTATATATTATATATACATATGTGTGTGTATGTAAATACATGCATATATACAGTACATATATACATACATGTACTATATATATATATCCCACGGTACCTTTCTTGTGATATGTGTGATACAACCAGATCTATCATCAACTCGGGCCCCAGCCATCAACTCCGGATCCGTGATGATGGCATCCACCAAACTGTTGTACATCGCCTTGATGAAGTGACCTGCAACGGGGACCAACGGGGACTCCAGTGCTGGATATTGATGGGAATGTCCTTATTGTTAAAACACCAAGAATAAGTCATACAGCCATTTAATAACATTAAAAGGAATAGAATCATGGTGATGATTAGCATTAACAAGAGTAATTATGTGTATATATATATATTATATGTATATATAAAGAACTTTCACAAAAGTTAGTGTTTTCAACATGTTTGGTGTTTTCAGATATTCCTGTAGCACATGGGCATGCGGCAATATGATCTTTTTAGCTGCAACGGGGACACATGTTCCAGATATGTGATGGTGTTGAAATTGTTCAAATGGGCCTATACTTTTGCGGAAACTATAACATGTTGTGTGCTTTGAGTTTTAAACATGTGTCAGTTGTAAGTTGTGCTTAGACTTAAAGAAAATTGAGCATTTCAAGGGAAATAGCGCAGAGAAATGGCTTATCTGCGCAGAATATGAAGCACATTCAAACACATTCCGGTCGCTTCATTCCCGTCCACAAAGAACCATCTCTCCTCCATCAACAAGACAGTTGAACGTTACCCACTTTAAATATCTTAAACGCTCTTGTGCTGTAATTTGATTGTCCTTTTCCCTCCACAAATGCTAGATCACTAACCCCTGCTGCTGCTGCTGCCGCCGCTGGAGTGGCTGCTAAAGTCAATTTGCTTTCATCCTGACATTCTTCCTTTCCAGCGGGGTTTCAACCAACCACTTGCCAAGGTGCTAAACCTGATGTCTTTCTTGTTTTGAAGCTGGAATCTTCTCTCCCTTTCCCACATAATTTGATATTATATACTACATCTGTCTACTCCAACTGGGTGACGCTGAAAAGGCGCCGTCCAGAATAAGGACTTGAAGTGAGACATCATGACATCGTAGGAACAATATCTCTCCAGTTTGTGGAATATCATCTAATCCTCAAAGTGGAGAGCTCTTCCTAGAAGAGCTCTCCGCCAGTACTTCAAACTTCAAAACATTCAAAACCAGTACCAAATATACCTAGCTTCGGTGATCCCAGCCAACTTAGCACATTAGTAGCCAATGCTACTGGAAAGGGAAGGTGGAGAGCTCTTCTAAGAAGAGCTCTCCGCTTTGCAACCAACGGCAGGCATCCCAAAGTGGAGAGGGATTGGTCAACCGGGGCCAAAATCAAACTTGACACGGGGTAGGGGTGGAGAGCTCTTCGAGGAAGAGCTCGCCGCCCCCCCGAAAGGAATTTCTCGCCGCCCTCCAAACAACCGGAATACCTCGCCGCCCCCTGTTATAAATTTCTCGCCGTCCCCCAAACAACCGGAATACCTTGCCGCCCCCCTGTTGAAAATTCCTCGCGGCCCCACAAACAACCGGAATACCTCGCCGCCCCCCTGTTGGAAATTCCTCGCCGCCCCCGAAACAACCGGAATTCCTCGCCGCCCCCTTCTCAGCAAAAAATGCGGAAAACCCCGGTGGCTTATCCTTGGAATCCTTTAGTGGCCCCTGGTATGGGAGAAGCTAACTGATGGCAGCCAAGTGCCCCTAATACAATTCACAATTTCGCAAGAGTGAACACTGACTATGCTTAATTTATTCTGTAATAATTGGCTATATTCCCTGACTACTAAAAGTCTAGCATTCTCTTGGCAAAAGATTCCGTACTGCTGCTGCAACTCCCGGCCAAAATTCAAAACACAAAAGCTTTGAACATGAGTCCGTCCCCCTAAGAACTTCTTGCCATCGATCAGAATCATATATTCAACACATTCATGGTGGCACTACTTCGATGTTGGTTTTCAACAAAAAACATATCCTGTGCCAACCCAATACCGAAAACACCAAAAGTGTTGAAAACACTCACTTTTGTGAAAATCCCTTATATATATATCGACCACAAAATCCAGTGGCTTATCATCACGTGTCCCCATGGAAAATCATGTTTTTTACATGCGGATCATGTGAACTTTACCATTTTCGGGCAATGTTCCATTTTTCGAGTTAACCCCTCATGAAATCCGCGCTGGGAGCCGCTTTTTGGTGTAATCCCGGGCTGCTTCAGGGCGGCTGAAACAAATCGAAAAATCAAACATGTCGGAAAAAAACTGCATAGACTTAATCATATTAATACACACATGGTTTAATATGATTCATTAAGTAATATTAAATACATATTATGGTTTTCCACTATTAATCATAAACTGCATATATGTGTGTATATATATATAATATATATATATATATGTGTGTGTGTGTGTCTATATAATCATCTTAATCATATAATCGCTTTGTTTGGGGGAAAACGGGAAAACGGCCCATCGATGAAACTTCGGCATGGCCGCTCCCGTCGAGGCCTTTGGGATTTCGTCTCAAGCGGGCTGCCTTGGACCTTGAACGGCGCATCGTTTTTGGATGTTTCCTCTGAAACAGTAATCAGTACCCATAGGATCCATGTATGGTATATGCTAACATTGGGGGTATATTGATGGTAAATGTCACCATATATAGCAGCACCATGGATCCTATGGGGTATGTAATCAGTAAACTCAGTAAACCATAGGCGTTTCAGCTGTCCCAAACCTCCAGCTGGCTCGGCATCCAGCCTTTCCAAGAAGGCATCGCGATCCAAGATTTCCAGTTTTCGCTTCACACCTCTCAGCAGCGCCCGTGGCACAGCTTCACATCGAGCACAATTTGACCAGGGGCCACCATGGCTTTTCCGGCTATGTAGCTGGCCTTTGACAATCCACATCTCGCTAAGGCATGTGATAAACATTGATAAACCATCCTACAATATGTTGAACAACGTTAAACATCACTCAAAAAAGGCTTTCCCTGCCACCACAATTTCCCCGGGCAGGCCTCCGTTGGTTCCGTTGGACATTGCTGGCACCGTGGCAGAACAGGCCGGTTGGTACCAGGATCCACTAGGTCGATGCTTTAGCCAAAGGGCGCAGCAAGATTCAGTTTGGCCATCCGTTCCGCACTTCAAACCTTCTGTGGCTGGTGATTGACCACCTAGCGCCCCCCCAAAAGAAATTGAGCTTTCAAGATTCATCCCAACTCCCGAAACATGATATGTTTCAATTTTATTTAATGTTCGAACCATCATCTCAAGATATCTCAAGCAAGATGTGCATGTTCTTCCTGCAGCATTGAAGGTCTTGAGACCGCCATTGCTGACATCTTGCTGACATTGCATCTTGGTGCGCGGCCGGCTTTTCCAGGGCTGCTGTCACAGCAGCGGCTCCAGCACCAGCCAGGGTCTGCAGAAATTTGGGCCGCACAGCGCCGTTTTTTGGACGAACAATTGGTCTCAAAGCCGAAATGGAGGTAAAATATGGATAAATATGGTAGAATGGTGAAACCCCGTTGGGTTTTTGGGGTGTACTAAGTACTACATGTCGAGACAGGCCCACATGACAATCATATCAACCACTCAAGAGCATCAAGATGTTCTGTACAGTGTCCATCTTCTGGCCTGCCGCCGGGACACCTGAGACGCCGCAGGATATATGAAATCGGGAAGTACAGGTTGCTGCTAGTGTCGAAGTCCCCCAACATCACTTTCCCCTTGGCCCTTGGCAGAGAAGAAAGCTCCCTCTACCCCCAACGTTCCGAGCCTGTGGGGCTGTCCAAGAGTTTCCCTCAGTGTTAGAGCTCGGACTCAGGACCGATTTCTGGGGTTCAACCCATCCCAATAGTACGTGCCGAACATTGTGAAAAACCGCCTCGCAGTCGACTGTGTGCATTCATATCCCCACACCCCCAAAAAAAAAAAGACAATCTTTTCGGGGGCAGACTTGGAGATGAAACCCCTAAACATCCCTAAACATCCCTAAACATCCCTAAACATCCCTAAACATCCCTAAACATCCCACCTTTGACCTTGGGCGAACATGGATCGTGGCACCCCTTGGGCTGTGGCAATAGCTCTAAACACGAGGCACAGCAGCAGTAGGGAACCTGCAACGGTTCACCGGTTCATGTTTTCCCGGATAAGGGGGGTTGTTCAATGATTTTTCCAATGGTTTTCAGTGGTGCTCATTGTTTCCCCAATCAAAAATTGCTATAATGTGTGCCACCCAATGCCATAAACAACTACGATTAGGGGAAATTTTCAACATACCACCCTATTTCATGATGTTAGGGATAGTTGAATTCTTTGGTTTACTAATTATTAATATATACTAAATTATACTAATATTGCCATGTTGGGATGTTTTGCGGCGGCATATCCCCCATTCTTAAACGAAACACTCACGTCCACGGACCACCCTTCGCCCGTCACCTCGGACCAGGGAAAACGACTCAACGACTCAACGACCCGACCTGCTCTCAGGTGCACATGCGCCTGGAGAGTCAAGAAATGTGTGGATCACATAAATTCAGGATTCAACAATTGGCAAAAATATGCACATATGTTTGTTGTTCTTTATTTATTTAGTTGTTTGTTTATTTATCTATTTCTTTGTATTTAACTATGTATAAATAGTTATATAATATATATATATATATATAATTCTATGGGTGCAGATTGTTGTTTTAGTCTTTTTTGTTTTTCAGTCTGGGGCACTTCTCCTTGCTATTTGCTACATTTTGAAGCAAAAAACCTATGCTTTGCTGAATTTTTGAGCTAAAATTTGCCATTTGCACTGTTCATCGGTTTTTCCATGGTGCTCATTGATTTACCCAAAGTGTTCATCGATTTTTCCATAGTTTTCACATTGGTTTTTGCATGGTTTCAATCGATTTTTCCATGCATAACATGCACCTGGTGAACATGTAGAATATAGATTGAAGCACAACCGTGTTGGGTCTAAATAGTGGCATTGGATGCTATCATAGTGTTGGTTGGTTGAGGGTTTATTTAGGGTTGGTTTAGGGTTTATTTAGGGTTGGTTTAGGGTTGGTTTAAGGTCATTTAGGATTGGTTTAGGGTTGGTTTAGGGCTTTAGGGTTGGTTTAGGGTTTATTTAGGGTTGGTTTAGGGTTTATTTAAAGTTATTCTAGGGTTCGTTTAGGATTTATTTAGGGTTGGTTTAGGGTTTATTTAAGGTTGGTTTCGTGTTTATTTAAGGTTTATTTAGGGTTGGTTTAGGGATTATTTAGAGTTGTTTAGGGTTGGCTTAGATTTATTTAGGGTTGGTTTAGGGTTTATTTAGGGTTGGTTTATAGTTGGTTTAGGGTTTATTTTGGGTTGGTTTAGGGTTTATTTAGGGTTGGTTTAGGGTTGGTTTAAGGTTTATTTAGGGTTGGTTTAGGGTTTATTTAGGGTTGGTTTAGGGTTGGTTTAAGGTTTATTTAGGGTTGGTTTAGGGATTATTTAGAGTTATTTAGGGTTGGCTTAGATTTATTTAGGGTTGGTTTAGGGTTTATTTAGGGTTGGTTTATGGTTGGTTTAGGGTTTATTTTGGGTTGGTTTAGGGTTTATTTAGGGTTGGTTTAGGGTTGGTTTAAGGTTTATTTAGTGTTGGTTTAGGGTTTTTCTTCAAGGTTATTTAGGGTTGGTTCAGGGTTTAGGGTTGGTTTAGGGTTTATTTAAAGTTGGCTTAGGGCTTATTTAAAAGGGTTGGTTTAGGGTTATTTACGGGAAGATTTATTTAGGGTTTGGTTATGTGCGGTTGGTTTAAGGTTTCTTTAAGGTTGGTTCAAGGTTTATTTGAGGTATATTTTCGGGTTTCTGGGTTGGTTTAGGGTCTATTTAAAGTATGTTGAGGGTTGGGTTAAGATACATGTAGGGATACAAGGTGTGCATATAAAGATAAATAGATAGATAGGCAAATAGATAGATAGAAAGATAGATATATAGATAGATGAATAGATGGATAGATGGATAGATGGATGGATGGATAGATGGATGGATGGATAGATAGATGTATGGATGGATGGATAGATGGATGGATCGATAGATCGATAGACTAGATAGACTAGATAGACTATATAGACTAGATAGACTAGATAGACTAGCTAGATAGATAGATAGATCGATGGATGGATCGATAGATAGATAGATAGATTAGACAGATTAGATAGATTAGATAGATTAGATGGATTAGATAGATTAGATAGATTAGATAGATTAGATAGATTAGATAGGCTAGATAGATTAGATAGATTAGATAGATTAGATAGGATAGGATAGGATAGGATAGGATAGGATAGATAGATAGATAGATAGTAAGATAAGATAAGAGAAGAGAAGATCAGATAAGATAAGATAAGATAGGATAGGATAGGATGGATGGATAGATGGATAGATGGATAGATAGACAGATAGACAGATAGACAGATAGACAGATAGACAGAGAGACAGAGAGACAGACAGACAGACAGACAGAGAGATAGACAGAGAGAGAGAGAGATATATAGATAGATAGATAGATAGATAGATAGATAGATAGATCGATAGATAGATAGATAGATAGATTAGATATATAGATTAGATAGATTAGATAGATTAGATAGATTAGATAGGTTAGATAGATAGTTAAGATAGTCACTAGATCAATAACATACCATGGAACAGTGGGGTGACTTGATCAGACCTAGGTTTCATATATTTGCATTTGTAATCTTTCTTTTCATATATTTCCTTTTATATATTTGTGTTGTTTTTGTTTTTTTTGAGTTTTCTTGTTTTTTTTCATGTGTTTTTTAGTTTTTGTTTGTTGTTTTTGTTTTGTTTTTTGTATTGTTTTGGTTTTGCCTTATGTTTTGTTTTTTTTTGAGTTTTTGTTGCTACACAAACTTTCTTGCCTTATGTTTTGATTTTTTTTGAGATTTTTTGAGTTTTTTTTAGCTTTCCTAAGCTCATAATATAGCATTTCCTTTTTACAGCTAGAGATTTTTTGAGATTTTTTGATTTTTTTGGAAATTGTTTTATCATTTAAAACAGTTTAAATCTCAAAAAAAAAAAAAAACCTATACTAGTACCATGGAAACCCTACCGATCCAAACCCTCACTGATCCATGGTATGAAATTTATCTGGTGAGATAGAGTAGATAAATAAGATTAGATAAATAAGATTAGGTAAGATAAGATTAGGTTAGATAGATAAATAGATAGATAGATAGATAGGTAAAGCATGGTAAAGCCACAAAAGCCACACACCCACAAAAGCCACAGAAGCCGCAAAAGCCACAAAAGCCAGGCTGGAAAACAAACACAAAAAACAAAAATAAACAAAAAAAACAGGAAAAAATATCCCTCCTTTATTTAATTAATTAATTAATTAAATATATATATGCAGTAACAAACAACCATAGCAATAAGAATAACAATATATATATATATATCAATACATTGATGATGATGATGATAATAATAAGACACAAGAAGACCAGAAATCATCCACAGTATGTCCTGTCATGTCCAACTTCAGGCGCCTGCTCTCAACGTTCTCGCAATCATTCTTCCTTTCCCAAATGGTATTTTCACAGACTGGGGGATGCCATACATCTCCCCCTTTGATGGGGAAGCTTATGATCAACCATATCAACCATGAGATTTGCTGGGCTTGCCCTGCCTTTGTTTTCAAACCTCAACAAACTCATCCAATCACAGGGTCGCCTTGCGAGCCATGGATTTGACCAAAGGAAGGTGACTGTGGCTGTGATCTTCACGGTTTATGGCTTGCGATTCTGCCCTGACAGGACCTGCTACAGCTAAACTCCCTGACTGATTATCAAATGGCAGGAAGAAGCGCTGTTTCAACTTGCACGAGATGGTGTCTGCGCCAGTTTTCCACACCGAGCCACTTGCAGCTATGGGAAGTGTCGGGTGCAGTGCTGTTCGCATATTTTGAGGATTCACGTTGTCTGTCACAATCCCCAAGCGAAACTTTTGACGTGCAGGTTTTCTGCTCTTGATTCATCTACATATTTATATACATCTTATATGTCTGCTATGTCTTATATATCATATCTATATCTATATATATCCTAGAATTGGAATGGCAAATGCCGCAATAAATCATTAGAAATCCCTGTATTTAGTGGGGAAAAATGTGGCCTGCGACTTTCCCTCAAACAAGTGCAATAACACAATGAACCCAGTCATCAACCCCAACATCTCTCAACACCTTCGCCATGACACTGGTGGGAAAAAAAACTGGTCATGGCTGATGAAGATATAAAGATTTCAACCGCCCAGACCCAAATAATCACAAGTTCTCTATAAAGGATTATAAAGGAATCTGGCATATTTAGGTCATTATAGATTTCTGATAACTGGAATCAACCACGCGCGCTCAATTTTAGGTGGGCTCTCAGTGGCTGTAGCGCACACCTGGCAAGGCTGCTGCCAGCCTAACTGCGAACCATATGGCTATGGATCATATCCATTTTACCATGGGCAACCTCAAAATAACTGGCAGATGGATGTTCATCCCCGAAGATGGTTTCACAGGCTTTGAAGTGCGGCCGATTCGGATTGTCATGATGGTCATATTCAGTTTCACAACATTCCACAACCATTCCAGGCTGCCTTTGCTCCTTGAGCCACCAATTGCGTGGACCACCTCAGAATCTTCCAAATGAAAAAATTCGACCAAGCGTTGCTCATGGACTTGGCCCCTCTGGTGACTCCTGGTGGAATCCGAAACACGGTTCTTTTCTGTACCCTGCTATCATGGCACCACACAGGATAAACGGCGACAACTTTTTCCTGGCTTCCCGAACCCGTGCCGGTGATCTCGCATGTCGCTTGGGCCTCTGCACTGCAAAGCAAATGACACCAAAGAGATCAGCTGATCCAAGGTCTCTCCATGTCTCTCCACTGTTCCTCCGGCCCTCTGCGCCTTTGAGAGAGTTCCTGCACAGCCTGGGGCGAGGTGCAAGCCAAATTGCTTGAGGGCTGTGCAATGACCAGCAGCTGCTCAGTCTCCACACTGCCCTAGCGGTCCCAAAATGTCCCAGCTGCTGGTCCCAGCTATTTCCGCGCCTTTGAAATGCGGCCCATGCACACGGCAGACATGTCCTGAGCACACCCGTCCCACTGCATGGGGGCTGCCTCTTTTCAAGCGAAGTTGAGGCCCCCGCACGAGTGCCTCGCATGCTGCCACCTACCATCCAGCACGGCCAAAGTTCAAGAGGTGATATATAAGAGAATAGGCTTGTCCAAATTCCAGCCCTGCTCCAAATTGGAGAGTAGGATCAGTAGACTGATATGGGCATGGGAAAACCGAAGATATCAAGGATAAGGTGGTTTACTACTATACTCCGTACAAGCCCAGTGTGGTCAGCTGCCGGTGATATCTCCCCATTTTGCTGATTAAAGCCCTGGGCCCTGATCAGGATTCACCGCTGTGCATTCACTAAAGCAAGACATTGCACTACCAGAAGCATATGACGATCATCCCCTGAAAATATGATGTGTTTGTGACATGTTGTGACCATTCAAAATATTTGAAGATGTTTGGAATCCCCCATGCTGGTATACTTGATGGTTTTCCCATGTTTATCATATATGAAAATGCCACTTTTGTATACTTTTGTCAGTCAATCATCCATCATAACTATCATCCATCTATCGCCTCCAATTGAATCAGAATGCTCCGAATTTACCTTGCCCGGAAGTATCGAAATTTACCAATTTACCGATTTACCAAATTTATCCAAATTTACTATGGCCCGAAGATGCCCGAAGAGCGGCGTAAAGCCGTAAAACGGTAAATGCGTAAAGGCGTCATGTATCAATGTGGTGGAGCGTGAGGAGCCAGACGCGGTAAAACCGTAAAACGGTAAATTCGTAAAGTCATGTAAAGTCGTAGCATTTTACTGATTTACCGATTTACCGAGTTTACAGAATTTACCTTGCCCGGACGTATCGAAATTTACCAATTTACCGATTTACCAAATTTACCATTGCCCGAAGAGCGGCAAAATTTACTAATTTACCAATTTACCAAATTTACCATTGCCCGGAGAGCGTTCTCTCCTTAGCATCATGCCTTACACAGTGACGGCTTAGAGAATAAGGCCGGGTCCTCAGGTACCGCCCCAACCTTGATACCCCCCGGAAATGTCATTGTTGTTACAGTAATTGTTTACTTCACCATAGTTGGACCTTGTTCTAAGAAATACGTGGAAGAACCTCCCTCAATTTCCAGATTTGTCCAATTTTCATCAATTTTCATGGTGAGTATGTCATGTTCCTATCCTAAGCATCAGACTCCCCACATGTTTCATGGGTTTCACCCCACAGGTTTTGCTTGGAGTCCGCCCCCATCCCCCCCTGCCTTGCAGCACCATCTCCTGCACCTCTGGCACCTGCTCCCTGAGCACTGTGGCAGCGCGGTCGCTGAGTTCGTGGTCCTACAGTTCGACTGGGGTGGAGGGAGTTGGGGAAAGGTTGGGGAAAGGGAGAAATGAAGGGTTGAACCATGGTTGAACCATGGTTGAACCATGGAAAATGGTGATTTTACCAGCAAGAACTGTGATTTTACCCTCAACAATTGTGATGTTACTATCAAAGACATTCAAACACGGTGATTTTGGCATAGCAAATTGTGAGGTCCAAGTGATTTCCTGATTTTACCATGGGCAGATGTATGGCGAGGAGAAGAGGACCACGTGGCAACAGAAGGGTAGATGATCAACAGAGCAGATATACAAGTCAGCCAGATGTAAAATCTGACCATTAAAGAGGACACGAGGCAGATTCGGCCAAGGACAAATGAAAGGTTGTTCCAGACAATGGCTCTGACACCAAGACAAACTCCAATATCCGAACTGTACAATTTGAGATCTAAATATTTGCAGCTGAGGGGTTGGAGAGCCCACCGGGGGGGTATCTTTTGTAAAACGAAGGTTTTACCCATCAAACATATGGGTCTTACCATAGAAAAGTGGTTTCGTTGAAAATGTCAGGACAAAAAGAAGTTTCAATCATCAAGAACGGAGTTTGATCCTCATTAATTAAACATCATTGGGTGATAACCATCAAAAAGTATGTATATATATATTATGTGTGTGAGTGTGTTTTTCAAAGGGGAACATGTATCGCCAAAAAATTATGATATGACTACACATATCTTTACATAACTTACAGCAACTAAAAGCAATAAATGATGGAAATGCATTCATACCATATCTCTCACAACCAAAAAAAATGTTGAAGAATCGATGAAACAGAACAAACTCTTACCAATGACAAATGATCCAGATGTTACCTGTGAACACCAGAAATGCATTGATTGTTTGATATTGTTTGATGACAACCAACGAGAATAAGGATATGATCAAGGTGGGCATATAACAGGACTGGCCAGTGGGTGGATGATTTCTTTTAATGGGAACCCCTCCATTGGGAGCAGAGTAACGGAAAATCAAGAAGTTTTGCCACTCTTTTTTGCTTGGAGAAAATCGAGGTAGTAGTAGTCAAACATAACACATAGAAATCCGCACATTTTGGATTTGATGTGTCAATCAAGAAATGTGCGCAATGTCAAATGTGTGAAGGATTCCACACTGCCGAGTCTCCATGACAAATCGATCGACTTCACGATTGAGCCCTACAGCAGAATGGAGGGCAGGGTGTTTTGATGTGTTTGGCCTGTTTTGCATCACTGGGTTCTTTTGAGAAATATCAAGGCGGGAAACCATGGGGGTGTTGTCATCCCAAACATTGATAAGCATGAGAGTGTTACTGTGTGATGTTTCCTGAAACTCATTTTGGAAACTTGGTGATTCCATTCCTTCTTGAGACCGGACCGAGTCAGGAAACCACCAGCTGTTGACAAAATCACTGGTTTAGGCTGCCGAGCATCCTCCAGCTGGAGCAACCTGATCAGGGCGGGTAGGCGTGGTAAAATTGAGCTGGACAGTGCTGACTCAGTGCTGACTGACAAGACTTCAATCTCTGAAACGGTCTACACCGCGAAGCTACCACAATGCAGGCGCTTGTGCGCCTCGTGCTGTCGCTTGGTTCCTTCAGTCTGGACATGTCTGGACATAGTTCTAGTTCGATGGCCACAACATCCCTGGTCTACCCTGGTAGTGGGACCTGTTTTTTGTAAGGTTGGATCAAGGGTTTCCAACAGTTTCCAAGCCCGTGGAAGAGTCTATTAGATTATTAGAGGCTTCCTAAGATATGATGTTCCATGATTTTCCACTATCATTTTCCACCAGAAAAACCATCCATTTTGGGATATTTTGGGGTACCATAAACATGACTTAGGAGACCTCCAAATATCACCAGCGGGGCTCCTCGACGGAGGCTTCCATCCTTCACAGCCTGCCGAAAGCGGCGCCATGGATGGGCCATGGGCGATCCTGGTGGCCCAAGGTGCCTAAAGAATCCTAAAGAGTCTTAACATATCATGATATATCATGATATATGTGATATATATATATATTATGATATGATATATCCTGAATTATCAGGATATACTTTTAACAATCTTTTAACATAACATAAACTATCCATAACCATCCCATGTTTCCACCAAAGATCCTATTTTGGATGCCGTTCCGTACCCACATTTTGATGCAAAAAAAAGTGATGGATGGATCCCACCGTGCCACAGCCCGGTCACCAAAACTGTGGTCCAGACTTGCTGCGCCTCCCGAGATTGGAATAGGACCCCGCCCAAAACCTGGTGAAATGCCTGGTCTAAGCCTTTCTTCTCAGGGGAAATACCATGTGGACCATGGAGTTTAGGGAAAACCTGGTGTTCCAAATGATTTCAAAGGATTTCAAAGGGTCCCAAGACGCCCCAAGTCTGGCATGAGACGACATGAAGCAACCCCCCACAAGCCCAGCCGCTCCACCGACCTTCTTGATTCTTCCCATGCACCCCGCGCTGGGATCACGACATCCACGCAGGCTGCCCTGGCGCTGGCACCAGAATCTCTGGACTTGACCTAACCCATGGTTTCACCACTTGAATTAAGGTGAGTAAAACAATCATAAACCATCCCTCAAATCACCATTTCTTTAGGTAGTATGTTTACCATTCCCACATGGATGGTTTATTGGTTTACCATGTTTTACCTACATTAGGTTGAATTGAGTTGAAATCTGACCCGTTGAACCCCATGGATGCTTGCTGGCTCCCTCCTGATCCAGCACGGCCCGTAGCACGGGCGCGGACACTTCATGCAGAGTCGCCACGCAGCGTTCACCTTGGGAATCGGGAATGAACAGGTGGCAGATCACAGCAACAAACAGGTCGGAACGTCAAGTTCACCATTCAATTGGTGCATTCAATATCCATTCAATTTATTAATCTTCATCAAAAAGAATGAGAGATGAAAGAAAACGGAAACTCTTTGGAACACCCCCCATGGATCCCCATGGTGTTAAACACGGCGCAGCATTCGCCGAGGCTTGAGGCCGGAACTCAGATTGTGCTCTCGCACAAACGCAGTCAGCTCCTCGGCAGATGGCCCTGTCGGGGGAAGCCTCAGATTCCCGGTGAAGCCATGGCCGATGAATCGCGTGGAGTCAAAGGACGGTGGCTTCTCATCAGTGTGGCAGGAAATCATAGGAAATCTACACTTGGAAGATCTCAGATGGCATTCCACCAACAAGACTCCAAACTGCTGCTCATCTGCTCTGGATTTTACCATAGATTTTGTGGCGTCTCATGTCTATGGGACTAAAAAAATGCTGTCCAGCAAGTTGCTCTGTTCGGTGCTTGAAGGCGGCTTGTGCTTTGGCAATGCGGCCGATACATCCTGCAGCGTTTCCGTTCGGAAACGAAGGTGGCACATGGCAAGCTGCAGGGACGTCAGAACGATTTCTTCCGGAAAACTGATGTCCAAATCTGTCTGATCTGAGGAGCTCTTTACCATGAAAAAAACCAGGCCCCCAACGAAACATCGATGCCACATGCCATGAGTCTGGAGGTTTCTTTGTCAAATGACCCCAACATCCTTCACGCTCGAGTCCGAAACTCGCTCCTGCATTGGGATCTCGGCATGTTGCTAAGCTACCCTGGGCCAGCACCTGACTTTATGATTGCTGGAACTTGAGGGCACTGACAGACAACACCTTGGGTGTCCAACAACCAACACGGAAACCAAACAGCTTTCAAAAATAAACATCATATATAATCATATATATAATTATATATATATAAAAACGAAAAAAAAAACTTCTGTAACATCATGACATCATACATCATATATCACACACATATATATATATATACACATATATATAATTATATAATTATATATACTTATATATATATATAACGAATGGACTGACATCTTCATCTGTTCCTGAAAGATCTCCACACCTCAGCTTGCACTTCTGGAGGCACCCCTCCTGGGATCAAGGCTGCAGTCAGCAATCAACAACTCAGACCAGTTTTGGTGATCTGTGTGCTTCTAAAATTGGTGTTCAATGCTGATGCTGCATTTTGGTGCTAATGAATTATAGTATATTATAGTATGTTTTAAATCTATTCCGTACCCCTTGCAAGATCGAATGAGAAATCGAAAGCTCTGCAAACGAGAATCGCAATGCATCAGCCGCTCGCTCGTTTAGGTCGTGCTCTTGAATAAATCTCTCCACATCATTCGGCGATGCGATGTGAGCATCGTTGCCTCGAGAGTCACGGCTTTGGTTCACATGGTGACGGGGCCCAAAAACAAGGGCACCATCGGCACCCGAACATCCAACGTTTACAGTAAATATGGTGATGTTCATTTTCCGTATCCAGAAATGATTTCCGAAAAAGGCAGAGAATCCTGGTGAAAGTATGCGAAAGTCGCATCCACCAAAATATATTGTTCTGGCTCATGCAACTCCCAACAGATCCTTTGCTTCTGAGGTGCCATCTGCCCAAACCTCTGAGAGCGGGTCGTGGAAATGGGAAAAACCATGACACGTCCACTGAAGCCCCCAAAAAAACAAGGTCCCCTGCACTTCTGGACATGTGGGATGGGTAAAAAAAAATAGTACAGCGCCTCCAAAATGGTATGGTCTACTTTTGCTCCCGTTTGCCACCGGTTCTTTGCAAAAGTTGTCCTATACAGATGGATTCTGGGTCTCTCATATGGAATGGTTTATTTTATTACTACCTTTAAAAAAGTATTAGAACAAAACAGAGTTAACCAGAGTTACCCTGTGGAAAATTCACACATCCACCCTGAGAATCACCAACTTTTAGTGGAAACTCATCTTCCAACCCCTATCTACCAGGGTCTGTGTGAATTTGCTGGGAGGGTAAGCCATAAAAGGTCCAGTCCATCCGCCTTCCCCATGCGCCTTGGCCTTTCGAAGCCGGCTGACACCTCGCATGGTGTCAACACCCCATGAAAATCGGAGCATTTCCTGGATCAGAATGATGCTATGCTTGGAAAGCATGCGAGACATCAAAAATCACTGGTAGATATCTGTAGATATCTGTAGATGCTGATAAGATCTGATCCGTTTGAAATGATCTCCTTTTGGTCCCGGTTTTGGTTGCCGACGATTCCCAAATCGCCAAGTCACAAGCGGCACTCGGTTCTCGACAGCTGGTGAGGCTTCCTTGCTCCAGCACCTGGAAGAGCTCCAAATTGGAGGTGCTGACTCAGAACAAATCCTTCTCTCAAATATGGCAAGATTTGGGTATCTCATCTCTTGAAAACTTGGGGAGAGGGGGGAGAAAAAAAAAGGCGTTGTGAAACATCATTTTCCTGATGCCTGACAAAAGTCGCAATAACTTGGAGGTAGTGGAAATCCCAGATGTTTGAGACAGAACCACGTGCAGTACGTACACCAATATTGTTCTGTTCAGTTCTTTTTTACATATTTGGTTCCCATGTTTTGCCTTCATCAATGCACATTCCCTCTGTTTTTGCCATTCGTGATCTCACCATTTCCCCACATGTTTCATGACCATGATCTCAGTATACCACCCTATAAAACATTAGAAAGCCCGTGTGATACAACAGTCTTTCTGTTTCCCGCCAGTTTCAACGATGGATAGCTATAGCAGGTTAATGGATGTGCATTCCCCAACATATATCAAAATCATAGATGTTTATTCACCAAATAAATAAATAAATAAATGATTAAATAAATAAATAAATAAATAAATATAGATAAGTAAAGAAAGAAAGAAATAAATATATACATATATATGTATATGTGTGTGTATATATCTCAATATATTTGGTAATTTCATAGATTTAGGCCCATCCCCATATCAATTGAGTCAGCATGACCTGTCGCTGCACCGCTGGAAGGGCCGAGCGAAGAGCATTGGAGGCTGAAGCATCCAAGCCCTGGAGGCTGGAGGAATCCTAATATTTGTGGAGGATGAACCTCAATCCCAGCTATTTTGGGGTGAACAGAAGGGTCTTGTATGGTTTTGGACTCATACCCATACATATATACATATATATATGTATATATGTATGTATGTATGTATGTATGTATGTATGTATGTGTATATATATGTGTGTGTGTGTGTGCGTGTGTCGTGTGTGTGTGCGTGTGTGTGGTCTAATAAATAAATGTGGTTATTATTACCCACATTATAATCCACATTATAATCATACTCGGATTTGCATCCCATTTAGTGATTGAACAAGTAATATCCCATAGAGAAGTGGGCTACTTGGTTGCCCACTTACCAAGTAAGCTCCAATTGTGGGTGTGTTTACTTTTGGCTGTGCAGGCAAGAAGATCATGAAACCCTTGAGAAATCTCTGGGAAAGAATAGTGGCATAGTGGGAAAAAATGAAGAGTCACAAGCAAATTTGATCTTCTCTACCGCTCCATGTCCATATCCAGCCAAGGAGCATTTTCACGAATGAACTGCTCCACCTCATCCAAAGCCGCTGAAGCCGCTGCAGGTGTGTTGCTGAACTCCTCAGTTCTCCACTTCGCCAAGGTCATCTGGTCCCAGCCACTTTTGGTGATGATTGTTGGCGTGATGTGGCTCACAATGATGCAACCCCAAAATAGATGAAGAATTTGCGCTGTGAAAATGTTGAAAATAAACCGAATTGGGGTTGTCTGAAAATAGGGCACCGCCACTTCCCATGGTTCAAATCAGAATTGTCCCATTAAAAATATATCCCACCCTTAGGGAAATCCACATGAATGGTCCAGTTAGTTTCTCCATGGCCATCTCTGAGAGCCCCCTGGTTTCCCCATTATCTTCCAATAAACTATCCTGCGGCTTGGGGAACTCCATTCGTAGCTCCTAGGCTCCAAATTCAATAGGGAATATGGATACAACGGATACAACAACCATAGTTCCAAACCGCTCACTCCTAACCACTGGAAGGAATTATGCCACCATTTTGTCTGGTTCCCGTATTTTCATGTCCACATTTTGTATCCTCAACATCTTTCATTCAACTAGCATCCTTTTTTCCTGGTTTCCCCCAATGTTGGACAGACCATGACAGACCCAAACGAGAATGGATCAATATTTGGGGGAACGAAGATCCATAAATCCTAAGCTCTATGGAGGTTTCCCAAGCAATGGGGGTACCCCAAGTCACCATAGGTTTCAAATGTTTCAATACTAAGTCATGGTCATCCATGACGACTGATGCAAGGGGATACCCCATGACGAAACGGAAACCTCCAGGAGCCCATGTGCCTGCGACGTGGCTCTGATCTGAGCCAGGCAAGCGCGGGAGGCGTCAGTGGCGTTGCCACCCAAGTGACCTTGCGCCAGTAAGGACTGCTGGACCTCAGCCCGGAGTTGTTGGGCTGGAACCCTCCAATTTTTGCTGATTCATGGGGGATCTCATGGAAAAATAATGGATACAATTTAATGAGATGTCGTGGGACATCTAAGATTCAATTTTGGTCTTTCAATGGAGGGAAAATGTCCTGCAGATTTTCTCTTCATTCTGTGAGTCATTCGGAGGGGTTATGTGATAGGAATAGAATGGGAGGGGTGACTCATAGCTGCCGGGCATGGAGACAGATCAGTCTGGTAGCCAATGATTTGACCAAACCTACTGAATGCTGGTTTGAAGTGCCAGAAGGTTTTGAAAACACAAACTCTTCACACTTCCTCTGATTTCAAACTCATCGGCCGTCACCACTGCACGGACAGAGGTTCCAACCATTGGAGGAGCGCCCTCCAAAGCAACGGCAGCTCGCTGGTCAAGGCGGTTCTCCTGAGCAGCGGGAACATCATCATCATCATCATCATCATCATCATCATCATCTTTGCAGAATGTCTGTTGCTTCTAGCCTTAAGCCTAACTTCTTGGATGTGGATTTACTCCTTTAATTTAAGCAAGGTACTGACCTGGAATAAGTCTCAGTGACCATCCAAACCATCCAAGTCGCAGGCAGGGTCTTTCCAGTTGCCGAGGCGCATAGATGAACCTCTCCACATCGTCCAAGCTGGGGCAGCTGGGAGTGCCCCATCCCTCCTGGCCACTCTTCCTAGGCTTAACAGGCTTAACAAATGACCACCCTGGGTCTATCTGAAATATGGCAGACCGCTCACTATCTACCCTGCAAGTCCCACTGCGAGACATTCTGCTCCTAATTGTTCCTCCACTTCTGGCCCCAAAATCCGCCGTTCTCAACCCACCCCCCGCATGAGTTCCCCCAGTGTCCCTGCCACGTGTCTGAATCTTTGCAATTCGCCCGATGCACGCAGCACTGGGCTCACGGGTACCAAAAAGACTTCCTTGGTCCAAAACCTGCGTCACGTGGCATGAGGGAGGAGCTTGCCATGGATGGATGGATGGATGGATGGATGGATGGATGGATGGATGGATGGGAGCATTGTCAACGGATTGGATTTTTGAAAGAACTAGGAGGGAAGGAGAAAAACAACAGCGTTTTTGCCATCTGTTTTTCCTAAAAGTTGTTCATTCAGCCAGTTCTGGGATGTTCTGGCAGATTGGGGTTCCTATGGTCTCTCACATGAAATTTCCAACCATCAAGCATCATCCACCGTCAACAACCATGACGAACATGAACCAGCAAGCATCATCAGCCGTCAACCATCGTCGATGATCTCAAACATAAACCATGAGCAACCATTAGCAACCATTAGCAATTATCATTCGGCCACGGGCATGGGTCAAAACTAAAACCTTGTCCAAGTACGCCTTCTGTTCACACCAAAATAGCTGGGACTCATGGATATTCACCCAAGAATAATTAATAGGCCCGGCTTTGATCCTCTGGCATTCCCTCTTCGGTAATCAAACATGGCTGGCTGGGAAAGCCCTGTGGCCTGAATGGATCTAAATGGATCTAGAATCTAAATAGAGGTTTAGAGATTTTACAGCACAAATCATCAAACTAAATTAAGGAGTTTCCAGCAAGCCACATTTGATTACTGGAGGGTAACCGTCATCAACGAGAACCAACCCGCCCAACTCTCAACGGAGAGCTGCCACCTGTCTCTGCACAGAGCTGCCTGCACTTCGCAAGGCATCTGCAGCACGTTCCTTGGATCTACTCGGCTTGGGGATGTGGGGGTATTAATTGGGGTGCATGATATAAAAATGAGGAACCAAATGGAACCAATTTGGCAGCCGATCTTTCAAGTAAAAATCTGCGTTGGTACTGAAACTAGTCCCTTTCGTAATCGATTTTGATGGCACTTACTAATATCCTATGGATAATTGTTGAAGTGTGTCCGAACCCCAAAATTGCAATTTCAGTACATGATGACTCTCTTTGATTGTCTTCGGACATTCCACCAGAATCCCGAAAGAAGCGAAGATATTCCATGCCAGTCCTGTTCCGGAGTCGAGCGTCATTCAAATCATTGTCCAGGATGAACCGCTCAATCTCCTGAACCAAAGCATCCACTCAGGCCACAGAACTTGAGAAAATTGTCTCTTGTAAAGCTCCAGATAAGGCCCCCCTTACATATGAAATACCCCCATATGGCATATGGGCTCCCAATTTTTATCTTTTTAAATCCATCTATATAAATACTATTAAATACTAAATCCTATATGAAACAGAGGTTTTTAGGGGCGTATCATGGAAAAATCACAGCTGCCGGCCGGCTGTGCCTGGCGAGTTGCTGTAGAAGCCTTGAGAAGTTGTTTCACGGAATCACAGGGGCCCTGAAATCCATTGATGTCGAAGAAACTGGAGGATTTCAGAGTTCCTCCCAGTTTGGGACACACACACAACACTATAAAACACTATATAACATTATATATATATATATGGGGATGGGTCAAGACCCTATCCCCCTGGTGAACATCAAAATAGCTGGTAAATGGATGTTCATCCCCCTAAAAATGGTATGTATAGGTATTGATCCATAGCCATATAACACTATATAACACTCTAAAAAAAACGGCAAGCCACCTGGCTTCGCACTCCATCAGCAAAGGATGGGGCCTGTTGCGCACGGCGCAGGCCTCAGCGTTAAACATGTCCTTGATGAGTCAACTTGCTGGAATCGATCGCCGGGGGTTCCCTTCAAAAATCAAGTACTTAGATAACTAAGGGGGGCTCCCCCATGGTTTTTGATGAGTAGCTGTTCTTTTTTCTGCTACTGAGATCGTGAACTGAGATCGTGAGGTTTCTTTTGGACTCCGAGGACCTAAATGGCAAAAAAAAAAGTTTAGGGGACTTTGAATGCGAGGTTGACATTGCGGATATTCATCCGATAGATCTGGGTAAATAAACTAGAATCATTCACCTACTAATGTGGGCTAGTTTCCCCTGCTCATCATTCCAGTTAGGTCGTTATAAATGTTAGAATCTAGCCAGATAGATTAGAGTCTTAGAGATTTTGTCCCATCCCTCAGAAAGCTGTCGGGATTGGCGCCGAAGTCACGTCCCATCAAACCAGCGTTCCGGTCGCGGCAGCCGTGCAAACTGCCCTGTCGATTTAACGTTGGTGAGCCTTTCACCCTTGATGCAACATAAACTACCCTCCAGTAAACTCACTTATATAGCTATGGCAAAATGGCCCATTTGTATATTACTATTGAAAATGGAGATGTTTCACAGCTATGTCAAATAACCAAAGCGTAGAAGAGAAATACCTAGTAGATGAATCATCCAAAGATTGCGGCATCTTTTGACACAGATACACTGCCACGATTCCAGTACAGTCATGCCTAGAAACGGGACAGGACTCCAGAAAAATTGCAAACTAGTTTTCCATAGTTCATCATACCCAAAAAAATAGTTCTCATGCCGTGTTTGTCCTGTCTGTGGTGGTCATTTACCCCATCCCCAAGTATAGCAGCCCGCAAAACATAGAAAAATACAAAGTTTGGATAAATGACACACTTTTCTGCATCCTCTTGGAGGTGATACACGTGATACATATCCTAAATATTCAGGTGTCCAAGTGTCATGATGCCAAGTGAACCCAAGTGTGGCCAACATCACCATCACCAACTGTTCCTGATGAATTCCTGATGATTCGTAATGATTCGACATGAAGTCAAGATCAGTTTCACGATCAGTTTCACGACGTGTTTCTATCTTCTTTTTTGATCCACTCTTCGAAAAAGGACCGTTTCCCTTAAAATGGGATGAAAAATGGCCCCTGCCAGTGACTTTCCCAGTGAAACCAGGCCGGCAGCCTGGTCCAAGACCTGCCGTTGAAGCCATTGGGCCGAGCCCTGCAGGGCACTCGCGGCGCGCTCGTCCAAGCCGTTCTCCTGGGGATGTCCGTGGCGAACAGCAAGAACAACAGCGTTATCGATGATAGATTCTGATAGTATCTGATAGTATGATAGATCCATCGTTGATAGTGATGACCTCATAACATTATATAACATTGTAACAGTGTTGTCATCTAATGATGACTAGAGATACCAGAGTTGAATAGTATACCCTCGGGTAATTCAACCAAGCTGTGGGAAAATGGCATCGATAGCTATGTTAAATTGCGAGAGGGTAGCAACTCCCAGAAAAATAGAAAAGTAAATCGAACGAAAATAATGGTGAAGAACATGTAGCTATTGAAACGGATTGTCAATGGTTATTCATATCAATGGTTGGAAACAGATGGAGTATTACACATGATTATTATGGTGATTATAATCCAAATGTGTGGAATGAAAAATGGGTTGGCAATGATTATACATTTTATATTATCTGCAGGTTGTACAATGACAGACATGTACACAAGCAAATATATACATTCTAGAGTCTACAGTATCAATGTTTATGATTAGTGACTCATATGACATGCCATTTGCCGGCTGGGCATCAGAAAAATTAACCGGTAATGGCACCTGTATGAACTCTTCCACTTCGAAGGCTGAGGGGCCCTGTGGGATTGCCTCACTGCGACGACTGAAGCAACCAGTTTTTTGTGGTTCCCAAGCCAGTCTGAGAAGAATGCTGGCTGCTGGCTCAACACTGCTCAACACTTTCCCAAACAGGCTCAATATATCTCATATGATCATATGAATATCATATGTTTCTCAACCTTCAGTTTGGGTCCGTGAAGGTTTTCCATATCCTCCATGGCTTCTATATGTGGGCTTGAAGGGTTTCAAGAAAGCTTTGCAAGCTAAGTGTTGCTGGGTAGGGTCACCGGGCTAGGAGGGAACTTCAATCAGGAACCCCTGGAAGCCACAACCAGGGATTGAAGGGGAACAGACTGGAACGAATTCAGTCCATCGCGCGCAAAATCTTCGTAATGTATCGTATGCTTCCGACCGGCAATCACAAACTTGTATCCCCAAGATTCACCACAATTCATGCAAGCTGGTCGGCGCTGAGGCTGCTATTATAAGTGATCCAAAAGGTGTGCTGCTTACAAAATTGCGTACAGTAGAAATGGATAAGAATGAGGCACTCGGGGGTCAGCTGACCCAGACCCACCGTGTGAAAAGCCTGTTTTGAAAACTCCCAAAAAATTGTCAATGGGGATTTCCCACTGTGAACGATGACCATCCCCAACTATTTGTGGGCATTTGAACCCCCTATAATTGCCTATAATCATCAACCAACCATCATTCATCATCATTCAGAATCATTCATCAATTATCATCCCCATATGTCTGGATTACATCCACCTAGAAATGATGGTGAATCATCAACCAACAAAGAAAAATCTAACAGGTATCCTGCAGCCATATGGCCAGCAAAGCAGGGTCCATGGTCCTTTTTGCCTTGCTGATTCTTCCGACGCCTCAGGATCCAACAGTAGCAGTTTTGAGTTCAGCCAATCAAGAGAAGCTATGAAAAATCGGGAAAAGGTATGGAAAAGATACGAAAAGGTCAGGTTTGCGTTGTCTTTACCGCCTTCTTCGACCTTTGTCGATCTCTTTGTCTCTTTCCTGATCGACTTTATGTGACTTGTGATCATCGAAAACCTGCCAAGGTGCAACCCGCGCTGGGTTCTCTGCAACTCCGGAGGCTGCCCTGGGAGGCTCGAATAGTTCGAACCACGAAGAATTCCCATGACATCCCGTGGCATTCCGTGACATGTGTATCATGTGGTGCTGGAATTGAGACAAGAGGAGACTTTGGTGACCACCGCTTTTGGGAGAGATCTACTTTGGAACCTGGACAACTGCCCCACCTGTTCCAAAACATGCCACTGCACAGCAGGCGGCGCACCTGCCCCAGGGGGCCCAGGTTAGCAGTGGACTCAGTAGAAGGTCCCTAATCACTGGGCTCATGATTGGTAACTCACCAGCTACCGAACCAGTTCGGTACTCGACCACAATTTGAGGTTATAAAAGTTATAAACTCATCCATGACCCACCGCGACCCATATAAGTCTTCAAGCCTCTGAGGGCTTCTCCCGCTCGCTCGTTGAGTTCATTTTCTTCAATGAAGGCTTCAACCTCCTTGGCAAGTCTTAGCAAGTGGAAAGTTGATGCTACCATATGCTACCCATTAACCTCCGGTGTCATCACACATAGATCACATAGCTATCCGGGAAATCCCCATCGCTCCAGCCGCTCCAGCCATGGATCATCCCTGCTGGGCGCCACGAATCCCACTGGAGCGCTGCGCTCTCCTCGCTCCGCCCGTTCCGCCTTTCGGATGCGACCCACGCAGCCCGCATTGGGATCTCTGCAAGTTGCCAAGCTTCCCTGGTCCAAGACGCTGCGTTGCACCAGCACAGGCGCTGCGCGTAGAAGATCCGCCTCGGATGATGGAAGATGATACCATTGAGCTCCAGCTTATCTTGACCATAAAGCATAAGGGATGCGGCAGGAAAGTGATAAAATTACCGTAATCATCCATAATCCACATTATCATATGGCAATTGGTATATTATATACCCTCCATATACATCCGATGTCCATATACAGTATATTATTCTTCTACCCTCTGGTGCTGGCCCAAGGAGCCACATTGGAACTGAGGCCATTCACATCCTGAGGCACGAAGGAGCGGCACCGGTTGTTTGCTGCCACCCAAACCGGGGGTAATTCAGGTGGTAAAGACGAGGAAAAGAAAATTGGTAAATATTGGTAATTAACCTGTTTATTAATGTTAACCCTGGATTAATAAACCCCTGGGCTGTTTAATTGGGAGGGTACCATTTAAGTATTAGATTATGACTATTGGAGGAGTACCCCCCCAATTAATAAACCATGGTTTATTAATCCGGGGTTGACATTACCCATGAATGGTAACACAAATTGTCTATTATCGGGTTTTACCCATGAATTCATTGGCTTTACCAAGACGAATTCAGTGGGTAAACCAAATGAGAAACTTATTTAATACCATGCCGCAAAATTTGTTGCCAAATTTCTGGGCACGGCTGTAGCTCACTGTTGGGCCATAGGCCAGCTGGCCAAAATGAAGCTGGGGACTCGGAGAAATCCCGACCCAGATTTGTACAAAGGTCCCTGATGGAAAAGACACGATGCATTCAATGGCATCAAGATATTTGGTGAATTCTTCTGCCACTAAATCAAATATCCAAATTATCCAAACATTAGAATTTGGGTTTGACTGAAAATCGGATACCCCAAATTCGAATGGTCAAAAATTTGGTGAATCCTCATTTTCCCCATGGAAAAAGGCCATCTGGGCCGAGGTTGATGCGATAAACTGCTGCAGCTCCGAGGTCATCATCGCATGCCATGGGCCGCATGTGAAGCAGTACAGACATATCAATCTGGCTGCGTGGTGTCTTCGAGATCATTTTTCCATATTTTTCCATTCAAAACCATTCAACACCACTGCAACTGGTTTAGTGTCTGTTGCTGCAAAAGGTCCATAGATGATCGAACATGTAGAACCAAAAATATCCAAAAACTGGAATCGAGGGCTGAGTTCAATGCAGTTACCTGAGCTCAGTGTATTATGTATCTATATATAATTATATATATATATATTTCTTGTGGCCTGTGCCTTGCCAGTGAATCCTTCCACGCCGGCGACATTGACAAGATGTCTCATGATTTTGAGGGTGTGTGAGATCTTGATTGACTGTGCGGTTCCTGTGGTTTCATACCTGATTTCTTCATTCCAAAGGGCACCCTTAGATTTTTTTGGCCCAACATCACACCCCCAAGACCACCCTTTTCCGGCACCAAATCGCTCTAGCTCCGCTAGCTTCGCCTCATCCAACACTGGGCACCTGTCCCAGGGGCAGCTCGCCCTCCACCCGTCGTTCCACGACCCGCTTCGACAGATGGCCCAAGGCGTCCAGCGCGTCAGGGTGACGGAAGCTGCTGCCCGAAGCCAACACAGATGCCATGCCCAGCTCGCTGTCGGTCGAATCCTTGGGAACGAACTGGGAACGAACGGAGTTCAGCTGGGGATGGCCCAAATGGCTTTGCCCAAAAATGGATAAACAATTGGGATATCGGGATATCCTTGGACCCTTTTAACATGAAGTCCCCCCTGCGCAAGGCACATTGTGAAAAAAAAGTCGCACCACGAAATTCGGAAGCCACCCCGCCGTCGGCTAGTCACAATGACACAAGTTTCCCAAAGGTTTGATCAAACTTTGTGATTTGCATCTGGAATCTTGTCGTGCCTCTGCGTTCGGTCAAACATGTGCTCTGAAAATAATTGAAAACTAGCGATTTATGATCAACGAGCCTCTTCTCTTCTCATACTCTACTCTTCCCTACTCTATTCTTCTCTGCTCTGCTCCTCTTAAATGTTCGTAACACGGAAGTCTCTCCTTCAGTTTGTTTGAACGCTGGAGTGGAATACTCTTTATGCTGGGACAAACTTCCTAATCCCAGTCAACACCACCGTGTCGTGTCACTGCGTTTGGCGTTTGTGTCATAGACCTCAAGCCTTCAGCAAAGCATGACGTATAATATACCATTATCATACAGTCTATAACATTCTAATAAAATACCATCAGCTACCTGGCAGGGACCCTGGATCTTACACTGTAGACCCTAAAAACGGGGTCTGAAGAAGAGTTACGTAGCTAAATCACGTAAGACAATCTCAATAGTCTAGACCCTTCGACCTTACAGATGCTGAAGGTCTGAAGACGTTTACCCATGCGTCAAAAATACAAAAAAATGTTCCAAACAACATGTTTTCTCTCGCTCACTTTTCGCGGCTGTCACAAGTTTTACACATTTGGAAAAAAAACTTATGAAATCTTATGAATAACAATTTGGAAAAAAACTTATCAAATCTTATGAATAACAATTTGGAAAAAGATCTTATGAAATCTTATGGATAACAATTTGGAAAAAAAAATCTTATCAAATCTTACGAATAACAATTTGGAAAAAAATCTTATGAAATCTTATGATGAACAATTTGGAAAAAATCTTATGAATTCTTATGAATAACAATTTGGAAAAAATCTTATGAAATCTTACGAATAACAATTTGGAAAAAACATCTTATGAAATCTTATGAAAAACAATTTGGAAAAATCTTAAGAAATCTTATGAATAACACTTTGGAAAAAAACTTATCAAATCTTATGAAAAACAATTTGGAAAATCTTATGAAATCTTATGAATCTAGCGTGGCAAGGTCTAGAATCACAATGGCCAGCAAAGCCAATCTGTGTTGATCAAGGCCAGAAACGCTGTCCAGACCTTTGGACAAACTTTGGAATCTAGCTTGGCAAAGGTCTAGGGCTACAATGGTCAGCAAAACCAACCTGTCTTGATCAGTGCCAGAAATGCTGTAAGAACTGGGGAATCTAGCTTGGCAAAGGTCTAGGGCTACAATGGTCAGCAAAACCAACCTATCTTGATCAGTGCCAGAAATGCTGTCCAGACCTCTGTAAGAACTGGGGAATCTAGCTTGGCAAAGGTCTAGAGCTACAATGGTCAGCATAACCAACCTGTCCTGATGATTGCCAGAAAAGCTGTCCAGACCTTTGAAAAAACAAGATCTGCCTTACATCTTCAAAGTTGAAAATTATGGGACATCCATATATCATGTCCAACATAGACACGCTCAAGGGTCTATAGTACCTTAAATGCAGAGGGTCTACAGTGCTCCTGGAAGTACTCTAGACCCTGGGCCCCTGAAGCCTGGAGGCCTGGGTACTCTAGACCTTATGTAGTTGAGGGGATCTAATAAACACCTCTGTCTGGCATCAACTTCCCTGTTGCACAACGGATGGGGGACGCCTTCCCTCGACATGGGACACTTACGGCCAAAAATCCTCTGCAGGTACCATTTCAATAAGGAAATATGGGATAAATAGGTTCCAAACTCCAAACCATCAATTTTCGAGGTCCTACTTCAGACAAACCCGGGTAGAGGACGTGCTGTGGGCCGTGCAGATCCATGTGGCGAAAAAAATGTCTAGCCATCCGCACATGTGATCATAAAGATGTTGCAGCAACAATATGTAGCAGTACAACATAGTACAACATTTAAGATCATTTAAGCATTTCATGCCTACTCTTGGGGCAGAAAGCACACGTGCCGGCGCATATCAGATTGAGGCAAATGGCTGCCGGTGGCTCTACTGGGGCTGGCGTGCTCGAAGGCAGCTGATTTATCTCCTCCTCTGGGGGTGCTGGTGAGCCCTCCACCTCTGGGAGTATTTGCAGCTGGCTGATGGCATCTGCAAGGCTTCCATCTTGCAACAGCTCTTTAAGGAGTCGAAGTTCCTGTGCCAGGATGGCAGTCTGTTCCCTCAACAATTTCACCTCCTCAGTGTGTTCTCCAACTGCCTCGTCTTCAGGAATCGCTTCCTGCAGTCTTTCCAGTAGGCTACCCCGATTGGGAGCTTCCGTGGTTTCCACCACTTCCACCTCTACGCCTGGGAAGTAGCCCTCTGCAGCTCTGGCGACCAGCGATTTCTGCCGGCTCTGGGGCACCACAAAGTACCAGCTGGAACTCACAGCGGCCACGGCCAAGGCCGCGGCACATCGCCCAAGCCGGGTCCCCGCGCCCATCACGGCTGGGAGCCAAAGGTCTGCAGCTCAAGGTTTTCATGGAGGATCCTCTGACGTGACTCAGGAAAAACCGGAAGAAATTGGAAATGCAAAAGCCATTGAATCTGTTTCACTTCTTTTGCTGCAGATTCAACAACAGCTTGAACAACCCATCCTATCGCAAAGTATCTCATGGTCCAGTCATCAGCTGGAGCTGCTGTATGACCCCGGTTTCTTGCATTCTTTTTGAGCTGAAGAGCCCAAAATGGATCGCTGAGGTGTCTGTCGCAAAATGTTGGGAACAACTAGACTAGGCAACACGTTGAGAAGGAGCTTTGCTTCTCGCAGGTGAGTCCGTCGCAAAGCCAAAGGGATCTTTTTGATTCTTTTTGGCAAGGTTCGTCCTTTGGACGGGCACCGTGCACAAAACACACCTTGGCTCGTGGTTTCGACCCATCACCAAAATATCAAACTCATATGAAACGGTTCTATGTAGTCACCTGGGGTCATCATTCAGGTCGGCATTGAAAAGCGAAACCACCGTGACCATCCGAAACCATCCGTAAATCATGGCAACCATCCGCAACCAGCTGGCACTTTGGCCATCGGCCAAGTTGTTTGGCCCACTTCACTGAACTCCTCGGCGCTTCAAAAAGAGGTCAACCCGCGCAGCCAGCTTGAAAGAATCCTCCTGGAGGAAGTGTCCAGCAGCAAGGTTCACAATGGAGTTCAAAAATGAAGCTTCACATGTAATGTAAAGGATCTCAAACCCCATACTAGTCATTTACTAGTCCATTAAAAGTGTAGGTGTTCCATGTGTTCCATTCCCATCTGAAATTTCCAGAGAGCGCACAAAATTGCAGGACCTCCAAACCCTGTTCTCCAACTATAGGCTACTGGCAGCTGCAGTCATCCCAGCCTCTGGCGGAGCTGGCGGTGAAGGTTGCTCCACTCCTTTCCCAGGGCTTAGCGCTGATGTCAACTGAACATGAAGCAGTTTTACCTTGCAGGATGGAAAGTATAAAAGTTCTCTCTCCCATACCATTCTCCGGGGCTACTAAGAAGCCGACAGCCAATCTTGATCCAAGCTTGCTCCAAACTTTCCTTTTGGGAGGGTAAACTATGGGCAATAAGCTGCGCTCAGCATCCTTGGTCAGGTACCGCAGGCAGCATGTCTTGCAGCTGCTGCAGCAATTTGTCCAACTGACCTTGGTGTCAGCCGATTTGTTGGAAACCCTTACCAGGCAGTTCCTGGCTTTTGGTACATCAAATCATGAACCAAAAGAAACATTTCTTGGATATCTTGGATACGAATGGGTGGCTTGGGGATGGCTTGTGCTTGGGGCCTGGGTTTCCCGAATCTGGCAAACAAGGCCCAACACTGGAATCTTTGGAAGTTTGGGAGGTGGCATTCAGTGGCCCCATCCATCTGGAACACCACTGAGTCAAGCCACCGCGATCCACAGTATCACTGTCATGGCGAGAGCGCTGCAGACCATCCCAAAGCTGCTCTTGAGACACCTGGCCGGCAGGCTCAGTTGCTGGGTTGAACACTTGCCTGGTATTGTATAGAGTCAAAGCTCATTCAAGCTCCGCTTCTCTAACTGCAGCGACCTAGCCAAAGTTTACAGTTACATACTTACTTCCTTCTACCCGTCCATTCAGAGTCGCGTATTATAACAACGTGTGATGTGACTGCTTCCAGTCTGTGTCCTGCTGAGGGATACAAGCCGTGAGAGTTTGACAGATCTAACATGATCTAACAACATGGGTTTGATGGGTCGCTGCCCCTCAATTCATGGCTATTTTCCTTGGAGCCACAAGGGCCAAACAAATCCTTAAAAAATCCTTAGTGGCTTGAACCCCCTGAAAAGCATTTGTCAGCGATGGAAGTGAGTTTCGATCATCATCCCACTGATTGAGTTGGTTGGATGGACCTTAATAAATGAAACCAACCAGCAGAAAGCAACAGAAAGCTCTCCATATCAAGCCGAGGCCACCCAGCTTCCTAGCGTCTCGGTGGCCAGAACTGCAGATTTATCATGAGGTTCTCCAGAAATGCTATCGAGCGACGCTGATGGAACCAGCTCAGGAAATCTGGTCTGTTCAGCATTGATGCCGGGCATTTCTTTGGCATCTTGGCGGGCTTCCACTACCGTCGCTACCTGTCCACTGGAGAAAGACTGTGACTGTGACATGCTCTGGTTGAAGGACATGGTGGCAGATAAGTTGGCAGCTTCGCACGAAAAAGTCTCCCATAGAGTGCCCTCGGCTAGCAAGTGAGCTGCATCTGGCCGCTTGGTCGGATCTTTGTCAAGAAATCTTGCCACAAGTTCAATCAATGCAGGCGAATAGCCACCCATCCCCAGCGGAGCATCATCATAGCTGTTGAATGCAATCTGGTACACAAGAGATAGCACGTCGGAGCCAACAAACGGCAACCTCAATGCCATCAATTCGTAGAGCACCACGCCAATAGCCCACAGATCCACTGCAGATGCATATCTTTGATTCCAGAGAAGTTCGGGTGCCATATATGCAGGAGTGCCCACACAGCCAGATGCCGATTTGCCAGTTTCCACGGCAGTTGAAATGCCAAAGTCACCCAGCTTGCATGTTCGCCATGTGTCTTTCAGAAAAATGTTCATTGCCTTCAAATCTCGATGAATGATATCCTTCTGATGCACATATTCCAACCCTTTCAGCATCTGTTGCAACCAACTTAGTATCAGTACCTCTTCAATGTATTGTCCAGATTGACTGGCTGCCTGCACGGGCACTCGCAAATCTCCATTCTCACCGCACTCCATCACAAATGTGAGGCGGCTTGAGTCAGGGCCAGCACCGACCCACCAAAATTCGATATACTCGATGATGCACTCATGCGTCAAACTCTTCAAAATCTTCACTTCTTGTAATGCACGTCTTCGCTCCTGTTCATCCATACCACGCAAGGCCATGGCTTTTACCACGAACTGCTGCTCGGGCACACCCAGCCGATGCACCACCATCACCGTGGCTGTGGTGGAGCCTCCCAAGCGTCGAATTGCTTGGTAGCCATGGGATTCCAACCTTGGTGGTCTTGCAGATCCAGTGCCAAAAGTTCATGAATGTTTATGACTATTTCATTTCAAATCCGCAAAAAGATATGACAATCCGTCAAAATGGGGCTACACTCCTTCCAGCCACGAAATTTCCGCCGCCATTCGCTGCAAGGACGCCGCAGGTGCCGCATCTTCGGCTGCCCGCGCCAGGTGTGCCTCGACGTCTCCTGGAGGATTCAGCTCCTGCTGCAGCGGTGGTGCCGGAGGGGCGCTTGGAGCTGGGGCGTTGCCGATGGATTTCAGAAGATCCTCGAAGCGATCCATGGAAATACTGTCCTTGCTCTTGCAGCTTCAACCCATTGCAAAGCAAAAAAAAAGTCTGTGGGTTCACCATCCACAAACAAAAAGGTCTAGAATGGTCTATAGTCTATACTGTATATCTATCTATCTCTCTCTCTCTCTCTCTCTGTCTGTGTGTGTGTACTGTAGATATGTGCATGTATCTATATATATATATATTAGTGTATATCACAATAGGGCGGGTAGGAGAATAAAATACTTCTGAGCCGCAAACGAGTATCACTATCCTGCCGGGTTCGCAACAATTCTTCCCACACTTTGGCATCAGAGACAACACTGCCCAATGTTTCGGCTGTCACTAGTGCGGCGGGGATGGGTTGGTCAGCCAGGCCATAGATTGAAGCAGCATCACTGGCCATGGAACCCAGGATCGCAATCGCCTCGCCCCACGAACTCCCAGTGCCAGTGGCTAGATCAGGAAATCTGGTCTGTTCAGCATTGATGCCGGGCATTTCTTTGGCATCTTGGCGGGCTTCCACTACCGTCGCTACCTGTCCACTGGAGAAAGACTGTGACTGTGACATGCTCTGGTTGAAGGACATGGTGGCAGATAAGTTGGCAGCTTCGCACGAAAAAGTCTCCCATAGAGTGCCCTCGGCTAGCAAGTGAGCTGCATCTGGCCGCTTGGTCGGATCTTTGTCAAGAAATCTTGCCACAAGTTCAATCAATGCAGGCGAATAGCCACCCATCCCCAGCGGAGCATCATCATAGCTGTTGAATGCAATCTGGTACACAAGAGATAGCACGTTGGAGCCAACAAACGGCAACCTCAATGCCATCAATTCGTAGAGCACCACGCCAATAGCCCACAGATCCACTGCAGATGCATATCTTTGATTCCAGAGAAGTTCGGGTGCCATATATGCAGGAGTGCCCACACAGCCAGATGCCGATTTGCCAGTTTCCACGGCAGTTGAAATGCCAAAGTCACCCAGCTTGCATGTTCGCCATGTGTCTTTCAGAAAAATGTTCATTGCCTTCAAATCTCGATGAATGATATCCTTCTGATGCACATATTCCAACCCTTTCAGCATCTGCTGCAACCAACTTAGTATCAGTACCTCTTCAATGTATTGTCCAGATTGACTGGCTGCCTGCACGGGCACTCGCAAATCTCCATTCTCACCGCACTCCATCACAAATGTGAGGCGGCTTGAGTCAGGGCCAGCGCCGACCCACCAAAATTCGATATACTCGATGATGCACTCATGCGTCAAACTCTTCAAAATCTTCACTTCTTGTAATGCACGTCTTCGCTCCTGTTCATCCATACCACGCAAGGCCATGGCTTTTACCACGAACTGCTGCTCGGGCACACCCAGCCGATGCACCACCATCACCGTGGCTGTGGTGGAGCCTCCCAAGCGTCGGACTGGCTCCTTAGCTCAACTTGCGGCACGACTACATTGACAAAATCATCTGCACCATCTCTACCGTTGTATTATGTTTGAGTTTGAAAAAGATCCCAAAAAGATTAGGTACAAATGATCATCATTTATCATCATTATATCATCATTGATCATCTAGAATCTCGAATGCCGAATGCCCCAACAGACCTTGACCTTGGATTGTTTCAGTTTAGTTTGTGTCCTCCAACCACCATTTCTATGATCAATCTACCAGGCCCACTTGGCCATTTCTATCCACATAGTTCTATTCATGTCTACACATGTCTGGCATTCTTCACCTAGGTTTGACCCAGTGTGAGAAGGGAATTGGGAAGACCTTTTGATGGCTCGGTGCAAAAGTAACCCCAAATCCTATGGATTCCTATGGGTCAACGATGGCTGAAGAGCCGTGTGTGGTTTGTGCTGTTATTCGGTGCCCCAATGACTTCACCCATCAGGTCACCAAGGCGCATAACCATGTGATTCCAAGGAGATCTCTGCAGCAATGCGCTGCAATGAGGCGGCGGCCGCAGCATCATTGGCAGCTTTGGCCAGTACCTGGCGTGGACGAAGACTCACAGCCACAGCTATGAGCACATACACGTGCGATTCACGTGCGTGTGTGCTTCAGAGGGAGGGAGGGAGGGAGGGAGGGAGGGACCAGGGAGGGAAACAGAGCGTATAGCTATTTATCACAGAGAGACACAGACAGAGAGAGAGAGAGAGTATACGAAGAACATCTACCTATTTATTTTTATCTATCTATCCATCGATCTCTCTATCTCTCCACAGTATCTCTATTTCTCTGTGTCACTATGTGCACGCTAATATGCATACTAAATTACACTAATATGTCCACTACTATGTACATACATACTGTGGATGGAAGAAATCCTGCACCACCTTGGATGGTTGAAACCCTATGAATAATGGGATAAACCATCTATCTGGTGCAGGATTTCGCAACCATCCCACTGCATCTCCCGGCTTTCGCCCACCTCGAGCGTCTCGGTGGCCATCAAATGGCTGGAGATTTGCAGCCCATCGCTGGGATCTCACGCGCGGAATGTGCCTGAATGTGCCTGATGTATCCTGGAAAAATCGACAACATGATGCGCTTGTAAAGGTCCCGTCCGCTTTTGGATAAGGATACTATAATACTATATATATATAGATGTGAACCTTTTGTGCTGAAAACAACTTCAAGGTTGAGAGTGTCTCCTGTGTCTGACAAATGTAAGCCAATCTAAGCGCTTTATCTGTCCAGTGTGCCCAAGTCTTGTGGAACGGCTGTGCCAAGCTCGAGAAATCTGATATACACACATTTCTCTGAAGGCTCGGTTCCTCTCAGTACACAATAACAAAATACTGGAGCGGCACTGCCAGCGGCACGTCTTTTTCTTTCATGGCTATCGGCTCTTAAAGGCACCCAGACCTCCGGCCAGGCATTGTGGCATATTGTGGCATGACACGAAGGATTCGAAGGATGGAACATGATGTTTTTCAAAATATGTCAAAATCATCCCAAAGATTCAAGATGAACATCCAAAAATTCAACAAAATCGCGTTCATAGATAAACTCAGAACTGACAATTTGTCTGGGTGAAAAAATCCGCCATTTCCACATGCGATCGGGGCGCCTCTGAGATAGTCCTCCAGCTCCTTGGCCCTCTCCATGCAGAAGGGCGCCACAGGTCGGAATTTTTTGGACTCCTGGTGGCACATAAGTTGGGGTCCCAATCATGGCCATATATGGCCATATTATCTCCACATGCTGATGTTTTAAAGTGGAACTGCCCCAAGTACTGGATTGAACCAGCAGGCTTACTGTCAGAATCTGAATGGAAGTCGGACATAAGCAGAAGGCCATGTTTCACCATCAAGGCGCAAAGGGAAATTGGCCGGGAAGAAATCAGAAGATCATAGAAGATCTCACAGACTCAATGCTAAGTTGAGTTGATCGTTCTGGCTAATTGCCCACCTGCCAGGTGAGGCTCTCTAGATTTTGTGTCAGCTTGCTCCTCTCCTCCTTCTCGTCTTCCTCATCCCGCCTCACACTATTGCCAGAATACAAAAAAAATTCTCTGGGCACCGCCGGACCCTGAACTGCATCACGAGCTCGCAGGCTCTCTGGGCACCGCCGGACTATGCCAGATAAAAAGGCAAATCCTAATTAAATGTCAAATAAAATGTCAGATTAAATGTCAGATAAAATGTTAGAAAATATGCCAGATAGAATGCCGGATAATATGTTACAGTAGGTAAAATGTCAGATACCATGTCTGATATCATGCCAGATCACATGTCAGAAAGAATGTCAGATAAAAATCCAGAGGATTTGTCAGATGGAATGTCACTTGGTGGTGGGATCACTTGATCCTTCGAACTGGACTTCAATGTATGCAGTGTTTTCTAGCGACTCCAGGTGGCTTTTCCAAATCACAAGCAGCTGGGTTCTAATTGCAGCAGAGCTACTTCAGGCAGATATGGCATCCAGCGCTTCCTTACATCCAAAAACCCAAAAGGGCGAGAGTCCGGCGAGAGCCTCTGCCATGAAAGCTCCTGATATCTTGGAAAATCACTCCGGATCATGGGTGTAAATCATCTATAGATACTATAGATGGTCCATTTTCCAATACAGAACTGAGGCAGGAAATCTTACTGAGGGGGCTTCAGCATCACATTTCTGCACGCAACGCGGATGTTGCGGCCAAGGTGCCGATTCTGATTGTACCACTTCTGCTGAAACTGGATCCTCGGCATCACCCATCTGGGCGCCATGTGGATATGGATGAAACAGCCAGCAGTTTGGGATGCTTATCCTCCATTGATGCGGGGGCTCGTCGGTTTTGAATCATTCACACAGTTCGCTTCGAACCCTCAATATCTCTCATCATCCTGTTACCTGTATGTCATTGAAAGGCCTCGGGCTCTCCTTATTTGCGTGTGTCTGAAAAATGGGCCGCCCCAAGACCATTAGTTTCCCTAAACTGCCTATTTTTTAGGAGGAAACCCCCATATCATCTTATCCATTCTTGCTTGTATCCCATAGATTGTGAATGTCCATTAGTATCCCATTCGTTGATGTCCCAGCATGTAGCATTACAGCATATGCCCTTATATCATATCCCATTAGGTCCCATGATATTTATAGTATATGATTCACATATATATATATAAATATATAAATATCCCATCATCCCATTATGTCCAAGTATATCCCATTATGTCATCATATTTTTGGCTGTGCCTCCATTATATCTGCATTCTGCATGGCGTGCGTGGGGTGCCCATCAATTTCCACTCATTGAATCCATTCATCGAGATAAATTGCAGGAGGAACTCACAAACCTGAATTGTTCAGCATGTTGGGATACCTGCGGCAATTTTTCGCCATCATTCCAGTGACGTCACGACGTGAGGTCATGATCAAGTTTATCCATATGCGTCATCAAAATCAACAAAAAACTGGTTTTATACGCATGAACTCCCATTGATGATATCCTAGAAACCTGATGTCCCATCATATCCCAATTTCTTGGTTTTCCACATCCATCCCCATGCAATGCTTGGTTTTATAGAACCAATTGCCAGCAAAGTGGCAAAGCCAATGCCATAAACCATCCCCAAGTCATTGCCAGTGCCATATTCGGCTAGTAAATGCCATGATCCCCAGTCATGGTAACCTGGTAGTGTTCACTACCAAACCATCCCCAGTCATATTCATTCATATTCCCCATTTTACATCATTTTACCATCTTCATATCTGTTTCTATGGCTTTCCTAGATGACTTCGCAGCTCTCCCTGTTTGGCTTCGCGGCTTCGCAAGGCTTCGCCCAGCCACTCTTCAGCCACCTCCGACAAGGCTTGAGCACCTCCAGAGACCAGAAGTGCAGGTCGCGGTCGCCGCGAGGCCTGGAAAATCCACAGGAAACCCATGGCTTTTGACCATGGGAAAACCTAGGGGAAAGCCCTGCAGATTTCGCCCTAAACTAAACCAATACTAGGATTGGCTAGGATTAATGATGATGAAATTCAAAGACAGGTTAACATGGTTCAGATGTCTTTTCATAGAGGCTCGAAATGGTTTGATATGGTTTCAGAATGTTTCAGATGTGTTGATAGGGTCTGATGAGCCCATCATGCATCCTAATACGGGTTGCAGCTGGAAGTCCCATGATATCCAACAGTATTCCACCTTGAAGAGGGCAAAGCATTTCTATCATCTACATTCTAGCTTGTATAAGTATATGCCAATGTTCATATCAACAAATTGGTAAATATATACATGATACAAATATGGGTATGGTCATATTTGTATGTATATGTTATATATATATACATAGTTATATGTATAGTATTATGTATATAATATGATGTATATAATAAATATATATATATATTGTATAATGTATATATGAGCTGTGCAATTGGACCATGTCTGTTGCTTGCTGCCTGGCGCTGGAGCATGCCCATCATCAACGCCTTCCTGGCAAGGAAAACGTCGTAAAACGGGGTGGAGTATTTTCGACGCGAGTTTAACAGGGAAAACCAAACATATGGGGGATATTATAGTTTAATATTGGTTTGAATCACATATGGTTTATATACATTATTACATTATGCAGATATATTTCAATCGAGAAATGATTCAAACATCCAAAATGGTGGTTTAACCAATGAATATTATGGCTTGGTGAGATATATAATATAATGTGAATTTATGGGATGGGAAATATGGACATATATTGAAAACATGTGGGAAAGTAAAGTGTGGGGCAACCATGATAAACATTGACAAGGTATCAAATGTTGCAGAGTACTGAGTTTGGGACAACACCACATCAACTGGGATCCTTTCCAAAGCCTTTTTGTCTGCACTCGTTCAGAGCAAAAACTTGTTCTTCCAGTCTGAGTCTATGAAGGTTGGCCCCGGGCCTCTTTTCGCCAGAGCTAATTGGCCTCCCAAAGTGACAAAACATGACAAAACATGACAAAACAAATCATGAAAAAACAAATTGTCCTCCCATCCAGTCGGATCCTTGGTGAACACAGAAATCATGCCCCGCCGGCCCCGCCTCTGCTGTGCTTTTGCTTCCACCGCTTTCCTCAGATCAATTCTCTTTGCCATTAAAGTGGAAAGTTTGAAGCGCTGGAAACCTGCCCTGGTTCCATATGTTCCATTCATTCCAGGTCCATCCCCCACTTGAATGCCAAGCCGCGGGGGCACTGCCTTGCCTGGCAGAAACGGATGATTCAACGACAGTGGCCCAGTGGCCAGCCTCCTCGAATTCTCTGAAGGGAAAGAACACCCATGCAGAACAAAGAACATGGAAAAACCTATCTATTTGAAGACCACGTAACGTAATATGGCATGCCAAACAGCCGACGCCAGCCTGGAGCCAAATTCTTCGGTGGCGGGCTTTGCACAGCCGGCTTCGCCGGTGGCTTTGATGCTGCTGGTGCCGAGCCCGGTTTCTGCTTTGGAGCCTGGCTAAATGGATGGGATGTAGGCTGTCGCTGCCACCTAAAGATGTGGAAATGCAAATGCACCTTCTAGCAAGCTTACCTGGCAAAGGGAACTCACCATTCTTACTAGAAGAAGTATGCGTATTCTGTAGGTAGATGACATAGAAATTCTAAACTTGCAATTGCCAGCTCAGATTACCAGAGATTACCCGTCATATACCAGCTCGTATTGTTATGTGTATATCTTTGGGACAAAAATGTACCAAATCATGTGTCGAAAAAACAGGGAGTGTAACATGGTTTACCCCAAATCACTGCCATGTTTCATTGGAGAAGAACGATGGAAGATTCTGGAAATTAGGCCAGGATTTGGTGTTTGTTCCACCCATTCTTCCGCACTGCCTCAGCCTCTGCTATCTTAGGCGCCGCCTGCCGCGTGGATATTGACAATGCAGAACTAGATTCAGCCAGATTCGACCACTTTGAATGCGTGTCTGTGTCTGTGTCTACATGATCTACATGTGTCTTTCCCCTCTCTCCATCTAGATCTGTATTTTGTCAGCGCCCTTCATGCGGACAAATCTGCGACGCCATACTCCTGGCTGCGTTTAGCTTTGCGTATTTTCTCTCTACACTTATTTTTCTGCAACATTCTGAGTTTGATTTGATGTTATTTATGTATATCTTATGTATGTAGCGCTTTGTATGACTAGTGTAGAGGACAAATGTACATAACTTGATAGTAACCATCGCTCTCATCAGCTTTCATTTTTTGTGTGGTACCTAATTTGCCCTATACCCGCATCGCCGTGGAACCTGGCCAGCAGAAGTCACGTAAGTGCTCTTTGCAGCATCCTGGCGAAGGAACAGGCTGAATGTTGGAAAGTTCGAGAAATTGGAAGATACAACACTTGGTTAAACGCTAGATAAATGGACAAATGGATAGATGGATGGACGGAGAAATGCAGAAACGGATGGATGGATACATGGATAGATGATAATAGATGGATTGATGGATTGATGGATAGATAGATGGATAGATCGATCAATGGACAGATGGACATTCGCAGATGGACAGATGGATAGATAGAGAGATCCATAGGCCCATGGATCGACAGATTGATCGATAGATAGACAGTTCGGTAGACAAATGCCGTACATAGACAGGAAGGCACAGAGGTACAGAGGTAGAGAGGTAGAGAGATAGAGAGATAGATGTGGGGTCTGGAAATTGGAGAACCCCGAAACCCAGATATGATTGGATGTTAGATTTAACTATATACAGACTAATGGACTAAATCGGATCAACGTCACTGCATGAATCACTTGGTGATATGTCCCATATCTATGTTGAGTTGTTTGATGATGTTGCTGTTTTGGTTGGTTATAGAATGTGATGGAAACAATCGGCGGGCGTTCCTTCAGTCAGCAGGAAACGATGGGAAAGCCTGATTTCATGTGCAAATGTGTACATGTAGATATAAGATGATATAAGTGCATGTATATGCGCAATCATATATGCACATATCATTACAAATAGATACATGATGATACATGCCTATAAAGAAATAAATGAGGTTGTTGGTCTAAATGGGTGAATCGTCATCTCTTGTTGCTTTAATCACGGTGTGCATCCATGTGAAGATGTTTTCCCCATGTCTTCCCCTTGAATCATCGTATATATAAATATAAATCTAGAGAAAGAGAGAGACTGTATGTTATATGTGTGTGTGTGCGTGTGTGATTGTATGTGTATATTAGTTATATATATATATAAACACATATGCACACCATCAGAAACCCTACATAAGAACATATAAGAACGTACATCAACATGAATCAACATGGCTATCGCGCACAAAACCCAACGAACTCCTCCCGAGTCAGTCCTTGGCAGCTGCAACCACTGCTGACCGAGCGACACCACCAGCTGCCTTCGGTTGGTCCCCTTGAAAATTGGTGCGTTTGAAGCACTTTACGACGTAGCAAAGGCCCCAAAAGGGTAGATTCTAGTAAAGTCCAATTCCAAAACCGTGGTAATTATCATGTTTCTATCCTTTTGATTCCTTTTGGTGGTTACTACCATTTAAAGAAAATGATGATTTAAAAAAAAAAATGGATTTAGGGCAATTCCGGGAGCACGACCTTCGGCTCAACTGACGCTGGTTTAGGTGCTGCTGGGGAAGGTGATGTGGCTGCCTGCCAGCCAGTATCATCACGTAGTACCCGGGCAAGCCAACGGAGCAAGTTTCAAAGCACTTTCCGCAAGTTAAGTCAAGCTGGCAAAGGGAACCCACCATTCTGGCTAGAGCAAGTATATCCTATATCCTACACGAAAGTGATATAGGGACTCTATCTTTTTATTGCCATCTTAGACTACCAGAGGTTATCAGTCATATCCACGGTTTACCCCAAATCACTGCGATGTTTCATGGGAGAAGAATGATGGAACATGCTGGAAATTACGCCATGAATTGCGATGGGATTTGGTGTTTGTTCCACCCATTCTTCCGCACTGCCTCAGCCTCTGCTATCTTAGGCGCCGCCTGCCGCGTGGATATTGACAATGCAGAACTAGATTCAGCCAGATTCGACCACTTTGAATGTGTGTCTGTGTGTGTGTGTGTCTACATGATCTACATGTGTCTTTCCCCTCTCTCTATCTAGATGTGTATTTTGTCTGCGCCCTTCATGCGGACAAATCTGCGACGCCATACTCCTGGCTGCTTTTAGCTTTGCGTATTTTCTCTCTACACTTATTTTTCTGCAACATTCTGAGTTTGATTTGTTTATGTATATCTTATGTATGTAGCGCTTTGTATGACTAGTGTAGAGGACAAATGTACATAATTTGATAGTAACCATCGTTTTCATTAGTTGTCATTTTTTGTGTGGTACCTAATTTGCCCTATACCCGCATCGCCGTGGAACCTGGCCAGCAGAAGTCACGTAAGTGCTCTTTGCAGCATCCTGGCGAAGGAACAGGCTGAATGTTGGAAAGTTCGAGAAATTGGAAGATACAGAACCCGGCCAAACGCTAGATAAATGGACAAATGGATAGATGGATAGACGGATAGACGGAGAAATGCAGAAACGGATGGATGGATAAATGGATTGATGATGATAGATGGATAGATAGATGGATAGATCGATCAATTGACAGATGGACATTCACAGATGGACAGATGGATAGATAGAGAGATCCATAGGTCCATGGATCGACAGATTAATCGATAGATAGATAGATCGGTAGACAAATGCGGTACATAGACAGGAAGGTACAGAGGTACAGAGGTAGAGAAGTAGAGAGGTAGAGAGATAGATGTGGGGTCTGGAAATTGGAAACCCCAAAACCCGGATAAACAGATTGGATGTTAGATTTAACTATATATACAGACTAATTGACTAAATTGGGTTAATGTCACTGCATGGATCACTTGGTGATTTATCCATATCTATTTTGAGTTGTTTGATGATGTTGCTACTTTGGTTGGTTATAGAATGTGATGGAAACAATCGGCGGGCGTTCCTTCAGTCAGCAGGAAACGATGGGAAAGCCTGATTTTATGTGCAGATGTGTATGTGTAGTATAAGTGCATGCATATGCGCAATCATATATGCACATATCATTACACATAGATACATGATGATACATGCCTATAAAGAAATAAATGAGGTTGTTGGTCTAAATGGGTGAATCGTCATCTCTTGTTGCTTTAATCACGATGTGCATCCATGTGAAGATGTTTTCCCCATGTCTTCCCCTTGAATCATCGTATATATAAATATAAATATAGGGAGAGATTGTATATTCGAAGGAAGTTTAGAAGTGAAACTTCCGACAATATGGACAGTTGAAAAGCAGAGGTGAGAAGAGTCAGAAGAGACAAGATCAGAAGAAAGAAGATGCAGATGCGCGAAAAGGTAGGAAAGTCGCGAAACATTGTGTTTTTCCAATGATTTGTGGCTCCGGAGAGTCGAAAAGTAGGCTCGCTAAAGCGGCGGGTGCGGAGCCAGCTGGCCAGATGAGAGATGAAAAATTGCACGCCATTGTGGCGCGAAGCACATTTCCAAGTCAAAATGTACAAAACACCTCAGTGTCGGACGACTTTTGGAAGTTGAGATGTCGAAAAAGTGCACGCCGTTGTGGCGCGAAGCACATTTCCAAGTCAAAATGTACAAAACACCTCAGTGTCGGACGACTTTTGGAAGTTGAGATGTCGAAAAAGTGCACGCCGTTGTGGCGCGAAGCTTATTCCAAGTCAAAATGTACAAAACACACCATTCTCGGACCACTTTTGGAAGTTGAGATGTCGAAAAAGTGCACGCCGTTGTGGCGCGAAGCACATTTCCAAGTCAAAAGTGTTAAAAACTGACGGTCTCGGACCACTTTTGGAGGTTCAGATGTCGAAAAAGTGTCAAAAAAGTGCACGCCGTTGTGGCACGAAGCACATTCTGAAGTCAAAAGTGTAAAAAACTGAGGGTTTTGAGCCTTTTTTGACGTGAAGATGTCGAAAAAGTAGACACTGATTAACTTAACTAACTTGACTAACTTAACTAACTTCACTAACTTAACTACCCCAACTTCGACGACAACAGTAACAGCAACAACAACAACAAGGTAGGCGGTTGATACGGCGCCCTGTGAGGGGTTGCCGATTCTAATTTTAAGATTTTCACGTCAAAAGCTGGAAACGTGGTATTTGTGGGACTTTGTAAAAGGACATTTCAAAGTCATGATCATTTTTCGATGGCAGGCGCATGACTCCAAAGTGGAAATTGGTGTTTCGCCTCAACGAAATACTAATTTTAGTCATCAGGGGCGAGAAAAAAACATTTGATTTTTGAGGTTTTCATTTGGTGTGATTTGAAAATGTGCGTTTCGCCTCAACGAAACGCTCATTTTTGACATCCGGATGTCCCAAAAAAAATGGAAAAATTTCCGTTTTTTTTTGGAGTCTGTATAATGTGAACAACTTGCGGACAGCATCTTTTTCACTCAACGCCACAAGGTGTCGCTCAAAGTATTTAAATTCAGCATGTTTTCACACTTGGCGTTGTGTCTCCACATATAGGAGTGACGTTAGCATGCCCCACCCCACCCCACCCCACCCCCGTGCAACGTGCAGACGTGTTAGCAACGTGGTCAGCGTAGCAGTACATGTGCAACGCAAGTGCACATGGACGTAGCGTAGCGTGGCGTGTTACATGTTACGCAAGCGTACATGACGTTAGCATGCCCCACCCCACCCCACCCCCGTGCAACGTGCAGACGTGTTAGCAACGTGGTCGGCGTAGCAGTACATGTGCAACGCAAGTGCACATGGACGTAGCGTAGCGTGGCGTGTTACATGTTACGCAAGCGTTCATGACGTTAGCATGCCCCACCCCACCCCACCCCACCCCACCCCACCCCACCCCCGTGCAGCCGGTTGATACGACGCCTAAAACATTGCACATACGAAAAGTATGGGGATATCAAAATTCAACACACCCTCACAGGGCGCCGTATCAACCGCCTGCCAACAACAACAACAACAACACCAACCACAACAACTACAACTACAACAACTACAACTACAACAACTACAACAACTACACAACAACTACAACTACAACAACAACAGCAACAACAACAACAACAGCAACAACAACAACAACAACAACTACTACTACTACTACTACAACTACAACTACAACTACAACTACACAACAACTACAACTAGAACTACAACTACAACAACTACAGCTACAACAACAACAACAACTACTACTACTACTACAGCAACAACAACAACTACAACTACAACAACTACAACAACAACAACAACAGCAACAACAACAACAACAACTACTACTAATAATAATAATACTACTACTACACTACACAACAACTACAACCACACAACAACTACAACTACAACAACTACAAAACAACTACAGCTACAACTATATGACTGCAACTACACTACACTAATTACATTGCACCACAACTACAACTCCACTACGCTACAACTACAACTACAGTTGCAGTACATCACACTACATCCAGCAGTTGTGGGTGAGGTGACCACTGCAACCATTGCAACCATTCCAGCAAACACAACTCCAACCACTTTTCGGTCAATCAGTGGATTCGCTCTGCCATCCGTGATTCCCAACAACCAACGTCTCCTATAGGTTTCCTATTCTGAAACTTCCGCCACCGCCTTGTGCGGTACTACTGGTATATATATGTGTGCGTGTGCGTGTGTGATTGTATGTGTATATTATATATATATACACACATATATGCACACCAGTAACACTACATAAGAACAACACGGCTATCGCGCACAAAACCCAACGATTCCAGGACCAAACATTCCACGCAAACTCCTCCCGAGTCAGTCCTTGGCAGCTGCAACCACTGCTGACCGAGCGACACCACCAGCTGCCTTCGGTTGGTCCCCTTGAAAATTGGTGCGTTTGAAGCACTTTACGACATAGCAAGGTCTAGTAAAGTCCAATTCCAAAACCGTGATAATTATCATGTTTCTATCCTTTTGATTCCTTTTGGTGGTTACTACCATTTAAAGAAAATGATGATTTAAAAAAAAACTGGATTTAGGGCAATTCCGGGAGCACGACCTTCGGCTCAACTGACGCTGGTTTAGGTGCTGCTGGGGAAGATGATGTGGCTGCCTGCCAGCCAGTATCATCACGTAGTACCCGGGCAAGCCAACGGAGCAAGTTTCAAAGCACTTTCCGCAAGTTAAGTCAAGCTGGCAAAGGGAACCCACCATTCTGGCTAGAGCAAGTATATCCTATATCCTACACGAAAGTGATATAGGGACCTATAGGGACTCTATTTTTTTATTGCCATCTTAGATTACCAGAGGTTATCAGTCATATCCACGGTTTACCCCAAATCACTGCGATGTTTCATTGGAGAAGAATGATGGAACACGCTGGAAATTACGCCATGAATTGCGATGGGATTTGGTGTTTGTTCCACCCATTCTTCCGCACTGCCTCAGCCTCTGCTATCTTAGGCGCCGCCTGCCGCGTGGATATTGACAATGCAGAACTAGATTCAGCCAGATTCGACCACTTTGAATGTGTGTCTGTGTGTGTGTGTGTCTACATGATCTACATGTGTCTTTCCCCTCTCTCTATCTAGATGTGTATTTTGTCTGCGCCCTTCATGCGGACAAATCTGCGACGCCATACTCCTGGCTGCGTTTAGCTTTGCGTATTTTCTCTCTACAGTTATTTTTCTGCAACATTCTGAGCTTGATTTGATGTTATTTATGTATATCTTATGTATGTAACGCTTTATATGACTAGTGTAGAGGACAAATGTACATAACTTGATAGTAACCATCGTTTTCATTAGTTTTCATTTTTTGTGTGGTACCTAATTTGCCCTATACCCGCATCGCCGTGAAACCTGGCCAGCAGAAGTCACGTAAGTGCTCTTTGCAGCATCCTGGCGAAGGAACAGGCTGAATGTTGGAAAGTTCGAGAAATGGAAGTTGGAAGATACAGAACTTGGTTAAACGCTAGATAAATGGACAAATGGATAGATGGATAGACGGAGAAATGCAGAAACGGATGGATGGATAAATGGATTGATGATGATAGATGGATAGATAGATGGATAGATCGATCAATTGACAGATGGACATTCACAGATGGACAGATGGATAGATAGAGAGATCCATGTCCATGGATCGACAGATTAATCGATAGATAGATAGATCGGTAGACAAATGCGGTACATAGACAGGAAGGTACAGAGGTACAGAGGTAGAGAAGTAGAGAGGTAGAGAGATAGATGTGGGGTCTGGAAATTGGAAACCCCAAAACCCGGATAAACAGATTGGATGTTAGATTTAACTATATATACAGACTAATTGACTAAATTGGGTTAATGTCACTGCATGGATCACTTGGTGATTTATCCATATCTATTTTGAGTTGTTTGATGATGTTGCTACTTTGGTTGGTTATAGAATGTGATGGAAACAATCGGCGGGCGTTCCTTCAGTCAGCAGGAAACGATCGGAAAGCCTGATTTTATGTGCAGATGTGTATGTGTAGTATAAGTGCATGCATATGCGCAATCATATATGCACATATCATTACAAATAGATACATGATGATACATGCCTATAAAGAAATAAATGAGGTTGTTGGTCTAAATGGGTGAATCGTCATCTCTTGTTGCTTTAATCACGATGTGCATCCATGTGAAGATGTTTTCCCCATGTCTTCCCCTTGAATCATCGTATATATAAATATAAATATAGAGAAAGAGAGAGACTGTACTTTATTTATATACATATATATATATATATGCTTGTGTGCGTGTGTGATTGTATGTGTATTTTATATATATATATACACACACACATATGCACCCCAGTAACACTACATAAGAACATATAAGAACATATAAGAACGTACATCAACATGGCTATCGCGCACAAAACCCAACGATTCCAGGACCAAACATTCCACGCAAACTCCTCCCGAGTCAGTCCTTGGCAGCTGCAACCACTGCTGACCGAGCGACACCACCAGCTGCCTTCGGTTGGTCCCCTTGAAAATTGGTGCGTTTGAAGCACTTTACGACATAGCAAAGGCCCCAAAAGGGTAGATTCTAGTAGAGTCCAATTCCAAGTGGTAATTATCATGTGTCTATCCTTTTGATTCCTTTTGGTGGTTGCTACCATTTAAAGAAAATGATGATTAAAAAAAAAAAAAACTGGATTTAGGGCAATTCCGGGAGCACGACCTTCGGCTCAACTGACGCTGGTTTAGGTGCTGCTGGGGAAGATGATGTGGCTGCCTGCTAGCCAGTATCATACACGTAGTACCCGGGCAAGCCAACGGAGCAAGTTTCAAAGCACTTTCCGCAAGTTAAGTCAAGCTGGCAAAGGGAACCCACCATTCTGGCTAGAGCAAGTATATCCTATATCCTACACGAAAGTGATATAGGGACCTATAGGGACTCTATCTGTTTATTGCCATCTTAGATTACCAGAGGTTATCAGTCATATCCACGGTTTACCCCAAATTACTGCGATGTTTCATTGGAGAAGAACGATGGAACACGCTGGAAACTACGCCATGAATTGCGATGGGATTTGGTGTTTGTTCCACCCATTCTTCCGCACTGCCTCAGCCTCTGCTATCTTAGGCGCCGCCTGCCGCGTGGATATTGACAATGCAGAACTAGATTCAGCCAGATTCGACCACTTTGAATGTGTGTCTGTGTGTGTGTGTCTACATGATCTACATGCGTCTTTCCCCTCTCTCTATCTAGATGTGTATTTTGTCTGTGCCCTTCATGCGGACAAATCTGCGACGCCATACTCCTGGCTGCGTTTAGCTTTGCGTATTTTCTCTCTACACTTATTTTTCTGCAACATTCTGATTTATGTATATCTTATGTATGTAGCGCTTTGTATGACTAGTGTAGAGGACAAATGTACATAACTTGATAGTAACCATCGTTTTCATTAGTTTTCATTTTTTGTGTGGTACCTAATTTGCCCTATACCCGCATCGCCGTGAAACCTGGCCAGCAGAAGTCACGTAAGTGCTCTTTGCAGCATCCTGGCGAAGGAACAGGCTGAATGTTGGAAAGTTCGAGAAATGGAAGTTGGAAGATACAGAACCCGGCCAAACGCTAGATAAATGGACAAATGGACAAATGGATAGATGGATAGACGGATAGACGGAGAAATGCAGAAACGGATGGATGGATAAATGGATTGATGATGATAGATGGATAGATAGATGGATAGATCGATCAATTGACAGATGGACATTCACAGATGGACAGATGGATAGATAGAGAGATCCATAGGTCCATGGATCGACAGATTAATCGATAGATAGATAGATCGGTAGACAAATGCGGTACATAGACAGGAAGGTACAGAGGTAGAGAGGTAGAGAAGTAGAGAGGTAGAGAGGTAGAGAGATAGAGAGATAGATGGTTCGGTAGACAAATGCCGTACATAGACGAAGGTACAGAGGTACAGAGGTAGAGAGGTAGGTAGAGAGATAGAGAGATAGATGTGGGGTCTGGAAATTGGAGAACCCCGAAACCCAGATAAACAGATTGGATGTTAGATTAAACTATATACAGACTAATGGACTAAATTGGATTAATGTCACTGCATGAATCACTTGGTGATATATCCATATCTATTTTGAGTTGTTTGATGATGTTGCTGTTTTGGTTGGTTCGGTTATAGAATGTGATGGAAACAATCGGCGGGCATTCCTTCAGTCAGCAGGAAACGATGGGCAAGCCTGATTTCATGTGCAGATGTGTATATGTAGATATAAGTGCATGTATATGCGCAATCATTTATGCACATATCATTACAACTGGATGCATGATTATACATGCCTATAAAGAAACTAATGAGGTTGTTGGTCTAAATGGGTGAATCGTCATCTCTTGTTGCTTTAATCACGATGTGCATCCATGTGAACATGTTTTCCCCATGTCTTCCCCGTGGATCATCGTATATATAAATATAAATATACATACAGAGAGAGAGAGAGAGACTGGATATTATATACTGTATGTATATATATATATATACATATATATATATATATGTGTGTGTGCGTGTGTGTGTGTGCGTGTGTGATTGTATGTGTATTATATATATACACACACATATGCACACCAGAAACCCTACATAAGAACATATAAGAACGTACATCAACATGGCTATCGCGCACAAAACCCAACGATTCCAGGACCAAACATTCCACGCAAACTCCTCCCGAGTCAGTCCTTGGCAGCTGCAACCACTGCTGACCGAGCGACACCACCAGCTGCCTTCGGTTGGTCCCTTGAAAATTGGTGCGTTTGAAGCGCTTTACGACATAGCAAAGGCCCCAAAAGGGTAGATTCTAGTAAAGTCCAATTCCAAAACCGTGGGAAATATCATGTTTCTATCATTTTGATTCCTTTTGGTGGTTACTACCATTTAAAGAAAATGATGATTTGAAAAAAAATACTGGATTTAGGGCAATTCCGGGAGCACGACCTTCGGCTCAACTGACGCTGGTTTAGGTGCTGCTGGGGAAGATGATGTGGCTGCCTGCCAGCCAGTATCATACACGTAGTACCCGGGCAAGCCAACGGAGCAAGTTTCAAAGCACTTTCCGCAAGTTAAGTCAAGCTGGCAAAGGGAACCCACCATTCTTGCTAGAGAAAGTATATCCTATGTCCTACACGAAAGTGATATAGGGACTCTATCTTTTGATTGCCAGCTTAGCTTACCAGAGGTTGTCCGTCATACAACTGTTCAGCTTGTAGCGCTATGTATGTATCAATGGTTTACCCCAAATCACTGCCATGTTTCATTGGAAAAGAACGATGGAACATGCTGGAAATTACGCCATGAATTGCGATGGGATTTGGTGTTTGTTCCACCCATTCTTCCGCACTGCCTCAGCCTCTGCTATCTTAGGCGCCGCCTGCCGCGTGGATATTGACAATGCAGAACTAGATTCAGCCAGATTCGACCACTTTGAATGTGTGCCTCTGTGTGTGTATGTGTGTATGTGTGTATGTGTGTGTGTGCGTGTGTGTGTGTGTGTCTACATGTGTGTGTGTGTGTTCCCTCTCCCTCTCTACTCTCTAGATGTGTGTTTGATTTTACGTATTTTCTCTCCACCCCTATTTCTCACCAACATTCTGCTGATTTGATGTTATTTATGTATATTTTATGTTATGTATGTAGCGCTTTGTGCGACTAGTGTAGAGGCAGATGTACATAACTTGAGAGTAACCATCCTAATGAAAATTTGTCTCTTTTTTGGGGGGTACCGAATTTGACTTCTTCCCAAATCGCTCTGGAAAATGCTGTTCCGCCCTCAAACCTTGCCAGAAGAAGTCACCGAAGTGCTCTTTGCAGCATCCTGGCAAAGGGACAGGCTGAATGGTGGAAAGTTCGATAAATGGAACTTGAGTCCCACGGGTAAGTGACGAAAGCAAGCTTGGCAGGGAGTTTGGCATGAAAACACCCAGCATACTCGCAAACTCATCTGTATTAAGGGATATTATGTCCAAAACAAGGCGTTCCATGTCTTGGTATAGAATGAACGGGACACATTGAAGGGGGATCAAAGTCACATACAGTACAAAGAGAACGCGATTATATATCACGCGCATGAACATAATAAGGAAACTCCCACGCAGTAGCGTGGTGGTCACTAGACAGGAAGAAGATTCAAGGATCCACCTTCAGCATCGGAGTGGGCCTTTCAAGGCTTAGAAGTTGCAAGAAAAGGAGATGTTGGAAGCGTGACTAGGTAGGATGTCATGAGGACAAAAAGCGGAAGCATGCCACCGCAATTGCTCCGGAAGGATCTTTGCAAACTCATCTGTATGAAGGGATATAATGTCCAAGACAAGCTTGCCATTGTGAGAACTGACTGGAAACTACATGTGAAGGTTCAGAATGAAAATGAAGCTACGTTTAAGGGCTAGCCACGAACATGCCAATAGTGAACGAGGCTGCACCAGTGACTTGAAGCATGCGCTGTTGACGACGCCAATGATGCTGAGGATGCGGATGAGGATGCGGATGCTGCCGGTTTTGCTGCCGATGGCGACATGCCGACGGTGTCGCCGGGGGGATCGGGATTGAGCCACGGCCAAACTGCCTGTGAACCAGCCAGGGGGGGAAGGGGGGGTAGTTACCGGGTAGTTAACTATGAAGTTTCATGCGATTGGAGATTCCAGCCCCCCCAATACCTTGCTAAAGCAAGAGAGACTTCAGCTAGCAGAAGCTAGCTTTCGTGACTTGGAAGAAACCAATGTTGATTCTAGATATAGGGCCAGAAAGGTAGATAGATTGATCTGATTTGATTTGATTTGATTTGATTTGATTTAGAATAGATTTGGATTTAGATTTGGATTTAGATTTGGATTTAGATTAGATTAGCTAGATGGATAGATGGATACATAGATAGATTGGTAGACAGATGCCGCACATAGAGATAGAGGCAGAGAGGGAGAGAGATAAATGTGGGGTCTGGAAATTGGAGAACTCAAATACCCTGATAGACAGATTGGATTTAGATGACTATGGATAGACTGATGCGATTAATTTGATTCGCTGTCAGTACATAAATGTAGAGTTATACAAGCAATAACTAATCTAATCTAATCTACCGAAATTCCCGGTGATGGTTTTGATCATGGTGCTGCTTTGGTCCGTTTTGAGTGCAAGGGAAACACTCATCTGGCATTCCTTCAGTCAGCACAAACCGCTGGGAAAACATGAAATACCTGTGTGTGTGTGCTATCATATGTTTATGTATATACAGTATACGTATGTGCGTGCGCGCGTGCGTATAATTACAGGTAGACACATGTCTCTATAGGAACAAACAAGGTTGTTGGTCTAAGTCCTTTCATCTGGAAATGGCCGTTCTTCAGGCAATAAAATGATACTCGCGCGAAACAATCGCAAATGCCAAGCTCATCTTTCGAGGAACTCAGAATCATGTGGGGCAACCATGCCTCTTATGAAGGCAAGACTCAGTCACTACCTGCCGGATTATCATGGATTACTTCATCATTGCCTTGCAAATATCAGCTGGCAGCATCGCAAAAATTCTTTATCCAACCAGATTGTTCTTATGATCACAAGGATTACTGGGAAATCACAATCAAAAATGCACTGAATCCCATTTGCCCAACAAAAATATCACAAATATCCAAACGGACACAAACAGTAACAGTTGTTCGTGTTTGATGATGATGACTCATAACATCTAATTTTTGCGAGTAAAAATGTTGCGTTCGCAAACTTAATTAAAAAAAAAAACACGCACACCTTTCGCGAGGGACAGAGAACAAGATTGCAGTCAAAATTTCTTACAAGGATCTTTACATAGAATCATGCCCATCAGCAAATAGACAGATAGTACCTTCCCTGTGGTTGTACTATCCTTCTTTTCAACCTGGGTACAATCCAAGAACAAATTCACCATCAGTCAAAAGGAACCTTTTGGCATCAAACCCTTTAGCATCCCAAACGCTCAGGCCAGTTTTCGATATTTGATATATAATATGTTTTATAATTATAATTATAATATTCTACGACAATGTATGTCAACATGGCCAAAGCAAAGCAAAAAAAAACACCGCCCAAGTCAGTCCTTGGCAGCTGCAACTACTGCCGACCGAGCGACACCACCAGCCGCCTTCGGTTGCATGGTCATAGCAAACCCCTAATGGTTGGTCTAAAAAAAAAACGCACTATCACTGGGATAGCAACCCAAAAAAAAATGTGCTTAATTACTAGTTTACAGTGCTTCTTGTTCAGTCCAGGTCCAAAACAATGGTACTTATCACGTTTCTATCGTTTTGGTGCTTAATATTTTGCATTAAATGATATGATTATTCAAAAGTATTCAAAAGCGGATTTACAGTAGGGGTAGCCTATTTTTTGGACCAATGTGATGTCACGCACCTGTGCTGATTGGTCTGCTTAATTTTGTGATATTTTTTCAGATGGACATCAACATTGAGGTTGGGCTAAAAAAATCGACCGAAATCGATCCCAGGAAATCGGCTGTTGATGGAAAAGCACATGATGAATTACTGCATGACAAGGACAAGGCTGTAGCCTTCGCTGCAGCCGCTGGCTTGGCCGGCGGCGCCGCTTCCTATCAAATCTATGAAACATGAAGGCCACGAACTTGAGACCCCTTGAGGGGTACCCTCCGGTAATCGTGGCAACTAAAAGATCCCTGGGCTAAATGGAAGTTTTACTGGGAAACTCATCCAAGAATGCAGAATTGTCCCTTGCCCATGATTGCGTGTCAGCAAGTTGCTGGCCAATGTGAGCCGTCAGTCAGCGCAAGTAAATCGACCTATTGAAAATGCTGATTTTCCATAGCTATGTTAAATTGCCAGAAGGTAACGGGTAACCAATCTCAAATCAAAGTCAGCAGTAAATGATCAAAGCCTTTGGTTGCTCGGGCGCAGCTGCTTGGCTGGCCTTCCAAGGTGCTTGGAGGCAGCAAAATACTGTGAAAACCCCCTTTAAACAGGGTTGGCGTTATACATATTCTACAACATATACCGCGTGTGGGGCCATAACAAAAAAAAACTGAAAGGCCTTGGGCTCTGCCGGCTTTGGAGCTGCTGGGGTCGCTGTCGCGACCGCCTGCAAGGTCACTGCATGAAGACCATCCCTGCTTTGGTATGGTGTGATGTTGAAACCAATTTCCATACTCACCGGACTGGCTCGCAAAGCCGCAAGCCCACGTAAATTTGCAAGGATGAGTGTGCATCTAAATCCTTGAAAATCATGTTTGCATGAGCCCTTGTTTTCCCCCCAAAAGCCTTGGGGTCAGCTACGGCAGGCTTAGAAGCTTCTGCGGGTGCTGCAGCAGCCGCAGCCTGTATGCAGGCTGTAAAATCCATCAGCTTGCAAAGCGCCCAAGTTTCAAGTTCATGACTACTCAAGCAGTTGATATAGCAAGGCCTTCGGCTCACCTGACGCTGGCTTGGGCGCTGGCCCCGAAGACGAGGTGGCCGCCTGCCAGTATCATATCGTGCATCATCACAAAGTCAGTACAAAAAGTGGTAGCGTCTCTTTTATCTGAGCCCAATTTGTGTTCGTCTGATTCCTTTGCCTGAAACGCACTTTTCTGACCGCTTCATTGATTGGGGGAGGGGGAAGGGGGAACGGTTTAGTAATAGGAAGGGATTACATCAGCAGCCTCAGCCTTTTTCATACTTGAACTGCAGCCATTGACAGCATGATTGACAGGCTCAGGACGCCAAATGTTGCCCACCCCCCAGCTTTTCCAGACCTTTGGCTCCTCTACACTCACGACTGCCGAGCCCTGCGCGACTCAACTCTGCATCACTTGGGGGGTCGGCACATTGCTGAAATATGCCGAAATAATACCACCAAGTGATCAAACAGCTCTAGTAATGATAAACCTTTTTTTATTCTTTTCGTATCGTCCTTTTCGTACATTTATAGCAGTTACCCACTTTCCACATCATCTCATCACAGGACCCAGCGTGCCTTGCCCTCCAACTTCCGGGCCTCCAGGCTCCGAAGGTACCAATTTTTCGTTGGGAAGCCCCAGAAAAATATGGTTTAATGTTTAATAGCAAAAGTGCTGATCAACCATGGGATTTGGCGCAGTATCTTCGGACAAAGCCACATCCAGCAGGCATAAGGGCAACACAACTCAGGGCTAAGCAAAGGCTAAAGTTGCTAAAGGCTGTGGGTTGCATCATCCCAAAGCATTGGTTTCCCAAAGTTGGGATGTCGCGCCGTTGCGCCACTGGATCTTTTCTGCCAAGTCACCCCCTCGTCCACGGTTATCACAACATCACCTGGTTCCAGCATTCGAATAGCTGGAATAATCAAACGTGGCAATGGAAAATCCAGGATTTAATCCCATGTTTGAACAGTAATGGAACGTGAATGGTCATGAAGTCATGAAATTATTGACATTTCCATGCTATTATCACAAGCAGCGGAAGGCAGTTGGATGCAGTTGGCGGTCACGTGCCTGGTGACAAATCTGCATCTGGTGAGGTTTTGGCACCTGGCAACATTAGTGGATGCCATGGTGGAAATTACTCGCCATGGTCTATTTGATACAAAATTGGCAAGCCAACCTTATTTCCAGGATCTTACGGGATTGTTTGGTCATATTAACCATTCTATTTGATTATATTTGATGAATCAAGCCTATGTTTTTGAACGTCCAGAAACAATCGCAAAATGCCATGCAGTGATAAAATGAACGTCCCAACCAGCAACCTGTCAGTAGCTCAAAACTGGCCACTGCCACTCTGCGTTTCCATCTTGCGGGGCCCTGCACTGGGCTGAGATGGCTGTGATGGGCTGGTTTCTTCTGGAAAATTCACCAGAAATTCTAATTTTCACGTATTTCTACCATCAGAATCCATGAAAATTTATGAACTTTCCCACGCTGCCGGCCTGGTGTCGTGCTGAAGCGCTGACTTCGTAGGGCTTGCTTCTCCTAGGGATAAGACATGGAAAGACATGCATTCAGGGGAAAATCGACAATAGTTTACTTAATCTATGAGGAAAAAACAAATCCGAAAGCACAATATGAAAAACAAACAACACAAAGAGAAAATGGGCTAAAGTGCTTTGCATATTCGTGTCTTGTTTTTTGTTTGTGTCTTTCTCTCTGGAGGCTCAGTGATCTTCAAATCCGCACCGGGAAAAAAAACAGGCAAAAAAACAAAAACAAATTGCGCCAGAATGTTTTGCATAGTGGTGTTTTGTTGCTGTTTGTTTCTGTTCTTTTCTCTGGAGACTCGGGTCGGGGATCCCAAATCTGCACTTTCCCTTGACGAAAAAAGACAGTGGTTCAAATAAACGAAACAAAAAAAGAAACAAAAAAAACGGAATGAGATTCACAGCACTCGAACACGAAGGGTTTTCGTTTTTTTCTGTGCAGATTTGGGATCCCCGAATCTCTGGAGAAAAAATGCAAACAGAAAGCAAAACACGAAGATGCAAATCACTCTTGCGCACTTTGGTTTTTGTTTTTTTTGCGTCTTTTTGTGGGGGGTGGGAGTGAGGGTGGTGGTGTGTTGTTTGTTTTTATTGTTTTTGTTCTGTTTGGTTGCTTCTCAGTAAAGTGCAGGATGCATACACGGGTTCAAATCTGTTGTTTCCTGTTTAGAGCCAATGGCGATTCGATTTCAGCCTCTGAAGCCGCTCTGAAGCCTCTCAAAATGTTGGAATACCCCTATACCTCAACCCACGCAGAAGGCCCCAGAACGCACCATTGTCATCCACTGGTTTCCATGAAATGTCACCCGGCTTCCCGCCCAACTCGTGTCCTTCTCTGTAACGTTGACGCTGACTGGGCTTGAAGGACTGGCGCTGCCCTGACAGGTATATACAGCAACTGGCTCGAAGTCGATCAATGGAATTTCCGCCATGAATGATGGCAACCCAAAAGAAATGAAATGTCCCACGGTTTTTCCATCTTTTGGGCGTGACTATATTATATTCCATCAAAAACATCTGAAGCCAGTTCCGCTGGCCAGTCACAAAAGACATGATGGGCCTCCATCTCCACTTTACCTAGGCGCAACACATCCAGCAATATCAGGCAATCATTGGCTGTGGATCACAACCTGCACCTGACCCAGATGTTTCATCCAAATAGCCGGTGTGATGGAGGGTTCACCATGGTTCACCTCCCCATCCATCTGACCCATCTCCCATGGAACATCGTACCGTTTGTATCCCATATTTCTCCCATAATTCATCCCCTAGAGTCCTAGAGGCCCTAGATCTCCCCCATGTCTCCATATTTCTCCCGTATGTCTCCCCTATCTCTCCCATATGTCATCTCTTGGATCTCCCCGTGAAGACATGGTTAACATCATCCCATGACAAAAAAACTAAGCAGCACCGCCTGCATCCGCCTGCTGCCAGGCGACGTGATGCGTTTTGTCCTGCCAGGTTGTCACCCCATTGGGGGCCTTTGTTTAGGGGCACCTCTGTGGCACCATGAGATTTCGATGATGTTGCAGGAGTGGCACATCATTTGACATATTTTGACATCATTGACCTGCTGGATTCTATTAGAACATGGGGTTGGTCCATCTACAGTATTCATCACTCAACCAGTCGGAGATGCACATCCGTCTTTCTTGCCCCAGGCAAGAAATATGGGTGAAAAAGCTTGGGCCCCCACGCTTTGAGGGGAGTGAAGGAAGAACAGTTTCCGTGTCACAACTTCAACTTGCAGTGTTTGAAGATGTTTTAAGGATGTCTCGCACCAAAGCGTCGTTTTCGCAACTTCAAGTTGCAGTTTTGGAAGGGAGTCTCGCACAAAACGTGTTTTTGAGAGATAGCAGATGTGCGAAATCGCATGGTTGTCAAAACAAAACGGAAATCTCGCACAAAAATGTGTTTTTGAATGTTTTTGAGAGATAGCAGATGCACCAAAACCTATGTTTTCGAAGAGGAAATGTGCCTCGAACAGAGCAAGAGCAGATGCGAAGAGCTGAGAAGAACTGAGAAGAGCTGAGAAGATGTCAAGAGAACAAAATGAACAGAGAAAGCGATATCAAGAGCTTCTGCACCGCGTACAGGGTTTGCTCGACATCCTATAGGCACATTTATAGGTTTTAATTATTTTTAATTGAAGGTGAGTCAGTGAGTCATCCAGGCCTATGCTTGACATAGCAGCGGCACCACGCGCCGCTGCTCCGGCAGAGGCAAACTTGGCAGTAGTATCCTGACAGCTGTGGCTATCACCAGCCCATACGTGCCATGGTCAAAACATGTAAAAACATCGTATGTAGGCTATGGTCATCCCATGATTATTGGGAATAGTCCCCTCATAACGGTGGCATTACCATACCATACCATACCATACCCAACACGGGATAGTATGAGTAATTTTGCAATCCGACTATTTGACATGGCTTGTCTTAAAAATTGGGCACCCCCAAAGCCCCAGGTTTATCAGATACAACAACAGGTCTGTTCATTTTTTGGACGAACCGTCATCGAAACAGACAGAAAAACAGGTGGTATGACCATCTGACCCACTTATCCGCCGACCCCGGCAGACGCAAGGGGGAGCGCGCCAGGGAATAAGACATTTGACTCTTGTCGGACTACTACTACTACTGCTACTACTACTGCTACTGCTACTGCTACTGCTACTGCTACTGCTACTGCTACTACTACTACTACCACTACTACCACTACTACCACTACTACCACTACTACCACTACTACCACTACTACTACTACTACTACTCCTACTACTACTACTACTACTACACTACTACAACTACTACTACTACTACTCCTCCTCCTACTACTCCTACTACTCCTACTACTCCTACTACTACTACTACTACTACGACTACTACGACGACGAGTTTCGAAAAAGCTGTCTGGCTGTTGGTTTCTCGCCTTGGAGGCTGGTTGATGGCACGGCAGGAGCAGCAGCAGCGCAGGAACAGCAAGAGCAGCAGCAGCAGCAGCAGCAGCGGAAGACAGCACCAGCAGCGTGCAGCTGCAGCTGCAGCTGTTTTCGTCCTTCACTGCTATGGTGTTTCCCTGTCCGGGACCCACGTTTTTGCAGCAGCCAGCAGGCAGCCAGTACTATACAGTACTATATATAGTCTAAGATTTTCTAGGATGTATAGTCTAGGATTCTCTAGGATTCTCTAGGATTTCAGAAGACACGTTAGGCACTTTTTTGCTGCGATTTTGCGCCATTTTTGGCACGAAATTAGGTGGTGTTTTGCTGTTCCGAGTGAATTTCGAAAAAGATGTCTGGCTGTTGGTTTCTCGCCTTGGAGGCTGGTTGATGGCACGGCAGGAGCAGCAGCAGCGCAGGAACAGCAAGAGCAGCAGCAGCATCAGCGGACGACAGCACCAGCAGCGGCAGCTGCAGCTGCAGCTGCCTCCGTCCTTCACTGCTATGGTGTTTCCCTGTCCGGGACCCACGTTTTTGCAGCAGCCAGCAGGCAGCCAGCAGGCAGCCAGTACTATACAGTACTACATATAGTCTAAGATTTTCTAGGATGTATAGTCTAGGATTCTCTAGGATTCTCTAGGATTTCAGAAGAAACGTTAGGCACTTTTTTGCTGCGATTTTGCGCCATTTTTGGCACGAAATTAGGTGGTGTTTTGCTGTTTCGAGTGAGTTTCGAAAAAGATGTCTGGCTGTTGGTTTCTCGCCTTGGAGGCTGGTTGATGGCACGGCAGGAGCAGCAGCAGCGCAGGAACAGCAAGAGCAGCAGCGCAGGAACAGCAAGAGCAGCAGCAGCAGCAGC